AAAGTAATGTCAAGGAACACTGTAAAATACTTAATGTTAGGTTATCGGAAAAGCATAAACCAAGCTTTATATTTTATCTACAATGTTATTTTGAAATACTTTACTGTACACACAGTATATATAATTCTAATTATTTCACTGTATGCCTCCATGTAGGTACATGCTCACTCTGAGGAGTTGGAGACTGGAGCGTGGAATCAGAAATGGGGTTTTACAATTATCCCTACCAAAACTAAGCACCGGCCTAAGTATTCTCTACCATCAAATACTCAACATCCTCAACTCCCCATTTCTGATGGGGTAGTTGTGGAGACGTTCCCGTACCTGTGCAGTGTTCTTATGACCAGCTCTGGTTTGGCAGTCGGTCTCACTGGATCAGTCTAGTGGCATATTATTTGGTTTGTTCGGTAAAGTCACGTAGATAGAAAAAAAATAAAGTGAATAAAAAACACGTTTCGATCACAACACAAGCGATCGTTTTTCCTCTTTCCTCCTGAAGACGATCGCTTGTGTTGTGATCGAAACGGCGTGGTTTTAATTATATTCTTATTTTTTATCTACGTGACTTTACCGAACGAACCAAATAATATGAATCTCTGCAGTCACGAAAGTTTAAAGTCAAAATTTAGTCTAGTGGAATATTTTTTTATCATGTGCAACGCTGTGTGGAAGTTACCTGGTCTATTGCTCCATACGGAGGTCCGGGTCATCTCGGCCAGACCCTTCTCTGTGTTTTGTGAGGTTTGGTCCCCTCTGCTGGGGCACCTGCGCCTGTTTGAAACATTCAGACTGTCCTTCCTACGATCCACCCTGGGTTTAACCAGGCTGGATTGTGTGAGCTCACAAATCCTTGAAATATCTGGACACTGTCCCATTGGTGAGTTCCTCAGGCAGGCGAGGCTGCCCAAGCAGCTTCTGTTTGGCCAGATAGTTTGGGCTAAACGGGTGGGGCATGGGCTGGAAAAGAGATGGAGCTGATGCGATACAGGAGGACGTGGAGCTGAGTGGACTTGCCCATGATGGGTACCAAGAGCAGCCTTGTTGTCAAGATCGGCCTCTGTGGGGGAGATTCGTGAAGGCTGCTACTGGGCAGTTGAAGGCAGCCACCCTCCAACAACGGAAGGCAGAGAAGCGACACAACAACGAGCAGAGCGCGGGGCAGCTAAAATACAGCAATGTCAAAATAAGCACAGGGGGAGGTGCATCTGTCCGTCATCCCAGTCAGCCCATTCAACTTGGGTCTGTCTAGTGACCTGTCAGCGAGCCATCAACACTCCACGGAGCCTCAAAATGCATATAACCTCAAAAATAGTTTTTCAATCCCACATTGCCGCGTATATGAACTGTTAAATTCAATACTTACAACATACCTTAAAGCGCTTGTGCATTGTAAATCAAATATTTAATTGCTCGCCACAACGTGTGCACATTACAAATGAGTAGAATGATTTACTGAGAGATAAAGGAGTAAATGAGGTAGACACAAGTGAGAAAGTGACGGCGTAGCTTTGTGGTGTGGTGGTGTGCTATAGTGTTTTTAAGTGGTGTAATGAAATGGTGTTGTAGTACAAGCAAGTGGTATAGTGTGTACTATAGTGGTGTATTCATTTGGGGGTGCAGTCCAGTAGTGGTGCAATGCATTGATGAGTATTGTGGTGCAGTGGCGTGTGACTTTAACTCTTCCCGCGCATTAAATACAACATTAAAACATACTTAAAAAAACACGCTTTAATGAAATATACCGTACGAGTAATGCCAGAACTACACGGATTCCAGGAAGTGGCCCTGCAGCTTGCCACAGCGTAAGGGAGCTGCCCCTCCCCCCATCGCCCCTCCCCCTCCTTCCACATCCCCCATCGCCCCTCGGCGTGGCTCCGCCGAAGCATTCCATAACGTAAGGTACCGTGGTGATTTACAGCCAACGTGATTTGAGCGTGGACAATTAGACCCGTAAAATAAGATAGTTTCAAAATATATACAGTATTTTGAAAAATGTTAATGATAGAATCTAGTATTGTCATCAGTATGACATACCTATACCAAGTTTGCAGTCGATACATTGGGAAGACGGTTGAAATTGAGTTACAAGATTTGAGGATACGATGACAGAGCAAGTTCAATAACAGCGTGTAAAATGTAAAAAATATGTTTTGGATTTTTTATGATAGAATACAGTTTTGTCATCAGTACACTATAAGTATACCAAGTTTGCAGTCGATAGCACATTGGGAAGTGGGTGAAATTTGAGTTACAATATTTTTTGAGGATACGACAAGACGGAGTTAAATAAAAGCGTGTAAAACAAGTTGCGTTAAACTCTTCTAAATGTGACAATTTGTTCGGCCGCGTCGGGTGGGCGGAGGGTTCCTAATGATACAGCTTCGATCAGATCATTAAATGACCTACACACACATACATTATGAACTGTGTATTGTTTCCCTTGCTTTTTATTTTTCCTGTACAAGTATTTCTCCAAAGTCTCCCTTGCAAAAAATACATTTAGCGATGGGCTTTTCACCACATTATAGGTGAATTCTTCTCTATAGGCAGGGTGAGTTCAGCAACATCGGTACGTGTAGTGTAATAGCGCCGGCTGGTGACCAGCAGCGGCAACTGCGATGGACAAACAGTACACACGCCGGTGAGCATATACACGGGTGTGTCGGCAGGGCGGAGGAACCGAGGCAAAGGTCATGGAGGGCCCTATCTGGAAGCCCCTGGAACCTTCTCGTGGGTTCGAGAAGGGAGAGGGAGCCAGGCCGCACTGGTAGCATAATAGGGGACGAAAGCGGGAGCGCGTGGCTGCCAGTTTTGGGATTGGATCATCTCGTCATTGCTGCCATCTTCGCTCAATATTGCACTGCTAGATAGCCTGTTAGCTGTCTCCGTCCGCGCCTTCGGTGTTAGACGGCTGGCGTTGTGTATAGGCTAGCAACTGTAGAGTGTGCAGGCGAGATCGTGTGTGTTCAATAAAGGTGCCTCTACAAACCTCGTCTCCGACTCACTGACACTACACGTGTGTAGGGGGGTGTATGGGCTATGTGTAGCGACGTAAACAAACTGTGTACATCTTCTTGGTTCTTTCGGTAAAGTCACGTAGAATGGAAATAAAATAATACAAATTAAACATAATAAAATAAAATTCTCACGACGTTTCGGCCACAAGTAGCCTTCAGGTGAAACGTCGTGAGAATTTTATTTTATTATGTTTTATTATTTTATTTCCATTCTACGTGACTTTACCGAAAGAACCAAGAAGATGAATCCCTGCAGTCACGAAAGCTTTACATCGAAATTGAAGTGTACACTTACCTGTAAGGGCTGATATAGTCCGCAATATCCCTAGCCCCGGGGGGAGGGGGTTGCAGGGTGTCCTAGGATCCCTCGGGACCCCGCCCCTCGGGTGGGGAGGTGTATATAAGCCGGACCTCTCTACAGGATCGGGGCCAGTTGAAGACAGAAGCAAGACGAGTGGTCAGCTAGGACCCTGGGACCCCTAGCCCCGCTGCCCTTGTCAGGGCCGGGACTCTGTGTGGCTCAGTGGTGAGACCCTGGGAACCGCCGGCCCGATGTCCTTTTAAGGGCCAGGTCTGAGTGGGCCAGTGGTTGGAACCCGCACCCTGGCTAGGTCGGGTTAGATTAGCCTCCCCTAGGGACCCATAGCCGGACGACCCAGAGGGGCAGTCCCGTATCGGCTGAGTTAGCCCGGAGGCAGTACCTCCCTAAGCAAGGTAATAGAAGGGCCGATGTCCTGAGTGTGCCGGGTTGTACTGCCAGACATTGTGTTGAATAAAATAGTGTTGCCTCCAAGACTTGCGTCCGACGTCTCCAGAATCCACAACACTACACGTGTATCATCACCTTGTTGCTCTGCTAGCAGTCCACGTTGCTCATCTTCATTAGGATTAGTAACATCCATGCTACGTTGATGGCTTTTTCAGGAAACTGTCTCGTGGATTCAATTGAGTAGTGTTAATTGGGGAACTCGTTTCAAAGACCATCTCATTGAAACACCTTTCATCACAGTTTTCTCTTTGCATTTTTAAGTTATGCACATCTTTTCTTGCATTCTCTTTTGCAAGCGCTTTCATTTCTTCTCTTAAAGCTTTCACTGCAACTTCATCATAGCATTTATGTAGCTTCAATGTCTTAGCATTCACTGAGCTCTTTCTCCGAATGGCACAGGTTACAACAAAAATGTAAAAATACCAAAAACGCCAAATCCAGCCACCTGTAAAATAAAAATTATCACCCAAATTACACACAGTGTGTAATAATGAAAATTAAATCATTTTGATTACATATAAAGCAATACAAACCATCTCATAGATGAGGCCATCTTATTATACACGACACATTTTAATAAAAATCTTCAATCACACTAGTTACCCAGAGCTCTGTTAGGCTTCATCTTCCGCTGCCCAGTCACTTTTCACATGAGATGCAATAACTACACTTTATCCACGAGGCAGTGGACTTCATGTTTTTAGTAATAAAAATTGCTCCAAAGATAACGTAATTATTCATATTTTGATTTTGATTGTACACCATTACCAGGGCTACATTGTCAACAGGGCTGTATGTGTACACGATGAGTAATCATCAGAGGCTGCGATTGTCATGGAGGTCACAGAGATCGTAAATTTGAAGGATCTTAAATCTTGGAAATAATGGAGGGGTATAGATCAACCTCGATGCAACCAGGTGCCCCCATATAGTGGTTCTAACCAAGGCTTTTGGTGTGGCCTTGCCCCATCTCATTCTCTTACCTTTAAGTGAATTTGTTTTTCCTGCACACCACGACTATGATTATTTCCTATAAATTACAGTACCATGTCAAAATCGTAGCCTTAACCACACCCCAAGGCATCTCCGATTACGTCAGGTTAAAATAGGCCCCGGACTGCATGGCGACAATTACTTGAGTGCTGCAAGGGGGAATGAAAAAGCACTTCCAACAGCTATAAATAAACTTAAAACAGTGTCTTGAGAAGTTATAGAAGAGATGTATTAAGGGATGTAATATATGGAGCTAGGAGAGAGATGTGTTCAAAGTGATAGAAGCCATAACGAGCTTAATTTGTAAGAGATGTACAGTATTTAGGTGATAAGATATGTCATCATGAGCGTGCATATATAATTGGGAGTGGTAGTATATATCTGAACTGGTCCTGGGCCTCCCCCATGAGTGTGAATTTAGAGTTGAACTTGTAAGCATGTGTGTGCCTGCATGTATTTGAGTGTGTGCCTTAACATCAGCCCCACCAAAACTAAAAACTAAGCACCTACCTGGGTATTGTGTCATCAAACACTCCACCCCCTCAACTTCCCACTGGTGATGCGGCAGGTGTGAAGACAGTGGAGAGGTTTCCATACTTATGAAGTGTGCAAATGAACAGCTCGGTTTGGCAGTGGAGGTCTCATCCGAATCAGTCGAGTGGCATTATCATTTAATTGGTTGTGTAACGCTATGTGAAGCTACCAGGTCTGTCACTCCATACGAATCTTCAGGTTTCCTTGGCCACGAATGTATGTATGTAGATCTTCTGTAACACTGTACGTAGCCAACTGTGATAATCGGAGACGTGGGGGAAGGACAATAAACTAAACACATGAAGCAGTTTTAAATTTAGATTCAAAAGTGCATAGCTGCAGTGGCTTCCTAATATCGGAATAGCGTTCTAGACGGCTGCAAAAGCGCATTTGAAAGCTTGCGATGCAGTGACCATCATGCTTTCCCTTCTCTATTTGTGAGGCGTGGGCCCCTCTGCTGGGGCATCTGCGTCTGTTTGAAATAATCAGGCTGTCCTTTCTACAATCCACCCTGGGTTTAACCAGGCTGGATTGTGTGAGCAGCTTACAAATGATTGAAATATCTGGACACGGTCCCATCGGTGAGTTCCTCAGGCAGGCGAGGCTTCGTTTTCTGGGTTATGTAGCCTGCATGTCCAGCCACCGCATGCCCAAGCAGCTTCTGTTTGGCTGGATATAAGGGGCTAAATGGGAACGGAGCAAGCTGGAAAATAAATGGAGCTGATGGGGTATAAGAGGATGTGGAGTTGAGTGCACCTAGTGTCAAGAACAGCCTCTAGAGGAGGCTCATATGAATGACGCTACTGGGCAGGACGCTACTGCGCAGTTGGAGGCAGTCACCCTCCAAGAACAGTGGAGGGTGGAGGAGCGATTCTCACAAGTGGAACGCCGAGCAGCTAAAACACAGAAAGTTGGCACAGTAGGGGGCAGAGACAACCCATAGCACCTGGGCCTGTCACATGACCTCCTGCCAGCGAGCCTTCACCACTGCACGTGGCCTTAAAGTGCACATAGCCTGGCACAAGTGCCATGGTTATGTCAATGCCACTTAGTGGTGAATGGCAGCTGTTGCTGTTTTTCACACGTGGATGCATAACTGTCCGTCCGAATCTCTCCCCCAGTCAACCTCAATTAAATCTAAGTAGGAATGTAAATATTCATCCCTTTAGTGACTGGAGAAATTGTGATAATTTAGGGTCACAATTCGATCCAGGAATCTTGCATTCTTTCAAAATTTGTTTTTTTCACTTGCAGTTTTGTTATTCCCATGATCCTGAATTTAATATCCTCTCCATCAATTGCCTAGTTTTGGGTATATATGAGCTCATGAAGGTTGGTAAAATTCACATCGACGATGACTAAGATTTGCTTGTTGGAGTCGAATAGTCTCGTGTACTAAATAAAAGGCTGGTTTGCTAAAAAAAAATTGGCAACATGAGTATTCATGTTTCTGGCCACATTGTAAAAAAACATTTCAAATATAATCTCAAGCGGTGTCATATAAACAAAAGCTATATTTCACATCCAGAAAGTCTTACAAGTATAACTTACGTGCAATTCATCATAAAAGACAAGAATGATGTGAATATTAAAGTACAGTGATAACATATACAATAGTAAAGGCACAGTTATAAGGCTCCTTGAAAATTATTTGATTATTATGAGGGAAGAACATGCGCAACATTTGTTTTTTGTTCAGGCTAAGGTGCTCACCAAGATACATTCACGTGAATCCATCATTCAGTGAGCTGCTGGGCAGTTTTTTTCCAATTTCAAGTGGAAAATTTCCAAATAAACAGACATTTTCGGTTAAACTTTGGAGTAAACCACCTGAGTGCAAAATACATGTCAAAGAAGTCTTCACACTCAAATAAGCATTGGGCAATGGTTGTTTCCCTTAGAGGCCTCGAGGTAATGTAGGACATTCCAAACTCCCACGACAAAGACCAGAGTATCACGATACAGCCATTGCTGACTTCTCATTACGTGGTACAAATTCTATATGAAATAGAGGGATGATGAACTAAGTTCACCCCTGGCTGGAAGATTATCTCATGACCCTATGGGAGCTGAGTGGTTTGGCACAGCTCAATGAGCTCCATTGTTACAATGTCAACATTAAACTTTCAATATCTGCTCTTACACTATTCTATCATTTGCCTATATGTCTTCTATGTCTTCTCCTTCGTTAGCAGTTACAATAGCAAAACACAACTTTTAATTGTTGCTGTGGTAGCACGTTGCTGTTTACTGAAGTCCAGGTCACTATGTCCTCATGGCCAATGACGATGATGCCAGCACGCCATGCCATTGCTTCCTTCCTTTCACCAGATACCACTTAAATGGGGGGTGGGAGTAAGCGAGATGCTCTACTGTGGTACTTTTGGTGGAAGAAGCCTTAAACCCAGGGCTGCCATCCTGGGAAGAGTCGGCTGAGGTTCTTGGGGTCGGTGGCTTGCTGAATGAGAAGGTTGACCTGGCCCGGGACGCTGAGCACCGAGCCCTCCTCCACACCCTTCAGCTTCTGCTGCAGCCGCATGAGGACGCGCTCTGCCATCTTGTTGAGGCTCTGTGGGTCCATGCTGCACGCGGCCACAGTCCGAGACACAACATCAACACGGTCCGAGGCACAGCAACAACATGGTCTGAGACATAACAAAAACAACAATAACATGGTCTCAGACGTAACTATACAGTTCAAAACAATAATAACATGGTCCAAAACACAACACTAACACAGTCCAAAATACAATAACAACAGTCCAAGACCCAACAACAACATGGTTTGAGACAACAACACCATCACCAGTCCGAGATGCAATAACAATACCGTCTGAGACACAATAAAAATAGAGCAGTGTTGCAATAGCAGCAATGGCCGTGGCAATAGCAGTGTGCAACCACAACAGCAATGAACAAAAGTGCAATACCCACTTGGATATGGATAAAAAAAACATGAACACTGACAAAAGTAGACCAAGAACTGAAAAGTGCACAAGGAAGCATGGAAAGACACATGCTGGGACTCCTCTGAGACAGAACTAAGAACATAAAACTCAGGGTACAAATGTAAATCAGATACATCATACTGTTAAAGGAAGTGGGCTTTGACAGGTCATATTGTGAAAAGAAACATCAACCTGGTCGGAGATACAAGTTCTATGATATAACACAATCTGATACACAACACCACTGTTTGAGAAACATCAAACACGCGGTCCAAGACACAATAACAATACAACCGCGGTGCAACAGAGGCAATGGCCATGGCAACAGCAGTGTGCTACCACAACAGCAATGAAGAATTGTGCATTACCAACTTAAACACTGACAAAAAAATGGACCAAATATTGGAAAGTGCACAAGTAAGCATGGGGGGATGCATGCTGGATTTACACTGAGACAGAAAGAAGAGCATGAAACTCAGGGTACAAATGCAAATCAGATACATCATACTGTTAAAGGAAGTGGGCTTCTACAGATCATATCACGAGAAGGAATGATGATCCATGGACGAGATTGGTAGCATAAAGGCAGCGAAAGAAAAAAGAACCCCAAGCGAATAACCACCATAGCGATGAGCTTGGTTTACGTGCAGGCATGAGACAGGAAAGGTTTTTTATCCAGCTGTAGACAGGCAATAGCTGATGGTAATTCGTTTTTAGGGGGTTCATTTTGCTCTAAGAGTCCTCTGCTGAAGCCTTCTGGTCACCTGGAGACCTTAGCATCTCGTCGGAGCAACGGAGCTGCCTTGGTCTGAGCCACGTGCTCTCTCCTCACCCGTTTCGTTCCTGGTGCACGGCTCTCCCAGATGCAGGCGCTTTCCCCAGTGTGGGGCCCATGGTGGAGGTGCCCTCAGTCTCGTCCTCGGTTCGTGTCTGCAGCGTTAGCGCTTTCAGGGGGTTCATCGTCCAGTCAAACAGTGGATCGAACAACAGCACCTGCCAAGAAAGATTTAGGGGGTTGAGAGTTTAGGATCAAAGTGGCACCATGAACATATATTACATAACAGTAATGACTTATCAAAGACAATTTTTCAGGAGGATCCTGCGTTTAAATGTTTGGCCAACACCAATGTGTTTTTAGCCATGGGAGGAAATGGAACATCCAGAGGAAAGCCATACAGGAGGAGACCATATAAACTACACGCAGAAATGCGCCCGAGTCAGAAACTGAACCGAGTTCCTTCTCGTCGTGAGGCACACAAGTGTCACGCCTGAGCAACTCTGTCGCCACGAACATTGCAATGGTGTCATTTGTTTTTTTATCTAACAAGGAGGGCTTCACTGTCAGGCGTTTTTCAGTCCTGTATTAACATGTTAGGTCCATTCCTTTTTCATAAGAATTTTGCTGTACTGCTATCACCTGTTCACCTTAAAGCCCCAGCAGGTTTTGAAGTTTTACATATCTTGTGATCTACCAACCTTTATCTCCAAAGCACGAGGTTACCCACCACACTCATCAAATGTTCCCCGTTTATCCAAAACATGCAGTTGGGCAAGATCTGTTAGAAAGAGCCAATTGATGGAGGCACACCACACCTATAGAATGGCCCACACATGCCTGCCTGCCTTTATTAAACACAGATTGTAGTAGGTTCACATTTTCATTTGAATCAACCTTTGGGTGGCTCAGGCCAGTGTTAGTCACCAGGCGCCATTGGTGTCATATCAGTGAATAACAATCAAACACAGGCTGCCCGGATCACAGTGCAACAGTGCTTAAAACGTTGACAGTTCCCTCATGCACAAACATAAACATTGTTTAATGTTTGTGCATTTAAAATAATAAAAAATATGTTTAAATAACAATTGTACACATACAGCCTTTTGTCAAATTCACTGCTGGATGACAGTCTCTCTATGCCATGCAGGTCATTCATTGGACAATACTTTACCATGCTGATCAGTGCTGATTGGTGGAGATGGGAAGCATAGATGTGGGTGCACAGAGGGATAGTACAGCAGTGGATTTTGGTGCACTGACTTCTGACCACAATGTAGCCTCGTATTGAAACATGACTTGAACTAAAAACCAAAAAATAACAATATATGTTAAATAATATAGTCTATAAGTGCCAATGGGAACAGACCTCAACAATGGTCAGTAGGGCCTCCTGAGAATTCCTCATCACCTCCATTGTCTTCTCACAGCACCTGCACATAGGATCGGTGTTAGTGCTGTCTTTGACGATTCTCCAATTCCATCACTACTACCACCATTACTACCACCACAACCACCATCACAACTACCACGACTATCACCAATATCAGCATTTATGCCATCAACAGCACCACCAATACCAGCACTCGTACCAAAAACAGCTTTAACATCACCACTACCAGCACGCCAACTCTTACATTAAAAATAATATATGAAGATGTTGATGCTGGTGATGTATGAATGTATGTTGAACTTATTTCACACCGTACATAGCCAACCATCTTAATCGGAGGTGCGGGGAAGAACAACAAACTAAACACAAAAAGCAGTTATAAAGAAAAGATATTGAATTAAAGCTTTCGTGACTGCAGGAATTCATATTTTTGGGGTCTTTTGGTAAAGTCACGTAGATAAGTTCAAAGAAAATACCAAAAAAGAACGAAAAACTACGACGTTTCGATCACAACAAAAGCGATCGAAACGTCGTAGTTTTTTGTTATTTTTTTGTTAATTTCTTTGAACATATCTACATGACTTTACCGAAAGACCTAAATAATTTGAGGAACGCCAGTGAAGATAACAGTTTCATCCGCTTAATGTGGAGCTTCTCCAACGTTCTGGTTTTAAGAAAAGTATCCTCCCCATAGAGGATAATCAGTTTAACACGTAGGCTTTCGCGACCAATATTATTCATAATAAAGGTTTTTGGGTTATATCGCGTTATTTATAAATGTGTCGTAACAAGGACACTCAATTGATTTTGATAACGTTGAAGTGTTGTGTAAAACTACTTATTACTGGCAAATACTAATTAGAGAATCCATTGAAATTGAGAGAAACAGAAATAACTTTAATCATTCTGATAGCTATAGGCTTAGTGCGGCTTGGAAGCGTATTATTAAATAATAGATATTACAATTCCTTATAGGGGAAACACATATTAATTAACGGATTACTAATGTAGCATATAATCACAATAACACACATTACAACTAATTACTAATCTACAACTCATTACTAATCATAACCATTGGCTGATTACCAATCGATTATATAATTACAATACCCCCCTCCGCCTCAAATCACTGCACCTGAAATGAGTTAAATGATGACGTCACCCTGCTGCTCTATTTAAGACCGGGAGCAAGTGAGGGCTTTACCATTCTGGCGAATTGCCTGATGATGCTGGATGTAATTACCAGCGAAACGTCGTATTCAAACAGTAAATGTTGTGGATTCACTCTTCAACACACCGGTGGGCTAAAGTAGTGAACTAATTGTCTTTTGTCAACGTGACACTTTTTTGCTGATTGGCCGTGTCGGGTGGTGGAGGGTTACGACACATTTATAAATAACGCGATCTAACCCAAAAACCTTTATTATGAATGATAATATTACAATGCTACGACAATGATGACGGCACTTTATAATGGAAACCAAGGTGATGACGACAATGACCACTAAAATGATGATGACAACGACGGCAATGATGACCAACGCGAACGCAATCACGATGACGTAAGCACAACGAAGGGAAGCGTTGCCTGCGGAAGACGCCCTCCACGCCCGTGATGCCCATTCCATCCACGATGTCTCGCGTTAGTCGGAACGGCACAGTCTCGGGAGTCGGTAGTATGCGGCCTTGTTCGAACGCAACACCTGGACGAGCGCGCAGCAACAGCATTGTGTCCCAGGGTGTTTCCTCTACTCCCAATTAAAAACACGATGCAACGCCCACTTTCAAGTCAAAGCCAATGTGTCCCCCTTATCAGATGAACCAAGAGGGGCAGAGTCCTTGCCTGCATTGACAACCTTAAGCCAGTTATAAAACAAATAATAATCCACATTCCTATGCTGCTTGTCAGTCGATTAACAACCACCATTAACTTTAGACAATGTGGTGACCCACTTTGTTGACCCTGGAGGGTGATGGGCTGAGCCTATCCCAAACTACTATTTTAACCAATGTCCTTCAGATTTTTTGTCAGGATTTCCAACAGTGGCAAGTGGCTAGGTTACACAGCTGCTTATAGAACTTCAACCACCTGCCTCTATGAAGTACTCACACTCTCAAAAGATTAAAATATCCCAGGATATTAATCAACAAAGAGTCGGCAATTGATTCCTGCATCGTGGTCCGATGCTCAGTTACATAACTGAGTAAAATAATTAGGAGATACCTCCGATGTGAAACATAGCACTTTTGTGATATATTTCTTTTCTAAGAACTGCACTAACACTATGGTATATACTAATTATTTTTATCCCGAACAAATACAATCCATTGAATCGTCGCACAGTGGGTGCATCATCGCATCCCGAGCGATCAAGTTGCCGGTGGAGCGAGAGTCGGCGAGTACCCAGGTCGATGTGTACGAGCTCGGCCGAGTTGAGGTCGATGAGGATGTTCTGCACGTGGCGGTCGCCCAGCCCCACGATGTAGCCCACTGCACCGACGGGGAGCACACGCGGAGTGGAGGGGGAGGGTTACAGCGAAACAACCACCACTGTGGGGAAAACGGCAAATGACAATAACAATCTACGGCAACATTCGGATGATCACATCCAATAATGTCGATGCCAGCGTACTCCGCACCATTACTTTCTTCCTTCTGCTATATGATTGACACTTAACATCCACTGTGTGTTCTTACATCATCCCAATTTCTGGTTTTAGGCCTTCCCCTTCGTGTAGAGTAGACATTCTTCCAGGCTGAAAACTAACAAGAGTAATAATACATGCAAAAACATGATTTTCAGACAGCAAAAGGCACGATTGTGATAAAAATATCAGTCCTCTCATTATGCTTTGCATGTAACGTGAAATCACTATACTATGTGTGTAATGCACAAAGCCTCGTTTCAAACCACCAACTAAAAAAAAGAGGAAACATTTATTATAAATGCATCTCTTTTGAATTGATAGTCAAAACAAGTGTATAGGTCCCTTTATCCAAACCAACAGCATACCTTTTAATGCCATACAAATATTATTCATCTGATGTAAATGAAAGTTACATGTTGAATTCGTATAACTGGAAGAGGCAATATTAAGTAAAAAAAGGAAATAAAATTTGATGGGTTTGTTTCAGTCATTGATTACTGGACTGAGACCATCAACTTGCTGAGACCATAAAACTTGAGAACCTGGTTTAATCATGGGCGGTGGTCCACATTGGGTCTTGGGGTCTCAGCAGAGATGGCCGAGTGCTCTGACCCCTGAGCCAACCGGCTCCACCTACTAAAGTTACATTTCTAAGAGTATCCCAAAGTATCTGAAAAACACTGAGATACCAACGGGAGCCCGGGGGACTGACCGATGGAGGAGGTGGCGACGCTGCGCGTGTAGGAGAGCCGTCGCTCAAACCACACGGCCGGGTCCAGGAAGCGTTCCCAGAAGAAGTGGCGGAAAACAGGCCGGAAGTGGTGGCACAACTCCTGGTAGGCGAGGAACAAGTCCCCGTTCCTACGGTCCTGCGCCGCAACATGTGGACACCGCGGCACACCCATCCATCCATCCATCAAGGTCGGCTATCGTTACATGGCCATGGGGTTGAGCTGCCAATAGGGGCTCCTCTCAGCTAAAAACCTGAGCTCTGAGATGTTTCTTGCATTATGAGCACAACATAAATACAAGTTGTTGTTGTTGTCCTTGTTCTTAAGGTTGGCTTTACGACTGATACCTGGTCAAAAGCTTAGGGATAGTTTATACAAAGAAGATACGGCAATGGACTTCAGGCTTAATTCTTAGAAGCTAAACACTAAAATAAATATACACACATTTTTACATTTAATTCTTACAGCTTAGGCCTTAAGGCTTTCCAGGTTAGGTTTCAAAGCTTAATTACTCAGGGTTTGGTGATAAGAAGTGCGGGCAGCCCTGGTTACCAGATAGCCCTTACATTCATAAATTTGCGACAGTGCATGGAGGGCCAGTCGTTGGGCCGGTACTTGGTGTGGGCGCCCGTGTCCTTCTGGACGAGGTAGTCGCCGATGGGCATGGTGCCCACGCACCATTCGAGCACGCCGCTGCGCTGGGACAGAGGCACCACCTTACGTTCCACGTGGGAGGGCGGCACAGGCAAAGCACCCGATCTCGTTAGCCCAGTTAGCATTAAGAAGGCGCGAAGGGAAGAGATACAGCCGACGCCCGTGATGCTGATTGTTAAACCCAGCATAATTGAGTATGACGGGCGCACGATCACCCACCTTGTACGTGCGGATGCTGAGCTTGCGGGTGCGTGTCTCTGCGCTCCCGGCCAGCAGCTCGTTGCACATGTGGAAAACCTGCTGCATGACGGCGTCCTGACGCAGGTCATCACGACCCTGCCAAGCCAGGCCATACAAACAATAAAGTCGCCATCATTATCGTCATAATCATCACGGTCATTGATACTACTCTTGTTGTCACTGTAAGAACTCCATAGCTATTATTGTTTGCTGTGACAGTCACACGGATTTTCTTTTTGTAGCGATGCCCTGTATGCGTTTGTTTTAATTACAGAATTGTACAACCCTGAGCGATTAAATAAACGTGTTTTTAACCAGCTGCTAGACTGATCTTGACAGGGTCCTTAGAAATAAGACTGACAATTCGATCTCAGACAGGGTCTTTAGACAACAGACTTAGAATATTACACAATAAGCTGGCAGACCAGTGTGTTTGAAGGGGCCTTTGGACAACGTGCATCAGAATATATTTGTGCAACACCATTTGTTTGGCCCTGTCTCATTGTATCGGGTCCTCTGCTGTGGAGCTGCTGTTCCTTAATAGCCAACACACCTTTACAAGCTGCCTGTATGTTCGTCCATCCGATCCCTCGCAGTCGATGATTTTTGGGAGGTTAACGCCTCCGGCGAGCCGGAAGTGTGGCCGGAAAGCACGCACCGTCACGAGATCAGGGTACTGCCCCGTCGGGTCCACCTGAAGGTGTGGGAAGAAATTCGGAACATAGATTATTTTCACGATTATGTATCAGCTTCCAATAAGTCAAAACTTCACAGGATATAAACAAGTAAATATACAAGCAGGGACGAGAGTGACAACAACTCCTTAGACCTTCCATTTAGTCAACAACGTTATTTCAATAACAAAGTCAATGTTGAGGTTTGTGTTATGCACCACTTTGTGTTTTACAGCCAGGACATGTTTAGCGTTGGAGGTGGGTGGTGATGAGCTGTGGGGCAGCCAATGACAAACCATGGGTGGACACTTAAGAGTAGGGGTGTCAGCCTATATTGTGGGTTATACACTGAGAAGGCACCAACTTCCACCTTCAAGCAGCAGATCAACGCATAGATGAGAGTGCACACACATACACCTATATAGGTCCTGATCCTTTCCTACTCTGCAACCCATCTCACACATACATTGTATGCTGGGGATACGCACGCGTACCCATAAACACTTCACAAATCCACAGAGAGGCAACTGTACACGGCATAGCACAATGGTAGTGACAAAGCCTACTTGTTGAACAATGGCATTCACATGAGACGTGCAGTGCATACTGAGTAGAGCAACAATTAATATCTGACACCTCACTGGACATTCGATATTACAATGAACACTCGAAAAAGACAATGGCCTAGCACACAGAGTTGGATGCAGCTCGCAGCGTTGATCAGGCGACCCTTCTGCAGACTCTCGCTCTCTCGCTGCCAAGCACCAGGAGCTCTCGCACTCCCGTCCTTCGCCCCTCGGGACCTCGAGCCAGGAATTTCACTCGTCACCGGTTTCCCATTCTCCACACTACAGCTGTTGCTGGCTCAGTGCTCTGACCTCTCAAGCCAATAATCCACCACCCACCTCCTGTGTTCTTTACCAAGGAGAATTGGTTTACCTTCAGTTCCAATGTGGGAATAACAACTTTGTACAGATTTCTGATCTCCTTGATGGGCTGATCCTTTGGAATGAGCATGTCCTCTGCAATGAAAATGCAGACATTCTTAAATAAAAACAGACTCTCACAAAAATATCTATTTTGCTTCTAGTTTTATTGGAGATACTTTTTTTTACAATAATATTATGGAAAATGATCAGCAAGAGGCACCAGGAGAGAGCTGATGAAAGACAAGGACATATAAGGCGAGGAAACTAAAGACAGGAGAGGTGAGAGAGGCAGATATCATGGGGCTTCCACAGTCATCAAAGGTGCTCACTTGTCTGCTTGCGCCAGGCCTCGGCGTTCATGTTGGCGAGCATGATGTAAGCGTCGCACAGTTTCTCCGTGTCACGCACCAGCTCGGGCTGCTGCTTTCGCACCTGTTCCACGAGGGCTCGCGTTGCCCTGACGCGATCCTGTCCACGAACGCGCATACACACATGCAACACGCTCGCCGAAACACTTGCACTTGTCCACAGCAAACACACAGACACAGACATGCACAAACTCGTACACATGCGCTAGAGTACTTAAGATGGGAACGGGCGGTAGTGCATTGGCACTAATAACGTACATGCACTCTTATGAATCGGTAGTGTGGAACTTTGGATAGAGCTATGGTCTGGGTTAGGATTAGAATTATGGTCTGGGTAGAGCTGCAGTTTGGGTTAGGGTTAGACTGTTAGAGTAATCATAAATAATAATAAGCTAAGACACTTTTTTCTTGTATCATTCTGCCGCTCTGGTTGGTTGCTTGGTCGCGGTGACGTTACGCACCGCAACCAATCGGTGTGTGCGACAGGACTCGTTAACATAATTTGATACTTCGCAATTTTATACTGGCTGCTCGCTGAGCGTTACCTCAAGTATCAATTACCTGTCAACGTTATGATACAAACTTTCGATATTAAAATAAAGGTGAAACACTCTCCCGCTATATTTCTCTTGCCTCAGCAGTTCTCCTGCTGTATTTTTTCACCTGAAGACGATTGCTTGTGTTGCGATCGAAACGTCGTGATGTTTTATTATTTTTCTATCTATGTGACTTTACCGAAAGACCCAAAGAGTGTGAGACACCCTATGCATGCAATAATATTCCTGCAAAATGCAACATTATTTGCAACTCACTGTCATACCACTTTACGGCCAGTCCCTGCCCGTCCACTGGTCCAATTGATGATCGTAAGTCGACACTCATTGGACGAAAGCCCCACTTATGACAAAACGTAGATAACACATTCTGTAAAATAACTGTTTCAATACAACTTGCAAACACCTACCCGCACTGGCGACACGAACCGCCCAACTTTGGTTCGGCGGAGCGATCCTCCGCCAGCTGTTATGTCCTAACATTACTGCTGTGAGTGTGTTTGTTGAGAGTGTGTGTACACGTGCGTGCGCATGTATGTGTTTTGTATATGTGTGTATGTCAGGAGCGGCAGTGTAGCGGTCAGCTATGAACCCAGCAAACCGAGTTCGATTACCCCTCACGCCCAACCCCAGTGACGGTCATCTCAACCGAGATCGCCTCCCCGAGGTCGACTCAGCCTAAAATGAGTACCTAGTGCGGTGTGTAAACATAGCCACTAGGGAGACAAAGGCGGTCAGGCATGGTGCTGGCCACCCACCCCCTAGTGTGCCGTTTCAGCCTTCATAGGTGCTCACAAACTGCACTTGCCCCAACTTGCTACACGGAGCGGTAGTGTGGTGCTTAGCGCTACGCTGCATTAAAAACCGGTCAAGCCGAGTTTCATTCCCGCTCAGGGCCACCACCAGTGACAATTATCTGAACCGCTCCTGGGCCTCCCCTAGGTCGACTCAGCATCAAATAAGTACCTGGGTGCGGTGTGTGTAGTAAACATCGCCACTGGGGGAGACTAAAGTGGTCTTGCTTGGTGCTGATCACTCACTCTTTTGTGTGCCGTGCCGGCCTTCATTATGTGCTACTCGCTAATAGTACTTGCCCCAACAGTCTGTATATGTTATATGAGGGATCTTTGTATTTGTGTGCATGTGAAAGTGAGTGTGTGTACCTTGACAGCTGTCATGATTATCCCCTAGGACCTACGTTGACTTAGCCTAAAATGCGTACCTGGTGTGTAAACAATGCCACTGGGGAGACAAAGGCGGCCGGGCGTGGTGCTGACCACTCACCCTCTTGTGTGCCGTTCCGACTTTCAGATGTGCTGCTTGCTAACAACACTTGTTCCTAAAGTCTATTAAGGCTATACGGGGGATCTGTGTCTTCGTGTGCAGATGTGAAAGTCAGTGTGTGTTTATGTGTGTATGTCTTCGGGGACTGCCCAAATCCTCGCGGAAGTTCCGCAGGTTCCTGCTCGTGTCTAAATATTGATAAACCCTGAGTTTTGGTTAAAGATATGGTCTGAGTAATGCTATGAATTTTAACAGAGTAGAGTTATGGTCTAGGTATAACTGTGAGTTAGGGTATGAATCCGGTTATCGCTATGGTCTGGCTTAAAGCAATGGTCTGGGTATTTGCGATGGTCTTGTTTAGGGTCAGGGTTATGCTGTCCTCTCCATGGCTTCAAAAGTGGGCGCGACGGTGGCGAGATATTAAATTCCTCGCCTGGTATGCAGGAGGTCGTGGTGGGTTTGATCCCGACCCTTGACACCTGTATACTTGTATAGAGTATGTAGCTACATTAAAATTCCACGTGATAAGCCACGTTGTAGAGCTGTCATTTGTGGCTTCTGAAAAAAGAGCCATATAGCTCAGTGGTAGCCTTACCTGGAAAACAACATACATACAAATGAGACTGCGAGTGCTTACGTCGTCACTAGGGGCCGAGGATCCCTTGCTATCTCCCCGGCTCAAGCGGCTGCCCCCGCGTGCACCATCCCTGGCTGCCACTGTCTGAAGCAGCTCGTCCTTGCCAGCGTTCGCCAGCGCCAGCACCACCAGCAGCGCATGGTGCGGGTGCGTGAGCGTCACGCGCAGGATGAGCTGGTGGGGGGGAGGGGGAAAAACGGTTTTGATGGATCCATGTTTGTCTTTGTGTGTGTTGTGAGGAGCAGTGGCAACGTAGTGGTTAGCACAATAGGCTACAAACCCAAAGACCTGAGTTCAAATCGCAGCCATGGCAAGCATCAGGAGCCAACATATGAACTCGGCCTCCTGTAAATTGACTGAGCTTTAAATGAGTATCTGTTGCAGTGTGTGGACCTCAATAGCGAGGAGACAAAGGCGGTGCTGGTCAAACCCCACCCCCTTGTGTGCCATGCCATCCTTCATCGGTGCTTGCTAACAGCACTTGCCCCAACAGTCTAATACAGTCTATACAGGGGATCTTTATCTTTGCATACGCAAGTGTTCAAAGAATATCGAACCAAAAAAACTGCTCTTTTCTTGTAGCAACATACTAAGGCTGTGTGGCCCCGGCTGTCCAACATAACTTTGCAACTTCGTTCTTGCGAAAACGCATTTAAAGTAATGGCCAGCAGCGCTCTGATGACAACTGTTGTTTTTTTATATTCATATCTAGTTTTACGATGTGCCTCAGCATCGCCATATCACGACAACCCTAAACGGCAGTGTCGGCCGCCCTCACCTTCTGCAGGATGCTGTGGAAGGCTTCTCCGCCCGCCATCTTGGTGCCCATGCGTGCCGCCAGCTGGTAAATCAACGGCAGGAACTTGTGCGGAGGGATGTCTGTCACGCCCGTCTGTGACAAGTTTACGAGGATGGCGATGGTTGTGGCAGTGGGTGAAATCGGTGTTAAAATGGGTTTACAAAAAGTGCTGTATGAATAGAAATGCACTTTATTACAGAATGTTAAGTCTATTGCATTTAATATGCTTTATATACTACGTAACATATTACCTTCCGTTTAATATAAATTCCACACGATGTAATGTATTTGTGCATTTACTATGAATTATATGCTACATAATGGTATTTGTGCGCATTAAATAAACATATACTATGTAGCAGTTAACTAGTGCATTTAAAATCTATATTAAACATAGCATTAATTCACCCATATCCTGGCATTACACCTCCATTTTGTGGGAAGTACTGTCTTGGCTAGTATGCCATATGGTTCGTTTGTTTACCCAACTCATAGTATGCATACCAGGAGTACTGTCCCATTAAATGTGGCAAAGGTAGTGGTGGGGAAGTTTTGCCCCCTAATGCTGTGAACTAGAGGTCACTTAAAGGGATCTCAGAGGTAGCTTGTTGACATCTACTTCAAAACGCTGTTCTCTAACACGCAGGTTTGCACTGTTCTACGAGAACCCTGAATGGATTCCCCATCTCAAGTCATGACACCAATAGCACAATCAGGATAACCATCTGGAACAATGTATAAATTTGGAAAAAAATATTATAGTAATGATGGTGATACTTATGGCAATAGATGATATTACTAAAGATGGTAATGAAGATGTTGTTGCTACTGATGCTGATGATGGAAGTATCGATGGGGCTGCTACAAATGATGCCACAATTGATTCTGATTATGTTGACAATGATTATGCCACTGTTCAGGGTAATGTCAGGAAGAGCACAATTGGGATAAAATATAGGAAAGCAATGGTTTGTAACAAAAACAAAAAAAACCACAGGGGAAAATCACAGCAGTGCGTGCGTGCGTGTGCATGCTGCAGCGCGCGTCACGCACGCAGGAATCTTACCCGCATGACGTCGTTGACCTGCTGCTCCGCCGAGTTCTCGAGCCAGAGCGAGACGAGGCGGAATGCGCGCGCCTCCCCGTGTGCGCCGCCGCTGCGCAGGCAACGCACGTAGTTGACCAGCGCCTCCACCAGGAAGCGCTCGCGGTCCTGCCGCAGTGACAGCAGCTCCCGCTCGTCCAGATCGCACTCGCGCTGCAGCTTCACCATGTACCTGGGGACACGCACAGGCAAGGACAAGCGGCCCCTTGCATAGCGTGCATAGTTCACAAAAAACAGGAACATCCCCTTCTAGTCTTTGGGTCTTTCGGTAAAGTCACGTAGATATAGGTTCAAAGAAAATAACAAAAAAACTGCAACGTTTCCATCGCAACACAAGCGTTCGTCATCAGGAAGAAAAAAGAGGGGGGAAAGCTACGGAGGCAGACTGTTTTAAAGGTTTAAAATGGGTGTAGCCCAAGGGTCATAAACGAAGTGGGCGAGGCTAGTGATGTTAATGTGAGAACTTAGCATGTTAATGTAACATCGGAGGGCGACCTCCATGAGGGCGTAGAGGTGGCTATGTTAATGTGAGAGTTCATAATAAAGGTTTTTGGGTTAGATCGCGTTATTTATAAATGTGTCGTAACCCTCCACCACCCGACACGGCCAATCAGCAAAAAATAGTGTCACGTTGACAAAAGACTCACTACTTTAGCCCACCGGTGTGTTGAAGAGTGTATCCACAACATTTACAGTTTGAGTACGATGTTTCGCTGGTAATTACATCCAGCATCGTCGGGCAATTCGCCAGAATGGTAAAGCCCTCACTTGCTCCCGGTCTTAAATAGAGCAGCAGGGTGACGTCATCATTTAACTCATTTCAGGTGCAGTGATTTGAGGCGGAGGTGGGGTATTGTAATTATATAATCGATTTGTAATCAGTCAATGGTTATGATTAGTAATGAGTTGTAGATTAGTAATTAGTTGTAATGTGTGTTATTGTGATTATATGCTACGTTAGTAATCCGTTAATTAGTATGTGTTTCCTCTATAAGGAATTGTAATATGTATCATTTAATAATACGCTTCCAAGCCGCACTAAGCCTGTAGCTGTCAGAGCGATTAAAGTTATTTCTGTTTCTCTCAATTTCAATGGATTCTCTAATTCGATTGGATTCTCTAATTTATACCTATCTTCTCGATTGAAGTTGTGTCTGTGTCTGTATATGTGGATGGGTTCATGAACGAATCTTTGTTGATAGCCAGTGGCTTTGCAAAGTACCTTCGTCTTAGAGAAATCAATTTCGTGTGAGCCCATCGCATTAAAACAATGATCAGTCACGGCCGAGGTATTGGTCCTACCATGTTTCAGATCTGCCTTATGTTCACGAACACGGTTCGAGACATGCCGCTTAGTTTCTCCAACGTAACTACTGCCGCAGACACAGTTTAGTTTGTAGATGTCGGGGTATTGCATGTCAGGGATCACATCCTTCACAGATGGGATCAGATCAAAATTTTACTAACTGTATTTTTCGATTTAAAGCTTTCGTGACAGCAAGGATTCATCTTCTTGGTTCTTTCGGTAAAGTCACGTAGAATGAGAATAAAACAATAAAACAAAATAAGACAATAAAATTCTCACAACGTTTCGGCCACAACACAAGTAGCCTTCTTCAGGTGAAGGAACAGAACTGTCGGGACGACAGCGCTTCAATGAACTGTTCAATCGAACCTGGATCTTGTGTTTGCTCATGATTTTGGAGTTATTTTGGTGACCCCTGCTATTTATGGCAAGGTGATCTTTCTTCATCGTCCGACCACGTGGCCAATCTTCTGCAAGGCTATCATTGCCGTTGCTGCACTGGTCGGACAGATACGTAGTTGGACGCCGACGATGGGGTTGTGTGATAGGGTCGGCTATGTGTAGCTGCGTTCCATAAATGTATCGCCCAGTGTGCTTAATGGAACTTATTAGTGAGAGACCAATTGGCAAGGTACACAGCACCCGCCTCCGTCCACCTGCACAGCCGACTCACCTGGATGGCTGCAGCTTGAGTGACTGTAAGAGGGTGACATCCTCCTTAGCTTTTCGGAGCAGAGCTCGCTTGTTCTCGTACTCGGCCGAGCGCATGTACGCCACGATGCTGCGGTGCTGAGCATCGGCGAAGCGTGCCAGCGACAGGTACAGCGCCGCCCTGCACACTCGGCCGCCCTCGCCCTCGTCGCTGCCGCTGCCGCCGCTGCCATCACCCCACGCACGCTCCGCCACGCTCACCGACTGTAGGTGGGCACGACGGGCAAAGGGGGGTGGGTGCCAATAAGGCAGTAATACACGGGCAAGACAAAGGTGGAAGAGGCAGCGTAGAGGGGCAGCATGAAGATGGATGATGTTTCACAGAGGGGTGGCGCACAGACGGAGGGGGAGCATAGAGGTGCGGCACAGGGATGGGGAAGTGGAGGTGCCAGATGGATGTAAGATATTACCATGAAGGGAATCTTGCAAAGATGCGAGAGGGAGGAGACAGCATAAAAAAGAGATGCAGGTATGGTTAAAACGTTGCATCCTAAAAAAATGTAGCAACTAAACTAAGAGAACAAAATATAAAACCGTAAAAAATTGCTGTATTTTTACCTTGTATACATTTTTCTGACTAAACATTGTGTAACATAGAAATAGGGTGGGTACCTCACCTATAATTTTCACTTACATAACCATATCATAGTGGCATACTAAATAATATGGAACCTCTGATGCAATCATAAAAAAATAGTGTTGCTCATGTAACAGTCAGCAAAAAGTGTATTCAAAGAAGCATGTTTAGCTGTGTTAGCAAAATATAGTTTTTTGATGCCTCAGAATGCCAGCCATTTTCAACAACACACCATCATGGAAAATATTCACAATATTTGCTAGATTTTCACCCAATTAACTATACTGACTGTGGAGTAACTTAAGTTAGTTTGCAAACCTATATTGAGGCTGCCACTGCCAGCCTAAGCGGAAACTTTGGCCAGCGATATGCCCAACCATCCTTTTGCTTCTCCATTGCGGTCGTTGACACACTGCACCCGGCAGTCAGTTAAGGCTGAAGTACCCGAGAGCTGGCCCACAACAGGCTCTGAAACCACTTTTCAAATGATGTCGTAGGTAGCCAGGAATCGAACACTTTTCTCAGCGATTGTAGCAAAGTGTGTCGACCACTACGTAATATTTGCATGTGTATTTTAAAATCTGTGAAAAAGAGCTTTTTAGCTCAACGGATTCCTCCAGGATAAAAAAAATACTCAGATTCTGAAAGAAAGGCCCTAACCTTCTCGAGGTACTCGCTGAGGATGATGGAGGGGCTCTCGGAGCACGTCTCGGCCAGCCAGTGTCCATAGCGGCCCAGGCACTCGGCGTACAGTGCTAACAGCTCCTTCGCACACTCGCCTGCCACCTGCAAGTGCACGGCAAAGCCACATGGAGCATGCAACTAGGCCACATGGAGCACGCTAACTGGGCATTAATCAATCCACAACCGCCCCCCACCTTTTTGTGATTTGATGAATTGTCATAATGCAGGGTCAAGACTCGAGGTCACAATTAGATTAAAACAGTCAAATCAACATTTTTTTGTGTTTGTCTCATTCGTATGTTATGCTCTCGCATGTGTTGTCTTGTTCCTTCTCCGTCATTGCATCGGCATAAATGTATTATTGGTAGATCATAAGCATGACTCGAATAAATGATAACATTTTGATTATAATCCTCCAGAATATTAAACGTGGGACGTTTTTTAACAGGCTGTCTATAGAGTGCAGTTTTAATGTTTTTCTCATTTAAATGCATGGGATTTCCCCTCATTTTAGTTTTCATTCTGCATATTAAAATACAACATAATTAAGGAATTGGTTGAATATAATGGGGGTAACATTACACCAATACGAGCGATCCAAGTCATCATTTAGAGCCGCGCTTTCATTCAAGATTCGATTCTTTGTCCCATTTTTAACGTCCCATTAATACAGTTGTTTTGCTCCATTAGCCTCTCTGCTGTCTATAGGACTTTAAGTGTCTCTGAAGTCGCATGGAGTAAGGAGGCAGCACCTGGGCTTTAAGTGTTCCCAGGAGGCCCTTCATGATGCCCATTGCCCGGCCCTGCTCTTGTTTGGCCCAAAACATCTCAGCATCTTCCACCTGCCAGGCATGGACCCCATGTGGGCGTCTCGGGCACTGCCTGATTGCTTGTATCGCCCTTTCCGACACCTGTGGTTAAACGGCAGTACGACAGCACAGGAATGGATAATGACAGTGATGCAGGTGATGTTGATAATCGTTCTTAATGATTGTTGGTGAAGATAATAACGGTAGTGGTATTTTATTTGCAAGACAGATGGAAAATATAAGACGGATGCACCCAGGCATTCACATGCGGACAGAACAGACAAAAACACAGATAGATATAAGCAACGTTGAATCTCCAGACAACAAAGATCCCCCGTATAGCCTTTACAGACTGTTAGGGCAAGTGCTGTTAGCGAACGCCTATGAAGGCCGGCACGGCACACGGGGAGGTGAGTGGCCAGCACCACGTCAGACCGCCTTTTTCCTCCCCAGTGGTGATGTTTACATACCACACCAGGTAGTAATTTGAGGCTTAGTCAACCTAGGGGAGACCCAAGACCAGGTTCGGGTCGCCGGGTTCGTAGCGCAGCCTGTTAACCGTGACACTACCGCTCCCCAAAGGGACACAACCTTTGTGACAAATAGATGGAGATGGAAGAGAGGCGGCCACATGTAGAAACAAGGATACGGGGACACGGAGGCAGACAGAGACGTGGGGGACGCACGCGTGCATTTCCGGCGAGGCGTGCGAGCCGCGCCAGCTCGGTGAGATGATCGACGAGGGCCCCCGTGCTCTCGGGCGCCGCCTGGCGGTGAAGCGCCGTGCGCAGCGAGAGCACGGGCTCCTTGTAGCGGAAGTCGGTCTCCCGTAGCACCAGCAGCTGCTGGCGCCACGAGTCCTGCAGCGGTGCCAGCGCGTCCACGTCGGGCCCAGTGCTTGCATTGCCACATCAACAAAAACAACAATAATGAGTTTTACATTTTGATTTAAGCTTTCGTGACTGCAGTAATTCATATTCGTAGCTCTTTCGGTAAAGTCACATTGAAGGGAAACAATACAATATAATATATAATATATTTTATTATTTTATTGTTTCCCTTCAACGTGACTTTACCGAAAGAGCTAAGAACAAGAATAACAATGAGGTTTCGATTTAAAGCTTTCGTGACTGCAAGGATTTATCTTCTTTGGTTCTTTCGGTAAAGTCACGTAGAATGTTTTATTTTATTATTTTATTCTCATTCTACGTGACTTTACTGAAAGAACCAAAGAAGAATAATGAGGTTGATTTGAATTCAAGCAGTGTATGAATACAAACAAGAAAATACAAATTAACCAAAACTCAACGGGTGCAACATACTGCGCACAGGAAGGCACAAAAAATATTTCGTGACTAAATCACCAAGCATGCACCCAATCTCACCAGCGCTGTCCTACCAGACAGTCTCGTCCCTTCACCTGATGAAGGCCGCTTGTGTTGTGGCCGAAACGTCGTGAGAATATTATTGTGTTATTTTATTTTATCAATTTATTATTTTATTCTCATTCTACGTGACTTTACCGAAAGAACCAAAGAAGATGAATCATTGCAGTCACGAAAGCTTTAAATCGAAAGTTAAGTAAGGTTGCATCTGGATAGAGCTTCGATTGGTGACCACCAGGTCATAGGGCTTGAGGGGTTACGTGGTGCCTTATAAGGGCCGTTAACAACTCACACTGAATAGCATGGTGAATAATGGTCAAATAACCCATGGGGAGATTCCATCCAACAGTAGATATCATGATACATGTGTATTGTTCATTAATAAGAAATTGATCTTTGTCAAACAGAGCTTAGACTAATATCCCACGACTCGCCGTGAGCATTCCACGTTGAAACAGCTCGATGTCTCATGAAAAAAACCCGCCACCAATAACAACGCAACTGAACCACAACTGGGGGAACAAGACAACTGAATAATGAAATTGAAACAAGCGAAACCTGTGCAGCCGTTGTCCAGCGGCTTCCATCTCGCTGAGCGAGCGCAGGCGGCAGAGCGCCGGGTACACGGCGTGCACCGACTCCAGACTGAGGGCGCTCAGCTCACGCATCTCCTGCACACTGGCACGAGGCAGCGCGGCAACGCGCTCCAGGTAAGTGGATCGACAAAGCACCGGACATTACATTCCGAAAACAAAGATAAGAGGTGCTGGTTAGCAAACGCGCCCTCGGGGGTCCCAAGGAACATGGGTCGAGGGCTCCTTCTCCATGCATGCTACAACTGATATTCTGGAATGCAAACTCAAGCCGTACAATAACTGCTCCGCATATAATTAAGCATTGAATCTAAATTCCAAATATAATTGATGTATTTTTTAATGCATAAAGCACCCAGTACACTGCTTATCTGGAGCTCCGATTGTGATGATACACTTGCTGTCAGGGCAGGGGTGCAGAAGCAGTGGCCCAACGGACTTGAGTAGAAAAAATCCGTACGCTGGCACTAGTGGTGCCAGTCTGATAAATTATTTCCCATGATATTGGCAGTTAGCCTATCAGTGTTGCTCCTTGATATAAACAAAAGACAATTTTAATAAGATTGTAAGAAACCATTTGGCAGATACCCTAACCACATATAGTATTCTGACCCCGGCATGTAAATACCATCTCACACCGGCTGTGGCTACCGTGTGGACTGTGCGTCTCACCGTGCTGCTGCCAGGTGCTGTGTGAAGCTGCTGAACTCTCGATCGTGCAGAGCCTGGAGACAGTAGTAGAGGCACTCGTGGTAGCCCAGGCTGTGGGGTTCTGACCTGCTGATCACACACAAGCACACCAAGACCCCTCCCGACCCCCGCCGGTTAACATTACAGCCTGCAGGGGCTTTTACTCTCATCAAACACATAGTTATGATTACAGCACTTTATCCAACAGTGTATTGAAAGAAACATCCTCACACAATGTGTGTTGTTGGGTTGTTTGAACATATTGTACCACGCCGGTTCAGTGTAGGTTGGTGAGAAGGGACCCAGATATAACTCGCCAAGCCGTGACCAGGCATTGAACTCAAGGGTTTAGAGCACAGTGTTTTAACCACTGGACCACAGCTACATGGAACTAAATAATAGACAGTTTAACATGTAGGCTTTCACGACCAATATCATCCATAGAGGTTTTTTGGGTTATATCTCGTAAATACATGTGTCGTCAAAACCCACCACCCGACACAGCTAACTACTAAGGGTTATCACGTAAACAGAACATGCCAATTCATCACTAGTACAGCACGGCCGTGTGCTGGAGAGCCAAGCATCAACATTTACAATCTGAGTACGACGTTTCGCCAGTAATTACAAGCTTCATCAGGCGGCAGCCAGATTTGTGGAGAAGTCTAACTATTTCGTTCCTTATATATAGACGCCTCTATATAAACTAAAAGAACACCAAAGGAACATTAAATTCTCCCAAACACAGCTGTCAGCAGTGGCAGAGCATGCTTGCCAACAAGGACATTCAACTGATTTGATAACGTTGAAGTGTTATGTAGAACTAATTATTACTGGCAAAGATTAGTTAGAGAATCAATTGAAATTGAGAAGAATTCAAATAATTTCAACAGCTGTGATAGCTTAGACTCAGCGCAGCCTGGAAGAGTATTATTAAGTAAAACACAACACATTACAATTCCTTACAGGTGCGTCACATGCTAAGTGGCTGATTATTGATCTATTACATAATTGCATACACCCCCACCCCCGCCTCTGATCTCGAATCCTGATGGGGTTCAACAATGATGACGTCATCCTGCACTATTTAAGACCGGAGGCAGGTGGATGGCTTCACTATTCTGGTAAATCGCCCGACGATGCTGGATGTAATTTCCAGCGAAACCTCGTACTACTCAAATTGTAAATGTTGTAGATTCGCTCTTCAACACACCGGTGGGCTAAAATAGTGAATTATTTTTCTTTTGTCAACGTGACACATTTTTACTGATTGGCCGTGTCGGGTAGTGGAGGGTTGCAACACATTTATAAATAACGCGATCTAACCCAAAAACCTTTATGAATAATAATGGTTGCGAAAGCCTACGTGTTAAACTGACACATTTACATATTTACACGATCTAACCCAAAAAACCTCTTATAAATAGTGGACGTTTGAAAGGCCAACCAATCATATAAGCAAGCTGGATTTAGAAAAAGGGTTTTCTACCATGACACAAACTACCATTCGTCAGATCGTAGATAACACAAATCAATAACAAATACAATTATGCCTGGCCTTTTGGAGATTATGTAAGGGCATTTGATTCTATTTTCAGTGAAAACTTTAAATTTATTCATCTAAGCTCTCATAAACCGAGGCTTAATAAAACACATAGACATCCATAATACAGGTTTTTTGGGTGAGATCACGTAAATATATAAATGTGTCGTTAAACCCGCCACCACCCGACACAGCCAATTAGTAAGGTTTGTGTCGGATGGTGGTCGGGTTTAACGACACATTTATATATTTACTAGATCTAACCCAAAACACCTGTATTATGGATGATATTAGTCGCGAAAGCCTACGTGTTAAACATACATAGACATTATCGAAACTATTTGTAAGATGGAACAGCTATATCGAGGCTGCATGAAGAAAGTAACAAAATACAAATCAAAGGAGTCAGGCAAACAGATTTGCTCTTACCAACGCTACATCAACATAAGATATTTTCTGTAAACTGAATTGGAGAAATTAAGGCATGAAACAAATTGACAATATATAAGCCCTCTCGAGTGAGTTGATGACCGCCATTATAAGAACCAATGGAAATAATCATCATACATTGGCTGCTGGATTAAGGTCGTCCCATGTCATTTCCATCTCTCTGTCTCGTGGTGCAATAATTTATTCCATTACTGCACATGAGCTGATCTTGTGTGCGAATGTGTGTTCGTGGTTGAGTGTGTGCGAGTGTGTGTGAGTGCCACCGAGAGCTGGGCTCGCGGTCCCACTGGCCCGCTTGCCAGGCTGCCTGGTAGCGCATCTCCTCTAGGTCCGCGCTGCACTCAGGCAACTCCTCCTCCAGGCCTCGAAGGTATCGTTGCAGCACCAAGTCCAGGCCGCAGTTCTGCAGAGCCTGCTCCCAGTGAAAACGCACACGCACCGGGTACTCCAGCTTCCTTGCACGGGCCAAATTCTCGTTAATACTGGCCAAATGTTCCATTGCATGGTTCCCCTGTCATGTTGGCGAGATGTTAACTCCATCGCCTGGTATGCAGGAGGTTATGGGTTTGATCCCGACCCTGACACACATATTTGCAGTTTGCATGTTCTCCGGTTTTTCCCTTCACATTTAGAAACATGCATTGAGAGTATTTGCCTGCTATAATTTCCACATGATAAGCCACTTTGTTGTGGTCAGGTCGCTTCTGTAAGTAGCTATATTACCTTTCAGCCCCCCAGCTTTCTGTCGCCCCCCAACTACGACCAGGCCTATCCCAACCCCTCTTTAGCAATCCATCTTGCTTTGCTGCATCAAAACTACACCACGCACAATAAGCCAATTATTTATTTCAAGTTATTGTCATGCTCTGTCCAATTTTATCATTGATGTAAAGCTTGCTTTACATCTGAAAAAGAGCGACATAGCTGAGTGGGCCTAACCAACATAGTGACAAGCATTGAGACTAATTTAGGCTTCCTTATGGTAAATAACAGCATCACTCTGTCGATGATCTCCAACAAGAGTGCAATCATTAGTAAAGCCACGTAGATAGAAAAATAATGAAGAAAAATAATAAAATGATCACGACATTTCAATCGCAACACAAGCAATCGTCATCAGGTGATGTACATGGATAGCCTTATTATGAACCCACTGCTGAATGAGGCCTTATCACGCAGTGCGGGTTGTGGGGTCATTTGACATATTTCACCACACTGGTTGGTGTGGGTTGATGAAGGTGGGCAAGTTAGACAGTGTAATGCATTTTTCTACACTGTTCTTGCTGACACCATAGCCCGGCAGCAGTCTACAACACTTGTCTAGGTGAAGGGATGGGTAAAGTGAACAGAAGGTACTTTTAATATGAAGTGGGGTCCAGCACCAGCACTTACAGGACCTGAGATAAAGAGATATCTAAAATGTGCATGGGCACACTTTTATTGTGAATGGAGTCCAAAGTGTGCTCCTACAGGATCCGAGGTGAATGTGGAGGTGAAGCAGCAGGGGAACTTTTAATGCAAAGTGAGGCCCAGTGCCAGCACTTGCAGAATCCAAAGTGTATGTCCAATGAAGTGGGTAGGGGTGGGGGAAATTTTATTTGAAATGGCATTTGGCACCAGTACCTGTAAGATCCCCGCTTGCCTGACGCCCATGGGCAACGCAGTGTCAAGGTCATACGCTCCCAGTGCCTTCTCCCACTCCCCCTCATGCTCATAGGTGCGGACCCTTCAACAGGGCACACATACACAGTACACACACACACAACACACATACAAAAGTATGAGGAATTCAGAATCAATTTAAAGGCTTATCTTATAAGTCTCAATCTCAAATTGACTCTCTTGTAAATTAGTATTAAGATTGTGTGACCCAGTTTGACATGGGTTGGAATCTTCATTAATGAGAAACAATGAAACAAACTCATGAAATTGCATGGCTTCTGTAATGCTTTCTAATTTGTATTTGTCCACGGAAGTATTAATTTGCAATAATAACAATGGCACCTTCCGTTTTGGCCAGTTTTCTATAGCATAAGTCCTAAATAGTAATGAGCTTTAAACTAAAACATGTGATTCACATTCGATCATCGTTACGAGATTTATCATGATCCACAGCTACAGACCGACAGACAGATGTATGTATTAATTCGAGATTTGAAGTTTTCGTGACTGCAAGGATTCATACTCTTTGGTTCTTTCGGTAAAGTCACGTAGGTTAAAATAAAATAAAAAATGAAAACATACATACAGATGTATGTATGTATGTTCAACTTCTATCACACTGTACGTAGTCAACTGTGCTAATCGAAGTGCAGGGGAAGGACAAACTAAACAAAAAACAGTACAAAAGAAATTAGTTTTAAATCTAGATTGAAAAGTGTATAGCTCCAGTTGCTTCCTAATACTGGAAGAGTGTTCCAGACTGTCCCCGTAGAAGTGCATCTGAAAGCGCACGATACAGTGGCCTGTCTGTATTCGATGGCTAGCCAAAATCCGCTACGAAGATGTTCAGATTTAGCGTGATGGTTTATGCTCCTGACGAGATCAGCAAGGTTTTGTAGTTCAAAATATAGACAGAGAGAGATGGATAGTCAGAGAGACAGACAGACAAGCAGACAGGTATGGCTAATTCATTAACACTTTCAACCTTATATTCTTAGCTCTTTCGGTAAAGTCACATTGAAGGGAAACAATAAAATAATAAAATATATATCAAACAATAAAATTATCACGACGTTTCGACCATAACACAAACGGTCATCATCAGGTGTGAAAACCAATGGCAAGAAACATTTGAAAGAAGTGGCGGTTTGTATTTATTCATTTTTAAATCGGTGTTTGTATTTATTTATTTATTATAAAAAAAACGTTAGCACCACGGGTAGCGATTTGGCAGTTTGTTTAGAAGGACGAGTCCACCTATGTTCTGAAAAGAGGAGGGGGGAGACAAAAAATTAATGTATGCTGTCTGAAAGCCACCGTAAGCGTGAACAATCAATTAAGACCTGAAATGGTTGATCAAATCCTTCCAATGATTGCTAAGCCAGAATCTATCTTCTCGGTTCAAATTGTCTCTGTGCTTGTATATGTGGATAGCCTCATGAACGAATCTCTCATGGTAGCCACATGGCTCACAAAGAACCTCTGTCTTGGAGAAGTCAATGTCATGTGAGCCTACTGAATTATAACAATGATCTGCCACGGCCGAGGTGTTGGTCCTACCGTGTTTAAGGTCTGCTTTGTGTTCACGAATGCGGTCCGAGACATGGCGTTTGGTTTCTCCAATGTAACTACTACCGCAGATGCAACTTAGTTTGTAGACACCAGGGTACTGTATGTCCGGAATCACATCTTTTACAGACGGAACCAGATCACGGATTTTATGTAATGTGTTGAAACGGACCTGGATCTTGTGTTTATTCAAGATTTTGGAGATCTTTTTTGTGATCCCGGCAATGTAGGGTAAAGTGATGGTTTTGAAAGGCTCCTCAAGAGGGTCCTTCTTCATGGTTTGAGTGATAGCTTTGCGGATTGTATAGTCGGAGTAACCATTAGCCTTAAGAGCTTGGTGTACGTGCTTGAGTTCACTGCCTATGTGTTCCTGGTCGGATATGCATTGGGCTCTATGGTACAGAGTCTTGATGAGAGAATTCTTCTGTGATGGATGGTGGTGGGAATCCGGTTTCAGATAAGCATCCGTATGGGTAGCTTTCCTGTAGACAGAGTGGCTCATTGAACCATCAAGTCTCTTTTTATTGGGACATCCAAAAAAGGTAGCTTGCCATCTTTTTCGACTTCCATGGTAAATCTGATGGCTGGGTGTATGGAATTTATGTGGTCGAAGAATTGGTCTAGAGCAGGCCGGCCATGTGGCCAGATGATATATATTTTATTATTTTATTGTTTCCCTTCAACGTGACTTCACCGAAAGAGCTAAGAATATGAATTACTGCAGTCACGAAAGCTTTAAATCAAAACTTTCAACCTTAGTTGGAAAGCATAAAAAACACGGATGGTGCCAGAATTTGCATGTACTCGCATGAGTGCTTGGATGATGGAAAGGAGGAAATCACCTGGCCAGGGCATGGACAGGGTGACCTCCCCCGCAGCCGTACAGGCTGTCGGGCTCCCCGATGCTTCTATAAACCTCCAGCAGCAGATCCTGGAGTCACCCGGTGGAAACAAAAACCTCATTATGGAACCAGGGTTGTTAATTTGATTGTGTTAGTGTTATCAATATTAACATGTACAAAAGAAAACTATAAAAAATAAATATTGGTTTGCCATTCTTCACCAACCCATTCTGACCAGCCTTGTGAAGTATGATAAAAAAAGCCCCATGACTGACATGTTGTGGTGAGGCTTTCATCCAGCAGTGGAGCGACAAAGGGCTGTACGTTTTTAAAAAAATGTTTTTGCATGTAATGTCACTTGACCAATCACATAACATTAAGAGGTTAATGGCAGCCATTATCAAAAAGCATATTCAAACAATATCGAGTGTATTATACTTAAATGTGCGCCATCTGCTTCGTAGCGGACGTTACGAGGATCCCGCTGTTACTCGAACAATAGTCCATTTGTTGCTGGCGTTATGGTGCAAATTTGGAAAATGTGATCAATTGCTTGTAAATGAATTAAGTGGATAAAGCTACATTGCAGCGTCACCCCCTACTGGCAGACGTATGCCCACGTGCGGGCTGGTACTGCGTAAAATCTGTGCTGCAAAAGGACAGCTGCCACTGTGGGTCACATTGGTTAGACTGCAGCATGGCATTCAAATGGTTGATATGCCATGTGATATAAGGCGTTTTAATTTGCCGAGGCGTTTAAGCAAGCACCATATTAATACAAATCCTCATCCTTGTACGTTTACTGATCCAATTCACGAAGCACACATTATGCTCATGGTATGACCTGCAGGCTGATGTTCGCCTCATCCATCCCTGTCTCGCTGATGTTCTCCAGCAGTGACTTGTGGCTGTCCTCATCATGGCTCGAGCGGCTGTTGAAATCACCGCTGCCATTCTGGGGCCTGAGATTGCATCAACGATGGCAGGAGTGGATGACATGGTGAGGTGGTTGAGTAATGTGATCACAAATGCTTGACTGTCTTTCACCTGTCCCACCTGTCTGCATCCATCCGTCAGTTCATCTGTCGATCAGTCTGATTATCCAACTACCTGTGTGTCCACCCATCTATCAGTATGTCCACCTCCCCATCCATCCATCACTATTTTGTGTATGCATATCTGTCCATCCATCCGTTTGTATTCGTGTCTACTTATGAATCCATTCATATGGTCATATGTTTGTCCGTTCTTTTGTACATCCATCAATCCACCCACCCACCTTTCTGTCCTATCCAACCTCCCATTCGTCAGTCAATCCTTCTTTCTATAAATGGGCCTATCCATACATCCATAATTTATCTACCCATTGATCAATCAGTCTATGTCCACCTGCCTGGCCATTATGCATATAACGAAACATCGATTCATCACTTAAAATCAAATCTTATACTCAAGAAACACATCTGTTTGTCTATGTAATAATTGAATATTTACATTTAATGCAAATGCAGTATATATAATATGTTAATGCTACATTTTCTCAATGGTGCAACAAAACTTTACAAATTACACTGTAAAAAGGAGACAAAAAAGAATTGATTCTTTATTCTAGTCATAAACCAGAATGATGACACTTCATTGAATCGCTGCAGGCAAGACAGGAAGTTAAATGTTAGAGGTCTACTGTTCAGAAATGTCCATTATTCAGTCCATTAATTTATCAGTTCATCCTTATCTCTGTACGTGTCTTTTCCTTCTTTTATAGTCAATATATCCAAATAATCACCCATCCATCCATCCAATTGCACACATAGCCATCCACTTGGCTGCATAAACATCTATCCGTCTATTGCCGCATGTGCGAGGCTGAGCCAGCGAGCGAGTGATGTGGTCTGTACCGATGCGTGCCGGCATAGATCTCGGCGTAGAGCAGTGCGGTGAAGTGCGCGCCGCATGCCTGTGCCGCGCACGCCACCTGTAGGTGGTTGAGACTCAGCCAGAAGTTGTTGTCCCAGGGCGTTTGCGAGCTGGGCCTGACACACGCAGATGCACATGGCCGCAACCACGGCAGCAAGGACCACAACTTTGCGTGTAGTCAGAAAAGTTGTGATGTGGTAGATGCGTGTGTGTTGTAGGTGTGGCGGGGAGTGGTGGCCTAGCGGTTAGCGCGCCGCGCTACGAACCCGGTGACCTGGATTTAATTCCCGCTCACGGCCAACACTAGTGACTGTCCGGAGCCTCCCCTATGTTTACACACCTGGTGCGGTGTGTAAACATAGCCACTCGGGAGACAAAAGCGGCCGGATGTGGTGTTGACCACCCACCACCTCGTGTGCCGTGCCGGCCTTCTTAGGTGCTCGCTAACTGAACTTGCCCTAACAGTCTGTTATAACCTATACGGGGGATCTTTGTCTTTGTGTGGTGTGTGTGTGTGTATTGAGTGCAGTGTGTGGTGTAAGCAGTGTGTGTGGTGTAAGCAGTGTGTGTGTGTATGGAGTGCGGTGTGTGTGCTGTAAGCAGTGTGTGTGCGCACTATGAGTGCACGCCATTACCGCTGGTGGCGACGCAGGTAACCGATGGCTCGGAGGACAGAACGCACAGACACCGGGTCCACATGTCCCCCCGAGGCATCTTCAAAAAGATTGCATGGTGACCACATCGGCAAAGAAGAGCTTCACATACAATAGCAACAGCATTTCGACACATACAGCATTTAATGCACTTGTTTTCATTCAATCAATGAATAGGTCCAATCACTTACAAAGTATGAACCCATTAAGATGAGAAAAAGCCCCACTAATATTCAGGGCTCTTTTTAAGGAGGACCCCCTGTTTTGGGATGTTTGACCAAATTCACTTATGAGTGTTCAGCATCGCGAAGAAACTGAAGCAGCTGCAGAAAACCCATGCATACGCTTAGGGGGTAACACTAAAATAATTGCACAGATATAATCGAGAATCCATTGCTCATCGCACAAAGCAGGAGGGTGGCCCCACCTCCAGCAGTGAGCATTGGCGTGGTGGGCCTGGAGGAGCCCTGTGCCGAGGACCGCCGTGGGGGCTGGAGGGCCCTCATGAGGTGGCTCGAGATAAGAGGCATCCAGCTACCACCGACCTCAGCGTCGCCCAGGAGAGCATCGTGCAGCAGCAGTGGGAGCACTCGCTCGCAAGCCTCCGCCTTGGCCTACAGCCGCAGCACACACGCATGCAGGGCCAGAGTGCAGAAGGGTCATCATCACCACCACCACCATATGAGAATATCTTGGTGAAAACGTGTGCTTAATTTTCTCGGAAATTAGAAGATCTAGAACAGGCAAGTTTACCACCTGATAACTCACTCTAATGGCTCAATAAACAAGCTGGCTGTAAACACACAGAGCCCCTTACCTCACAGATGGGCCCGAGCAGACGCAAGACATCGCAGCGAGCTGCACCGCCTCGGATGAGTGCACACGTTAAGCCTTTAAGCCACAGATCATGGCTACCACCGTCCGGCACCCATAATGCATCACTCTCCAGCTCTTTAGAGGGGCGGCCGTCCAGCGGCAGGGGCGGCAGCTCCAAGAACTGGGGGGGGGGGGTCAAGGGTCAAACCAGGCATGAAAACAGAAATGCAAGAAGTTTCACTGTTATGTTAACACTGTCAAACATGTATTGTGTGCTGGTCTTTTTGGGCAGTAGCCTTTTCCAGAGCAGTGAAGTCATTTATAAAATTTAATATAAAATGTATACGAGTATTTTGCACTGTGATAATTTAGAAACTGTTGGGATTGGAGATGCATTTGAACACTGTTTATCAACAGTGATGTAAGCAGTACCATCGAGAATTAGGCTAAGACAGATATATAAGTGCTATGTGTCCTATTGGCCTAAAAGCAATGCATAGCTCATCATCGTAGCAGAATGCAAATTGCAGTGGGAAACAAATGTCTTGTCACAGGAGTAACATTCCCCTGCTACTGTTGAGTACGGCACATGGAGATTCTGATAAACATACAAAAGCATATACTTTACTATGCAGTGCTGTATTGTATTTAATTCCTCTTACAGTGTGTACAGGAGGCCTACACATAACTCTTATCACATACTGGCCTTGGTGGTGGCTCTGGGTTCCGTCCGTGCACACCCCACGCTGTGTGTTCAGGCATTTTAGCTTAACATATTCACTTTTTTTTGGACCAAGCTTCTTCAGGCTAAGTCAGTGGTGGTTGCGGGGGTCGGTCTAGGATCAGCTCACATGTCACTCACCACTGATATTAGCAGTGAGCCAGAATTTAATATAATTCAGATCGCCGGGTTTACAGCGTAGTCAGCTAATCACTTCGCCACCGTTCCAGTTCATTCTCATTCAGGACTAAACGTAAAGATGAGAAGATGGTGCTAAGTCTGTAAGAGCTGCCTGGCTACACCGCACTTGCCTTCTTTTTAGGGTTGCGAAAGGGCGCGAGGATCTGCAGGAGGAACTCTGTCTCAGGTAGGGCTGCCTGACGTTCCCAGAATTCAGCGCCAGCGCGCGTGGCAAGCACGGCCTTCAGGCAAGTGGAGCTGGCTGCTCGGACCTCCACACTGGCATGGAAAACAGCGAGCGGTGGTGACGACAGAAGGGATGGCAGCGGTAGCATGAGCAGCAGAGAGATGTTGAGTTAAAATTGAGTTGTACTGACAATTGGTACCATTGAGTCACTTAATGATCTACACATTAATCTACTCATTCTCTCACTCACTCAACTACTAACTTACCATGAGCAGCAGAGAGATGTTGAGTTAAAATTGAGTTGTACTGACAATTGGTACCATTGAGTCACTTAATGATCTACACATTAATCTACTCATTCTCTCACTCACTCAACTACTAACTTACCATTCGTTCACTCAAACATATACCCAAATGCTCACTTACAAATTTACTGGCTTAACTACAAATGCACTCGCTTCCACACTCAACCACACATCTACACATTCACTCACCCAGGCACCCACTTACACAGCCATCCATCTAATCACTCCCAACTACAACAGCAGAATTAACTATACGAGGTCGTCATGAGGCAGTGTAACCACCTGCTGTCAGTCAGTGCGTCGTTCAGCAGTGCCACGGCCATGTCCGTCCACTGTGTGGTGGTGGATCCGGGGTCTTCGGGGGTGATGGAGGTCAACAGACCCAAGGGCTGGCCCTCAGTATCCCTCTCCAGGGCCGTGGTGGAGAAAGCGACGGGACCCAGCTCGCCAAGGCAGGCAGCAACAGCCTCTGTATTTATGGAGAAAAAACAATTGATTCTGGATTTTAGTGAGTGGGTGATTCGATTGGTGGGTGGGTGACTGTGAGTGAGAGACTGAGCTGTCAAGCGAAACAGTAAGCAAATTAATTGCTAGGTAGATACGTTGTTGGTTAAGTGGGTGGTTAGTTAAGTGGGTGGGCGGGTTGGTGGCTGGAGGGATGTAAAGGCGATTGAATGGGTGAGTGAGTGGGTAGGTGTGTAAATGAATAGGTAAGTGACTATGTGAGTGGCTGGATGGATGAGTAAGCGTGTGAATTACTGGGTGAATGAGGGTGAGTGATGTGAGGAGGAGGATGTGCAATTGAATGTGGGTGAGTTAGGGAAGTGATCTTGAGAAGCTTCTACGGATGATGCCAAATTGAACACGCAACTAATTTTTCACAAAAGTTCGTGTATGCAATCAATCAATTGTGCACTAGGTCTTCACCAAGTCTCTACAAGATAAACAGCACGGCTGATTTGGAGCATAACACAGAACCTCAGAGGTGTGGGCTTAGTGCAATGACATGATAATTATAAATCTGTGGTTTGATCGCACTACTGATCATTTTAAACTTCAGAGTTCAAATCCTGGTTGATAAGTCGACAGCCCAAGCTCTCCCCCATGGCTGTTACAATAAGTACCCCTTCAAGGGAAGTTATTAATTGCTCACCAAAGATTATGCAGTGAGCGACTGCGCCGCGCCGTGCCGTGCCAAACAAACACACTGTAAACTCCTGTTAATTATGAGCATTTCAAGGTCGTATGAGTGGTACACACTCACTATCTCTTGAAGCCATCAACTGTATTTTCAAATGCCCGTATTTAATTATGATTGATGCTCAAATCATATCACTTAAAAGAAGAACCCTATCGAGTGACAGGTCCCTGCCAGAGAAATGTAGAATTTCCACCACTGGCTAATTGGCATTAAGAGAGATAATCACCGCGCAATGGTTCCTTGAGGAGGGAAACAGTTTGATGGATTTTATGTTGGGCGACACAACCACCTCGAGATATACAGCTAGTCCCCGACTTACGATGGAGATGTGTTACGACGACCCCATCGTAAGTCGAAAATATCGTAAGTCGAAAATGGCCTAGCCTACCCAGGAGTCTTAAAGAATGGTGATAATTTAGCAAAACAGAGCAATTTACAGTACCGTACTATATAAACGATATACTGTATGTATTTATTAATTACAATATTATATTGCACAGTAAAATTTAAAGTAAAAAACAAGGTAAATTCTTAGCCTACCTATATGAACTGCAATTTCATAGAAAGTTTTTTTCAGGAAACAATCCTATCTGCTATAAAAACTTTTAACATGCATTGAACGTATGTATCGTATCGTGGTAACCCTGAAATGAAATCGCTAAAGCTATGTATCATACACGCATTGAACGTATCGTAACGTATCATATTCTACTGTACTCACCAAGATCCTGTCTGTCGTCTGCATACTTGAAGGGTGTTAGGTTGTTGATGGCTACATTAACTTAGTTGTCCGAAGAGGAGGATGGCGATGATAAAGTACAGTATCATACCTCGTACGCTGCTGCGTTTGCCTGCCGCGCGAAATTAAAAATATTTTACAATTTTGTCATATCGCTATCGCCATCGTAAGATCGAAATATCGTAAGTCAGACCATCGTAAGTCGGGGACTACCTGTACTTTTAATTCAACTCAACATTAATCTACGCTGTGTTGTGTGGCGATGATCACGAGGATGAGTTACCCAGAGTGTCTTCAGCCCCGGTTGGAGAGGCGAGGGCAGTCCGGCTCATACGCACCAGGCCACCCACTAAACGGATCAGCACGCCACCCTCCAAGGCATCTGCAACAACAGCCCATATGTATGTATGTATGTTGAACTGCTTTCGCACCGTATGTAGCCAACCTTGCTGATCGGAGGTGCGGGGGAGGGACAACAAACTAAACACAAAAAGCAGTTCTAAAGCAAATAGTTTTCAATATAGATTTAAAGGTGCATAGCTCCAAGTGGCTTCCTAATATCGGAAGAGCATTCCAGACGGCCACAGAAGCGCATCTTAAAGCGGACGATGCAGTGACCGTCTTTTTTTGATGGCCAGCCAAAAGCCGCTGCAAGGTTGCCTGGAGTTCGCGTGATGATTTATGCTCCTTGACGAGATCAGCAGGTACTGTGGTTCATTTGTGCGAAAGAAGTTCAACATAGATACATATTTAGAGTGGTGCTGACCTTGCTGGGCAGCAAGCAGACCACACAGCTCTTCCTTGCGCTGCGCCAGCTGCACATGCAGGTGACGAACGCCCTCGACGCGCGCCCCGGCCAGGCCCTGCCAGACACCCGCCGACAGGAAGTGCTCCAACTCCTGGAAGAATAACGTGGTGAGTGCGAAAAACAGGATATTATTTTGTTGTTATTATTACAGCTTGTTTACACATAAAAGCCCAAGTCTCATGACTCTATTTCAATGATTGCTCTGTATATTCCAATTACGGATTTCTTTTTTTCTGGAACATGACAATGGCATACAAAGGTCTACTCTTGTGAATGATGTGAAGGGATCTTTAACGTCCACTTTGAAGAAGTGGGAATTTTCATGGTTAATAAACCCGTAGTAATGACCATAACAGCCGCTGCATTCGAACCGTGAACCTTTGCAACAAGCGGCAAATGCGCTACCGCTAGGCCACGTCATGGCCCCAGAAGGCGAGAGATTGCGAATTATGTCAGCTCCCTGATTTATTGAACAAAATTATATGATTTTATCTGATTAACGATTGTCACAAGGTCGTTTCCACGGTGTGTGCATGTGCACATCCCACATCTTAGAGTATTTGGCTAGGAATGCACTTATTTGTTGATTAAAATCACATCTTACACTCACAGTATGTGCATGGAATCACGTGTATAGGAATAAATTAATTAAAGATACATGAGAATGATATGGAAATGGTATGCCGATGTTACGTTTAGGCTGATGCAGCAAGGATAACTGTACAATCGAGGCAGAACAAGAAACCATACAAAACTTGGTATTTAACAGGTTACACCTTCACTCACCTGCAGCAGGGACAGCTTTCCATGCTGGTATTTAACCCTTTCCTGGGCCAACCGCAGGTGCTCCAGGGTTTGTTGGTGTGGGAATGGGTCCAGACGGCTTAGAGCACGGGATAGAGGCTCCACAGCCTGGCAGTCGATCACCAAGAAGTCCAACAGAGCCAGGGCCTGCTGAGACACGATGATTCCCAATGAGTTTGCGTAAGATTTAAGGGCACATGCCATTAGTGAACACCAATTACAGCCGTAACGGCACACGATGGGGGGGTGTGGACAGCACCATGCCACCTCCCTTTGTGTCCTCCCCAGTACTGAGGTTCATATACAATGCCTGATACTCATTTAAGGCTCAGTCTACCTAGGGAAGGCCAAAGGGAGGTTAAGGTAACAACTCGATACTGATGTTGTAAAGGGCAGTGAATTGAAGCCAGATAACTTGGGTTTACAATGCTGCAAGAAAATCACTCTGACAACTCCAAGCGCCATGATGGGGTGGCATGGCCACGGTGCTTGGCCACCTTCGTCTTGCCAGCGCTGACATGTACAATAATGCTCAGTTACTCAATTCAGGCAGAATATACCTGATGGGGCTTATGACGAAATCCCCCGTAATGCACCAGATCGTGTGAGATATCGGAAGCCAAGCGGGGTTGAGCCTGGGTTGAGTGAATGGATGGGCGACTGTAATGCATAAAGAGGTTGGCAAAGGGGCTGTGGGCCTATGTGGTGGCCAGCATAGGAAAGTGCAGAAAATGCATTGTTGTGCCATACTTCTTTGATCTCTGACTTCCCCTACCCACACTGAACAGCAAAGTGAAGTGTAGTCCAATACTCTCCATGAGTGGGGAGGCCCTCATCCATCAGTGGACTGAAAACAGCTGTACATGTAGAGGCCTATGGGAGGCCCAAAGCCAGATTCAGATACCAATTGACATTAAGTGTAACACAGCAAGGTCTTTTAACCTAGGCAGAACCAATTGCACAGCACGCGACCCACGGGTTCCAACTCCCTGTACAATTCACACAAAGTGACACTTCTCAATGACGATAAACTGACCTGCTTTGCGATGTCACTTGCGTAACCATGTTTTTTTTGTGACGATGTTGATGAAGATGTTGATGATGATTGTTGTGGTGGGGATGTCCAGGTAATGAGTGGCAGGAGGGCAGCGACAATGGCGTGGAGGTGTGGAGCCAGAGCCTCTGGTCTCCAGGTGACTCCAGCACGGCAGGACACGTTTAAGAGGTCAAGGCAAAGGCTGAAACTCCGACCAGATGTTTCATCCTGGACGTTGGGGCTGATGGGTTAAATACACGCCACACAGAAAGCCCATTTTTAACTAAGAGAGCGAGAGTGGGTGCTGTTTTTTATCCAGTACCGTGACATATCCAAACTGTGATATCCCATTTGTCTCTAAACTAAAATGTATCTCTACATCCAATAATTACAGTGCGACGGGGGGGTGGTTATGTATCGGTCCATTGAATAAAGTTTGAATTTGTGTTGGATGTCGCAAGCCAGATCCACCCACTACCTAAACAAGTGGAAATTCCAAAAAAGCCCAGTGTGTGATTGTGGAAACGCAGTCTAGGCCATCGAGCACAACTGAAGCCATTCCTGGCTAAATTATCTGAACATAGACATACAAGTTACTTTTCATGCAGCCATACACAAGATGGCCATTATAACCACCTCTGAGAAATACACGTAACCCTGGGGTTTCAACGCAGAATCATGGCAGTGCTGGCTCTGCATCTCCGACACGGCCAATAAGAGCCCACCTAGGAAATTGTCACATCACTCCAGTGCCTGAACCCAGTATCTCGGCAATGCAGGCCAAGCTGCCTCTGACAAGGCCATTGTGAACCCCCCCCCCCCCCCCCCCCCCCCGTAGGAGGGGAGTGAGCTGACGGGAGTTGGGGCGGCACCGGCTGTTGATGAGGTGAACGAGAGTGTAGATGACGTCGCGCAGCACGAAGGCCCCCGAGCCGCCGAGGCCATCCTGCAGCTCCCCTAGCAGGTGCCCGATGAACAGGCGGTACATCATGAGGACCCGGTGGCGCTCGTGGGCATCCGTGGCCAGCTGTACCTGCTGTCCGACGGCCAGGAGGATCTTCTGGATGGAGTCCTACGGGTGCGGAGCCAGAGAGAAAAGTGGTGTCACACGCAAACTCCAAGGCGACATGTGCTGACGACGATGATTATTATAGTGGAGATCACAAGGTTGTTTAGAGGTCAAGAGTGCTGAGCTAGCAGTGTTGAGATCTTGGATTCGTATCCAGACCGCTGCCTATGATTAAACGGGGTTCGCAAGTGTAGGGAGCTCATGGTGTCAGCTGGGTTAACCTATGACTGCACAAAAAAACCTCGTGACATTCAATAAAATCTTGCAATAAAATGTAATTTCAGCTTTTGATAATTAAACATATCGGCTTGACCGTCGTGTGATGAACATTACTCTCTGTAGCTTACGATTGTGTGAACCAGAGGTCACTTTGAAGGGACCTTTGAGGTAGATCTGCCAAATGGTACTTTTTCTCATAACAAGACCCGATAGCACGCTCGGGATAACATTTGGAAAATTTACAACAACAAAAAAGATAACTATAGTGGTAATGGTAAATGATGATGATGGTGGCAAAAAAGCTGAAAGAATAGATTATATTAATGATGATGGTGTTGAAGTTGTTGCTGCTATTGATGATGATGAAAGTAGTGATGGTGCTGATAATGATGCTGCAACTGACGCTGACAATGGCGGTGATGAAAGTGATTATGCTGGTGATGAAGATTATAGCGATGACAATGTTCCTGATAGATGATGCTGCTGATGATAAATTAATGATAATGTTGCTGCCAGTGATGACGATGATGAGGATGACTTAATAATTCCGACAATACAGAATGCCGCTGCTACTGTTGATGACAATGACGAAGAGAGTGATGATAAACGTGAGGCTATACCGACCAGGACTGGGATTTGAACTCATACCGGCGTCCGGGCCAGGTGTCCAATGAGACTCTTGCCAACGCCGCCGTGGCACTTGCCCAGGTATTCCATGGAGGCACGAATCACGTAAGCGGAGAACGTGGGAGGGTTTGGAGCGGGGTCCAGCTCGCTGTGACAAGACCGCGACGACAGGTGAGCGACAAGTAAAGTCTAAATTAAACACGCCTCCCAAATTCTAATGGCAAGAGCAGCCAACCAAGCAACAATGTGAGGCACAACTTGCTGTAAGCATCTCCCAGGAAGTAAACTAGCCCAAACCCTTCCCCCTTTCCTTAAAAAATACAAGGGTACCCAGTGCCATTAGTTTGTGAAGCCTCATCCTGCTCATGAGAATCTGTGACCTTGAAATTGCTCTATGATTGCCACATTCAAACAATTGCGTTCTGTAGGAGTAGAAGCTTGCATGTGGATACAAACGTTAAGAACTTGCCCGTCTCTCAATTGATGTATCCAATTAATTGTCTTCAGGAATAAAGATTCCCCATGTAAGCTTAACAGGCTGTTGGGTCAAGTGCTGTTAGCGAGCACCTATGAGGGCCAGCATGGCTGATGAAGGGGTGGGTGGCCAGCACCACACCCGTCCGCCTTTGTCCCCCCAGTGGCGATGTTGACACATCGCACGAGGTAATAATTTGAGGCCGAGTCGGCCGAGGGGAGGACCAGGACCGATTCAGATAATCGTCACTGGTGTTGGCTGTGAGCGGGAATCGAACTCGGGTTTGCAGCGTAGTGCAGCGTGCAAATTGCTACACTACCATTCCCCACAACAACAACAACCGCCATTCGCCACTAAGTGGTGGTGACGTCACCACGAATCTTGTGCCAGGCTATGTGCACGTTGAGGCTACGTGAAGTGTCGAACGCCTGCTAGCAGGAGGTCACGGGGCAGACCCAGGTGCCACGGGTCGACTTACTGAGATGACCGAGATGACTGGCTGATGCACCACCTGTGCTCCCTACTGTGCCAACTTGCTGTGCTTTTCTAGATTTAAAGCTTTCGTGACTGCTAGGATCCATACTCTTTGGTTCTATTGGGTAAAGTCACGTAGGTGAAAATAAAATAACAAAAATAATGCTGTGCTTAAGCCACCCGGCGCTCCGCTCGTTGTTGTGAGCGTCGCTCCTCCGCCCTCCATTGCTGTTGGAGGACGACTGCCTCCAACTGCCCGGTAGCATGCTTCACGAGCCTCCTCCACAGAGGCCAATCTTGACACCGCTGGTACCAGCCATCGGCAAGTCCACTCAGCTCCACATCCTCCTGTACCATATCACTACATCTCTTCTCTAGCCTGTGCCGTGCCCGTTTAGCCCCCTGGATCCGGCCGAACAAAAGCTGTTTAGGCATGCGGTGGCTGGGCATGCGAGCTACATGACCCAATGGTACAAAATACCCAGGCAGGTGCTTAGTTTTGGTGGGGCTGATGGTAAGTCCCCACCTCTTAGTGGCAAGCTCCAGGTTCAGCAGGAGCGCCTCCAACTGATTGCAATTACCAGATCATCGGCATACATAACGTGGTTGAGCAATAGGGAGCCATCCCTTGACCGCAACCGGGCATCAATCAGCCTCCCATTGTATCGACACCAGATGAAAATTCCTCCGGTACAGCTATTGAAGGATTCATGAACTACGTGGTCGAAAGAGATGTTAAATAATCTGGGAGCCAGAGGACATCCCTGTCGCACCCCAAAGTGAACAGGGAATGGCTTCGACTCCCGTACACGTAGTTTTACCTGGGCCCGCTCACCATCATGAAGGTCCTTAACGATCGTGAGCAATGGATCAGGGACTCCGAAAGCACGAAGAACAACCCAGAGCCCAGGCCTACTGATGGTATCATAGGCCTTGACCAGGTCAATAAAACAGAGATGTAGGTTTTGTTGGAATTCCCTACACTTCTGCTGCAGCAGACGGATAGAAAATATGGCATCTGTGCAGGACCGCCCTTTCCTGAAACGACATTGGGGCTCCACAAGCCTCTCCTCAGCATGGCTGGCAAGGCGATGTTGAATAATCCTTGCCAGGACCTTTCCCGGCACAGAGGAGTGAGATGCTCCTGTAGTTGTTACAGTCTGTGCGGTCCCCTTTCTTAAAGAGGGGGACCACCAGGTCATCTTTCAAATCCCGCAGAACCCATCCAGTGGTTCAGACTGTTGTTATGATGTTATGTAGGGCAGTCTGTGCACAAACTCCACCCTCCCTCAGCATTTCGCTTGGGAGATCATCTCTGCCCGGTGCCTTTCCTGGTCTCAGGCTCTGGATCGCCCTCAGTACTTCCTCAACAGATGGCACCTCAGCCAGCCACTCACAGGGGGTGACTTATTCTTCCAATATTTGAGGCACCGCAGCCTCAGCAGGGTCATCCCCACTCTGTCCCACGATGTTTTCCAGGCTGTGGGATTTCCCCTCCCCCAGGACCTCACAGAAATGCTCAGCAAATCTGCAAACCTGTTCCTGGGGGTGAGAGATTGGATCACCGTTCTTTCCTCTAATGATGGTAATAGGTGTGGCACTGCAGGTAACTTTTTTATGTAATTAAAGAGCGATTTCTGATCGCGGGCCATTGAGGCAGACTCCATCTCCTCAGCAACCCACGACCACTAACCATTCTTGCAGCGCCTCAAGGCTCTCCGAACCTCCGAGCGAAGGCTGCGGTAAGCCTCCTCATTCTCTGGCGTGGGATGCTGTAGACGATGAGAGTGGGCCTGTCGCTTTTTCTCAGCCAGCCTTAACACCTCCTCTGTCAGCCAGGGTCTCTGAGGAGGTCTGGACCGTGTACCCAAAGCAGCCATTGCAGCTGCATGAGCCAGTCCTAAACCTCGCCCATTCCCCCTCGACATTAGGAGGAGTGGGGGATGATGCCGACCCCAGCTGCAAGTGATGATGAAATTCTCGCTTGCAACTTTCATCAGTTACCGAGACAAAGCCACTATGGGTTTGAATGGGGTCCTGGGTGTTCACCCACCACCGGAGTGGAAGAATGGCAGGCACATCTTACAGATGACAAATCGATGGTCAGTGGGCAGATCAGCTCCACGGTAGGTCCTGGTGTCAAGGACATGGCCCCGCATCCGCTGTTCCGTCACTATGTAGTCCAGCAGATGTTGTTGCTTGGACCCGGCATGCACCCATGATGTTGTGTGGATGCGTCGATGCTAGAACCGCGTGTTGGTAATTACAAGACCATGGGCTGCACAAAAATCTAGCAGCCTCCTACTGTTGTTATTGAGCTGATCTGGCCCATGTCTTCAAATCACTCCAGACCATATACTAGCATCATGATCAACTCGGGCATTGGAGTCACCCCACAAAACACACACACACATTGTCTCAGAGGGCTCTCACCAGGTCAAAGCAAGAGGCCACTTCATGGTACATTCTCACCTGGCATAGCGCCCAACATCTGACGGTTCGCCACACGTCGAGGGCTCATGCAAGGTCCCAAGTAACTCCGTCACGACCTCAGGCAGGTTCGCCTGCACCAGCTCATCTATCTTCTGCAAGGTTGTTGGGTGGGAAAGTGAGCAAAACAGGGAAGGTAAAGGATGGTTTTAAAAATGGGAACGTTGACTGTTAATCCCAAAATAGCTTGACAGACTGGTTTGTGACCTATTATTTTAAGACTAAATTAGGGGTCAGTTTATCAGGCTGTGGTTAAAGGAATACCTTAAAGCCTGATCCATTAGAAAGATGTTATAAGCCACCAATCTGTCAATAATATCCATCAGAAACCGGCCATAGTCTGTCTACTGTCTTAACACTCCAACAGACTAATCTGTCAAGTCATTGCTGAGAAGCCCCATCAATTACCAGACCGTCCATAGTTTAAATATCCTGTCAAACCACTCAGTCTGTCAATCAGTCAAACATTGTCTAAAATGTCATCAGGGACTTGTCTGTCAGTTGTCCAAGACACCACTTCAGTGACTGAGTTATCTGTCTATTGTCCAGAAACCACATCTGAAATGCAATCTGCCAGCCGATTGTCTAAAGACCCCACCAGACATCGTTCTATCCGTCTAGTGTCTGACTTTCCCAAGACGAAGGTACTCTGCAAACCTACCGGCTATTATCAGAGATTTGTTCATGAAGCCATGCAGATATAAACAAAGACACAACTTCAATCGAGAAGATGGGTACAAACTGAGCAATCATTGGAAGGACGTTATTAACCAGGTAAAGTCTTAACTGACTGTGATGTTTCCATCCTACCTGCCTATGTCAGCTGTTATTTCCGACTCTGTGTGTCTTTCCCTCTCTGTGCATCTCTCTCCGATCTGCCCTGCCTCCTCCCACCCCCCCCCTTCTCTCTCCCCCCCTGCAGCCAATCTCTCCAGTGCTGATGCGGTGGCCCACTTTACTCCAGTGACCCGGGTGCTACTGCGGGGTCCACTTTCTGCCCCGCCTCCTACTCCTACCCCCCCGTTCTCTCTGCCCCCCTACTGCCGAGGCCTACTATATAACCTCGTGCCACGGCAGATCTCTCGCCTACTTCAGCAGTTTTATCTTGCTGTGGTTATCCCACCTGATGACGATTGCTTGTGTTGCAATTGAAACTTTGCGATCTATTATTTTTTCTACCTACGTAACTTTACCGAAAGAACCAAAGAGTATGTCTGACAAGAGTTGAACGTCTGTCCTAGAGTGGCACTTGCCTTCTTGCCAAGGCAGTCGTCGCGGCACAGGAATTCGTAGACATGCACGGCCTCGGTCCTCTCGTGCCGCCCGGCCGTCGCCGGATGCCCTTTGCCCTCCTCCACGAAAAGGGGCAGCACGCGGGTGAAAAGGCGCGGGAAGGCACGGACAAGGGCGTCGCGCCAATCCACGCCCATCGCTGCGCTTGCCGCACGCACGCCATTAAAGTCCTGTCGCATGGCCAGGCGTGGTACCACCTCCAACCAGTGCTTCCTGCGACATAGAGAGGACGGAGGAGCAGCTGCGTTGATAGCGTTTTCTAATGATCGTACATGTGCAGCCATTTTGTCAGGAGCTACCCATGCCATGGGTGTCGAGAGGGTTATTTGACCATGCTTTGCCCTGCCGATCAGACAAGGTGAGCATAGATGTACAGTACAACTATTTATTTTGCTGCACTGCCTTCTGCTGCTTACCCCGCAGTCGATAACAACCTGCTAAACATGGTGGTCACCCATCCAAGCACTATCCAGGAGAGTAGCCTGCTCAGCTTCTGACATCTAATGGGATTGGGCATGATCCAAGTGATTTGGCCATGCGATGTAACAATGACCCCAATGGATTCACCCACCTCTGTATTTTAATCTTACTACATGCAGTCTGTGACAATTTTATAATGAATGAAAACAATATTTTCAGCCCTTTGTAAATTTACCTCGGGATGTGGGCCTCCCGATGCCATGTCAGTCATGGGTGTTGTTTGACATTACTTCACCAGTGCGGGTTTGTGAAGTGGGGAGCACGTCTGGTTCAGATACTACTTGCAACTAACGTTAACCATAGTCAGAAATCAAACTCGGGTTGCCAAGTTACTATTGAGCTGCCACGCTGCCAAACTCGCCATGGATATTTTATGAAATACCTATTGTACTACTGTCATCAGTTGGACACTTACCGATTTATTTTGCCTATTGTCGAACAACATATATGGTTGTTAGACAACAGACTGGTAAACTGGTATCTGATGAGTTCTTTAGACAAAACACTGACAGATCAGAGCCTGATAATAGATAATAATCTTTCAGTGGTCCCTCATATGATCTTTTGGTCATGAGACAGGCCTCTGATGTAGTATCTAGCCAACAAACTTGAGTACAACTGAGAGTGGTTTGGAAAGTGTCTATGTAATGTTGAGGGGTAAGTGGGTGAGTGAGATGGCGAGTGAGTGGGTGAACTGGGGGAGCGAGCTCACCTGTAAAACTCCTCCACCGTGTCGCATTCCAAGAGCTGGAAGGGAAAGTTCTCCAGTGTCTTTCTGTCCGAGAGCCAGTGGTGTAGCAGGTAGCCCAGATGAGACTCCAGGTAGCGAGTCGGACTGGCCTGGTTTAAGGCCAAAGACACCACCCGCACTGCCTGCACAACAACAACAAAAGCAGCAGTGGAAAAATCAAATTTCAGTCGATGGACATTTGATGATTAAAAAAAAATGTAAAGCGTTGGGAGAAAGAGGTCTATTAAATTGTCAAATAAGTGGTTCAGTAGTGTCATCTTGGATAACTTTTTCTGGACACAATGCCATGTAGAACTGGTAGTAAAAATAATATAATCTGGATTGAGTACAGCGGTTGGAAGCACAGATTCAAGCAAGCGTATAACCATACTCATACACAAATCTACACTCCTTAGATAGAATCATAGTCACAGCTGTGCTCAAAAAGGCAAAGACAAATAGACTTTTGGGGCAAGTGCTATTCACGAACACCTATGAAGGCTGGAATTATACGCAATGGGGTGGTATGGCCAGCAACATTCCCAGCTGACTGTCTCCCCAATGCTGATGTATACACACTGGAGGGACTAATTTAAGGCAGTGCGCTAGCCACCACACTCCTGCTTCCCACACACACCTTCATGTGTGTGCCATCACAGCCCACAAAGATCCCCCGTAGAGCCTTAACAGACTTTTGGGGCAAGTGCTGTGAGCGAGCACTTATAGAGGCCAGAACGGCAAACGAGGGGGTAGGTGGCCACCACCACGCCCGGACGCCAATGTCTCACCAGGTACTCATTTCGGGCTGAGTTTACCTAGGGGAGGCCTAGGACCAGTCCAGATAATCGTCACTGGTGTTGACCGTGAGCGGGAATAGAATTCAGGTCACAGAGTTTGTAGCGCAGCGCACTAACTGCTACACTACGTGCCCACACACACACATACACTCACACACACGGTCCCACCTTCGCGATGACAGTGATGGCTACGCCGTGTCTCAGCTGTGTCTGCACCATTGCATACAGCGCCTGCTTCTCACACAGCGAGCTGCAGCGAGCCACTGTGCCCAGTGCCGCCAGTAACACCGACGCGCCATTGGGTTCAGAATCCACACACTTGTCCTCGAGTTGGTCCGTGCCCTGCTCCTTCACCTGCCAAGAAAGAGAGGAATAGGAGTGATGGTTGGAGCGTTGCTCAGCTACTGAGCACAGAATGTTGTATGCATGTTGAACGTCTGAGTTTTGAATCTAGATTTAAAAGTGCATCGCTCCAGTGGATTCCTAATATTGGAAGGAACGGCGTTCCAGACGGCTGTTGTGGTGCCCGAATGGACGGTCATGACACCAGTGGCTCACTCACCGCGGTGCGTAGGCACGTGAACACCTTCTCCCGTACTCGCTCAAACGAGTCCTGCTGCACAGCTGGTGGCAGCGGCTGCCACTCAGCTGAGAGGCTGTCACCCGCCCGCTGTAGAAACAGTCTGGCACACAGACGGAAACATTCGGTGCTGCTGCAAACAGCATGGGCCTGAGCTACTTACAAAACACTGCTCTCTGTGTTACAATGCACACATGCTCCTCCTGTGTGTTACTGCTGTGAGTAGTGTATCTGGAGTGTTAATGTGTGTTTCTGTACAGTGTGATCTAAGGTATGTTCAAATAGGCAAAGCGCTCTGCCGTGGCACTATGAGGTGGAAGTTAGCTCTTTTTGAATGGTGTTAGGAGGGTGATTTTTAAAATGGATAAATGAACTAACGTGGACACCCTCTGAATTGGTAATGAATGTCCGCCATCTTGACATGTCCACTTAATGTTCAGCAAGGTAGCTCCACAGAACGTGAGCTCTTGTAACCATGCGCTCCGGGCTTACAGGTCGTGAAATAGATAAGTGCTCTGGATTGATCTCAAGCGCTATGCCCATTTGAGCACACCGCTGGTGTGTAAATGTGTGTGCGTCTAGGATCATGACTTACTGCGGCATCTCGTCTTGACTGTGTGTAACTGAGGATATGGTAATCTGATAGTGTCAAGTGACACATACCTGCAACTTGCATGCAATGAACAGCACATTGCAGTCAACACATAACTACATGAATAAATAATTAACCGGCGTATAAACGCTGATTCAATTAGAAAGTTCTCTCGCCGAAACAGTTCCACATGTTGTGTGAGTTTTAATTAAATATTTTATTAAGTTGGAGCATGCTTGGGAGATTGCCTGTTTGGGTTTTTACTCTCGGGACACTGAAACTGTTATGATTTTTGGATGGAAGAGCCGAGTTATCGTTTGAGCAAAAGGATGTTTGTGATTTTTTTGAATGTATACATTTGTAGACCAAGTGAATATGGAGATAGAGGCAGAACTAGAGAAGAGAGAAAAGTCGAGTCAAGACAAACAAATAGAGAGAAAAAGAATGGCAGAGGGAGACAAAGACGCAGAGGCAAGGAGAGACAGGGTAGGTGGAAAAACAGATTCAGAGGTAGAGAGACAAATAGAGACAAAATAGGAAGAGACAGCAACAAACGATTGACAGAGGGAGACAAACACAGATATACAGTGATAGATACAGAGACAGAGGCATACAGATAGACAAAGAGAAAGACAGAGAGACAGGGAGAAAATGTTTAAATGGGACAGAGGAAAAATTAAAACAGAGACTTACCCAATTATTGGAAGAAATCCACAAAAAATATAATAACCTGCTTCAAATAAAAAGTTTGGCTGAATAACGAATTGGGTGTGTCCCTAATATACACCAATGCCTTCTGCACACCCAGCCTTCAACACAATCAACACACAGGCGACGGTAACGGGTTGAAGTGGCAGGTGCACCTGTAGAGCGCCTGGGCTGCCAGCATGCGCACACGGTGCTGCCTGTCGTCCAGGAACTCTGGGAAAGCCTCTCGGACGGGCAGGGCGGCGCTCTCGACCTCCAGGATGGCCCACCTGCACCGTGCGTCCACCTGCACGTGAAGTACGGATATCAGAATCAGAATATCTATACTGGAGGAATCCGGATGAGCTATGCAGCTCTTTTTTATAGATGTCCACGGGTAGATGGGCAGCAACTCACATGCTGCGCAGGTGACGCACGGACACTTTTGGCCACCAATGATAAAGCATCATCAAATCATAAGTAACTACAATATTCACAGCATTCTTAGAGTGCAAGGCTACCTATATCAAGGCTATGTTTCATGTACATAGTCTGCTGATTGACAATGGCAATAATTTATTATTTTATTATTTAGGTAAGAATGATACGAGTGTTGTGGGGCTTCACTGAGCCTACTGACACTGGGTCACTCATTCAATTCCTTATTTGTTTTCTTGTTTATTAATTAATTCCCCACCAGGACGATACCTCAAGCATCATGGCCATGCATGTAAGCAAGGCGGCTCGCACTGCAGCTGTGCACTGCCCCTTGCCGCGGAGTAACCTGGGAAGCAACAGAAACAACAAAATGCATCAAATGAGTGGAATTTATGGTCCGCACTAAATCCCAAAACTTAATCTGACACGACACTTGCATTCTCCCAACTTACTCTAACGCCACACTCAAATCGCTCCTGCAAATCATTTGACTGCCCCTGTAATTCCTTTCACAAGCAAAACACTGAGCAGTGGAAATGGCCAAACATCTTGAAAAGTCTTGATACTCAGTGAGGCTCTCCTGAATAAAGGACATGATTATCATTTTGCGTGTTCATATTTGAGTCTCCAGCCAAGGTGCACCAAGCGGTATGCTGCATAGGACTGGCTCATTGCTGTTGGTTTTATCGCAGAGAGACGGTGGGTATGAGGTGTCAGGGGTGGGAAGTCAACATCTACCAAAAGCCGGAGAGGGCAGCCCGAAGTTTCTGACGGGCATCTGTGAGATCTCTGTCTGGGCCTGATCCGGAGGTGCAGCCCAGAGCACGAATGAGCGGGGGCAGCCGGCACAGCAGTGCGGCACACACTTCCTGATCGCTGCGGTAGTGCGAGCAAATGGTCCTGTGCAGAGCATACGCGCATCGAACAGCACAAGGCGACGTCAGGGCTTCATATGTAACGATTCATGCATCCACCAATAAAAATCAGTTCCTACCCAGATAAGCATCTGGTATATGCTCATATTTGTCGTGAGTGTAAGAATCGATTTGAATAAAAACAAATCGAACATTCAGTTATTAATATAAATTCTTCGCTACGTCAACAAAATGTATGTCATTTTGCTGTTACTTCTGTATCACTCTGTAATCCAGGACCTCCCTTGTGAATGAGATGTTTAGTCTCAATCATATCTCACTTGGTTTCAATAAAGGAAGTTATTAAATGAATCGATGCTTTAAACTGTCTAAAACATACTTCTAAGCCATGTATGTTAAGATGGGTCCATCATCACATTACAGAGTTGACACATATTCTTAGCTCTTTCGATAAAGTCACGTTGAAGGGAAACAATAAAATAATAAAATATATATAAAAAATAAAATAAAATTCTCACGACGTTTCGACAATAACACAAACGGTCGTCATCAGGTGTGTCGGTTTGCATAAATGTATTTATTTTTAAACGGCGCATTTATTTATTTATTAAACCGTCAGCGCCACGCGCAGCGATTTGGCAGTTCTGAAAAGAGGAGGGGGGAGACGAAAAATTAATGTATGCTGTCTGAAAGCCACTGTAAGCGTGAACAATCAATTAAGACCTGAAATGGTTTATCAAATCTTTCCAATGATTGCTAAGCCTGAATCCATCTTCTCGGTTGAAATTGTCTCTGTGCTTGTATATGTGGATAGCCTCATGAACGAATCTCTCATGGTAGCCAGATGGCTTACAAAGAACCTCTGTCTTGGAAAAGTCAATGTCATGTGAGCGACACAGAACAGAATCGGTGAGTAAATCAAACTGTAATGCTGAAACGGATTGACTTGTGATAGTGTAAGCATCCATTTAATATGTTACATGACGAGGGCAGTGGTATGAATACCATGATTGTCTACCCATCATACATGAAAGATTTAGAGTCATTCACAAGGGTATACACATAAAGTAATAATAAAAGGTTAAAATGCCCTTATATGTGTTATGGGCCAATGGTGTAAATTACACATGACAATGGAATAAATCTGCAGTCAAGGTTAAAAAACTAAATACTGTTTCAACAATGGAACAAAAAAACATTTTTTTTTACCTTGACTGCAGAAACTCATTTCTGAAGGTCTACAATGGCAAAGTCCACATCCTAATAGAGGAGTTGGAGCACCATTCCTAAGGAATGTCAACTAGGCTTTGCATTACCTACTTTTAAATTCCACAATCAAGCAATACTGAGTTCAACACCTGAGCGAGGTGAGCAAGGAGCTGTAGTCCATGCCGAAGGAGTCTCCTCCTGTACTTGGAAATTTCTCAAGCAGGCAGAGGTACTGTGAACATAACAAATGGAATGAATGTTATTTGAGCCATGTTATGGTCACCAGGATTTAGAGCACTGCATCGAGAGTCGGCACCACCCGGGTCCCCCCGGCCGACCCTCTTTGTCTTCCCAATGCAATGCCTCAACACTTTTCCGCCCTCCAACTTTTCGTCATCCCCCAGTTACGATTAAGGCTACTAAACCTCTCCTGAACACTTCCGCCTGTTCTCCTGGCAGTAAAACTACAGCGCCACTTTTAATAACCCCATTTTTCATCTCAAATCACTATAATTTTACGTACAATTTTATAATCTGCGCTCCTTCAATGGTGGAGCAGCAAAACTACACAAACTCTTTCCTGAAGCCCTCTTATGGCGAGCAGACCTCGACAGTGGCATTTAGCTACTGAACACATTTCCATGAGCAAGAATAGAATAGTGGGCAGCCTGTCATTTCGATGGGGTGACAAGACACTCACACGACACCCGTCTGACCCTCACCTGACCCTCACCACTCGCCAGATTATACGGTATATTGGGAAGCCGCCTACAACCGCACACAGCCCTACCTAACGGCACAAGACCTTCCCTTTTCTCTACAAATTATCTACATATATTGTATATAATACCAACTACGTAAAGCGAATTTCACACTGCATTTTTACATTGTTTTGAGATATGGTTGTATTTAGATACGAGAAAAACCCAAGCATTTTATAATGTGATCAGTGCCGACTCGGTGCTACAATACGGCATGAGCTGCCTGGCCTGTTCCCAGTGCTGTATTTACCATTCGAACGTGCACAGCCCTCGTGAAGTCCAACTGCGCCGGGCTGCACAGGGTCAGGAGGCCACACCTGAGCTTGCTGGGGTTGAACTGGGGGGCGGTGCCTGAGACTCGGGCCGCCACAGATGCGCCGCGCGCGCACGCACACAGGAAGGCAGTCGTGTCCAGAGCCAGCTGATCGGCACGGCTCAGCAGCTCGTCCGAAAGCACGCACAGGGGCACTGCGGGGGGCAAAGGGCAGAGGCAGCAAGATCAGAGTGGAGCATTGCCAGCTAAGGAATTTTAGAAGAGTGTGTGTATGAGAAACGGTAAAAGGAACGCATTTATTAGATAATTAGAGAATGTACACAGGCTGATGACATCATTCAACTGTTGAGTTGGGCAGGGCACATCGCTAGAAGGGATGATGGCCAATGTTCAATCGCAGTGGCAGCCAAGGAACGAATCGCATCCGAGAGAAAGTCAATACAGGATGTTGTAACGATGAAATCAGCTTGAGTGCAGCTGCTAGCTGTATTATTACATTGCAGGACCGTGAGAGACGGCAATGGCTTTTGGAGGGAGCCCTTCATCCAGCAATGTATTAACCAAGGCTGATGCTGGATGAGGGCCTTCTCACGCAGTGCGGGTCCAAGCAAACCACGTTGTACAGCTGGGCACACCGTGTCATAAAGCAGTAATGCCAACTGGGATGTGAATGAATCATAACCAGGATTTAAACTCAAAACCTTTTGCCTATAAGTTGAGGAATTTAACCGCATCACCACCCGGTCTGTCCGCCGAGTATGGAAGACATTTTATGAACTTTACTCTCCATACAAGGTAGTATGTAACTTCATTAAAAATATACTGACTGGATTTCCTAGAATGCAGGTGCTGACTGGTTAAGAATAAGAGCACTCAACCAAATCATAATACATTTGCAGTGGTGGCCTTGACAGAATCAAAAGAAAAAAAAACATGTACAACATGACATACTTTTTGAGGGGTTATTGACAACCAATGTAGAGACTATAACATTCCCATCACCAAAAATGTGGTTTAGTGACATGTGACTGAATCCCAGATTCAAAACCAGCATCTCAGGATTGTTAGCTCAGAGATCATACATCAACCCAGATACCTGACATGAGCATTAAGAGTTCTCAAGATATCACTTTTTTTCGAGGCTCAACCAGGAAGACACGGAAAGCTGGTAGCCCCTCCTTCAGTTAGTCCCACCCACTTTGTATTAACCACACCCATTCAATCACTAGCCCCACCTACACATTGAGTGGCCTCATGCTTTATATTGGCTCGTAGGTACTTGCCTACTCCTCTGCCAACACCACCAACTACTCAATTAGCTTGGCCCATGAGGCTAGAACATTTTAAAATGGGACAAAATCTCATATTTTACAAATACTTAAATAGTCACAAGCACAGCTTTTCTGAACATGGGACTGTCCCAAACGAGACCAGGTTGTTTGGTAGCATTGATGAGATATCCAAGGACTCCATTAAATCGGCAACTCATGTCAGTTGTCCAATGGTGTTTGCACATTTTTGTTTAACCTGCTCCAACTTGACTTCCGGCACCATCTTCACAGCTCTCCCCACCACGACCCAAGTTGTCACCGAGCATTTCTATGTCACTGGAATTAGAGCTTGTTGCTGTGGTGCTAGTGTCCATATCATCTGAAAAAAGGTCGGTTGACCCAACTTGCTTGTCCTGGAGTCAACAAATGAAGAGTTAATTTAGAATCTTGAAGTTAAAATATCAGTGGAGCAATCAATGCATTTTAAGCGTAACAATAACAGAGAACTTTATTCGTAAAGCTAAAGTATCAAACGTTGGAAATTGTTTTTATATGTAGATACAATTACCGAGAATGTTCATTGGTTCAGGGATTAAATGGTATTTCATTTCAGAAATGAAACCAAACTCTAGGTGTATCGCAGTGGTTAGATTGCAAATTCAAATCCTGGTTGGAGTAGGCTCAGCTTATCTACCCCTTTGGGTCTATGAAATGAGTATCACATATTGGGAAGTCAACACTGGTCAGATAAAAGAGAAACCGGCCCTTACAGCAGAGATACTGAAAATCTGCCACTGGATTATGGCAGGCAACAGAATGAGCACCAGCTCATTGCTTGATAATTGACTGAAACTATTTACTTAAAAATGTCATTAACATATAATCTGCAGAGGCAGTGTGTAATCATGTCATGAATATTTAACCATAAGCTGCCCTTACCATATGCTTGACAAGCCCCAAAAGGTCAGTGATGAAACACGCAGGGATGGTGAGCAGGAAGAGCGAAGACGCCAACTGCCCCAAAGGATCCTGGGGGGATAAAAGTGTATTTTCACAGAAAAGCGTTTTATCGTGGTCTTGAAAAGACTCCAATGTTTTAAGATGCAGGTGTTCACTTGGAATAGTTACAAAGTATATCAGATAAAGCCAGCAATGGAAAGGAGTGGTGGCATCAACAACATTGGCCTGAATGACTTCCTGATTTCAGTTCTTCCATAACACTTCAGTAAAGTGTTAAGTAAAAATTCAAAATATTAGTCTAAATCCTACTGATGGTTCACATTGTCAAGCTAAGCAATCTACCTGTCATTGGGTGAGACAATGAGACTAACGCTATTGTCTATGATGGCATGACAAAAGTGTAAGAATCCTCTTCCAAGGAGTCATGAGTCACCCGAACCTGTGTGGAGTCCAGGGCATCAACAGCGGAAGCGCACGACACTACGAGTGACTTGATCGCGCATGCCACATGGCTCTCAGTCGCCTTGTTTACATTGGTGCTGACGAACTCACCCACCGACCGCATCAGTAGCTGTGGATATAAGTGGTGACAAAGGACACAAATAAACAATAACCACCGCACTCAGGCAAGCAATCTGGACTGCATGTCTCAGTTTACAGCCACAAGGCAATATTATGAACTTCACCTTCTCTGGTCAGGACTAGTATTTCCAAAAACAACCAATATTGACTTCCTAAAAAGTGGTACTAGTTTTTATTGATCTTGGAAAAATGGTGGACGAAGTCAACTCATAAATGGTAAAGTAATCAGATAGCTCAGCTGTTATTCACATGATCATCAAAGGCCAGGACAAAGGTGGTGGATGCTCATACCTTAGCTTTCTGAAGTAGCACACTTTTTCTGCCAGCATCATCAGCATCCGCCCCCGCCAGTTGGAACCCAGCCACCAATCCACAGAGCAAGGCAGCACCACGAGCCAAACACTCTGGAGGCACTGGCTGAATGGCATAAAGAAAACGACCCCATCTCGCACATGTGTCTACGAGCCTCTCATTTGACACTGACATTTCCCATCGCAATCTTATCTATGTGATATTCAAAATGTGGTTATCAATGTAAAAGACAGAGATTTGTACACACACAGAATGACAGGGAACGCGCAAGAGCCAAGTAGAGGAAGACAGATGCAAAGAAAAACAGAAACAGAGGAAAACAGAGGGAGAAACACAGATAAATAAAAAAAATCAGAGAGACAGGAAACAGACAGCGACTCACCTGGACGTCCTGGCCTCCAATCAGGTTTTCGGCGAACGCCACCACCTTTTCCTCGAGGGTGAATCTCACAGGGGTCATGACCTTTGATCCGGCCGTGACCCCAGTGTGTATGGATGCCATGCTCAAGTGCGTGGCATTTGTGTGGCCCGGCAGTGTAGGCTCGGGGTCGGAGACCTCGAAGGTGGACAGAAGGAAGAGCTCCTCCATTTGTTCCAGGCCTTCGTCACGAGGGTAGTAGGTGTTGTCTTCATTGCTGAGAAGTGAGGATTCAAATGGGGAGGACTGTGAGCTACAAAAATATTATAGCCAGGCATGCAGGCACACAAGCTCAACAGCTCACATTTTCGAAGATGGACAATGCCCATCACTGCAGCACGACTGCTGCGAATTCAAAATGGCAGAGTGATGCCACTTGAGCACTACCTTGAGTGAAGTCAGTGTTATTGCAATCAACTTTTGTTCATAATAACACCCTGCAGAAATTAACAGAGCTACTATCGGAATATTCGGTATGCTGGTCGAGTGGCGAATTATGTTAAACACGTGCCTGAAATCCGTATCAGAGAAGATCGTCCGAGCTGCAGCCCGGTTATCCTTTAGAGTCAGGCAAACGAGCGCACGGGACACCAGGAAAGGGGGCAAATTTCTGGGAAAAAAGATGAAAGAACACAAACAAAATAAATAAATAATCTTGCAAGATCGATATAAGTTACGTATTTATGTTTTTAATTCCTCAAGATTCCTTTGACATTTGGTCCGTACCACTTGCTGTTTTTGTTCTTTTCGTAACCCAGGCCCTCCCTTGAAACAAAAGCTCTCACGTGATGTTACATGAAGCGTGCTTACATTCACATAATGATATTAAACAAAATCAGGACCAATCAGGTCCACAGGGGAACAGGGATCGTCTGGACAGTATCAATCAAGCCAACGGCAGCAGCAGCACTAATGTTAACACGTGGTTCCTTTCTGCCCTCACCCTTGCAAGATAGCTGGAGGCTCGATCTTCTCAGTGTCCTCCTCGCTCGGAGAGCTCTGCCTCGCCAGCAGCCACGCCATGAGGCTGCGGCGGAGCGTGGGGTCCCGCCTGTCGCCGTCCGTCCACGCCGCCTCCTCGGTGCTCTCCTGGGAGGTGATTTCGCTGCCCTCCGACACCAAGCCCGGCTGCCAATTGGCAGCCAGCGCTGCCACCGCCGCCGTGCCGCCCTCTGCTGGCACCATCTGCCGTGACACGAGCCGGAGCAGGAGCTCCACCGCAGAGCTGGAAAACAATGCCCGCGATCATGCACATACGGAGACAGAGATGGCGATTCAACAGTTTGGGGGTCATCGCGGCTGCTGTTCAGTGGATGCACTCACGCACAGCTCAACCCACAGTAGTCGATCTAATGAGAGCCAAAAATTGGAAATACGTTAAGTCACAAAACTTCATGTACATCTGCATCCCTTTAAGAAGAGGACCTCCCGACGCCTGCACATATCGTTAGGATAATGTATTATTGATTTACTTATTTAACCGGGAAAGCCACACCGAGTCATTGGACTCTTTTTCAGAAGGGTCCTGCATTGTGTTTTTATTTTAAGATGTTTTCAGCCAATAAATGAGCTGTTTATACACATTCCGGGGGAACCCGGAGAAAACTCACATGCGAGAGGGCAACACTCTATCCCCATACTTATGGAAACAGATGGTGATTAGTTCACTTGCTGCACCGCCTTCTCTTGGTGAGCCAGGATATGGCACCTCGACGTCCATCCGATGCCTCCACAGTACTGGATGACAGTATGCACCACCACCACCAGCTGGCTTGTTCTACCATACTTCACCACACTGCTCAGTTCAGGTTCGCGAAGGTCAGCATAGATGTAGAAGCATAGTGTAGTGACGCACTTCGCAGACACTAAAATGGGAGGCACTGTTTATTATAGTCTTCACAGGCACAGGGAACACTATACTTAGGTCAGGACAGCAACAGGCTGCCTGACCCACAATGCTATAGACGATGACGAAGACTTGTGTCGCTCCAAGGGTTCCCCTTCCCTGGGTCCTCCTTTTATCCCCCCAGCGCAGCCTCACTCCCCCTTGGCTACGCCCCCCTTCTAGAACCTCCTAGAACAGGGGTCGGGAACCTATGGCTCGCGAGCCAGATGTGGCTCTTTTGATGATTGCATATGGCTCGCAGATAAAACAAAATATTCTCACTTGTTTTAATCCATCCATCGATTTTTCACTGCGCATGTCCTGTTCAGGGCTGCAGGAGCAATTGTCCATTATTTTAATTGGATGATACTGGCCTACGTTTGCCGTTGCTGGGTAAAACAGGTAAACTCCCCCTTTTGAATCAGTCTGAGACTGCGTCTGCTAAGTCATTAGCTCAAAGCTAACCCTTCGACGAAGAAGATGGCGAAAAGAAAAAAAGACGAGAGTATCGTACATTTCAGGACGAATGGACCGAAGAATTCGCCTTTGTGGAGAGAGCGGGTTCTGCGGTGTGTCTAATTTGCAATGACAAAATTACATCGTTGAAACGGTCGAATGTAAAGCGGCACTTCGACACGCGCCACGCTACCTTTGCATCAAAATACCCTGCGGGAGACAGCAGAAAGAAAGCGTGCCAAGAGCTTCTGAGCAGGGTGCAAGCTAGCCAGCAGCAACTCCGCGTATGGACCCGGCAAGGTGACTATAATTCGGCTAGCTTTGCTGGTTCTTTAGCAATAGTGAGGAACGGAAAACCATTCACAGATGGCGAGTATGCTAAAACGTTCATGCTGGATGTAGCCAATGAACTTTTTGATGATCTTCCGAACAAAGACAAGATAATAAAACGGATACAAGACATGCCTCTGTCGGCAAGAACTGTTCATGATCGTACCATCGTGATGGCAAACAAAGTGGAGGAAACGCAAGTGAAGGACATAAATGCAGCGCCGTTCTTTTCTCTGGCTTTGGATGAGTCAACAGACGTGAGCCATTTGTCGCAGTTCAGCGTGATTGCAAGATATGCTGTTGGTGACACACTGCGCGAAGAAAGTCTTGCTGTTCTGCCATTAAAAGGGTCCACAAGAGGTGAGGATTTATTCAAGTCTTTCATGGAGTTTGCTCAAGAAAAAAGTCTACCTATGGATAAACTTCTCTCAGTGTGTACTGATGGTGCTCTGTGTATGGTGGGGAAAAACAAAGGATTTGTGGCGCTTCTCCGTGAACATGAAAATAGACCCATCCTAAGTTTCCATTGCATTATACACCAGGAGGCACTTTGTGCTCAGATGTGTGACAGGCAGTTTGGCGAAGTGATGTCGCTGGTCATTCGTGTGATCAACTTTATTGTTGCCCGAGCCTTAAATGATCGCCAGTTTAAAACACTGCTGGATGAAGTTGTAAATAACTATCCTGGTCTGCTTTTGCACAGCAATGTGCGTTGGTTGTCAAGAGGGAAGGTGCTTAGCCGTTTTGCGGCTTGCCTGAACGAAATCCGGACTTTCCTTGAAATGAAAGGCGTCGGGCATCCTGAGCTAGCCGACACCGAGTGGCTCCTCAAGTTTTACTATCTCGTAGATCTGACTGAACATCTGAACCAGCTCAACGTGAAAATGCAAGGCATTGGAAATACAGTGTTATCCCTTCAACAAGCTGTATTTGCTTTTGAAAACAAGCTGGAGTTTTTCATCACGGATCTTGAAACAGGTCGTTTACTACATTTTGAAAAACTGAGCCAATTTAAAGATGCATGCACAGCAAGTGAGCCCATTCAAAACCTTGATCTCCACCAGCTAGCTGGCTGCACATCCAGTCTCCTACAGTCCTTCAAAGCACGCTTTGGAGAATTTCGTGAGCACACTCGTCTTTTTAAGTTCATCACCCATCCAAACGAGTGTTCACTGAACACAGCCGACCTGAATTACATCCCTGGTGTCTCCGTCAGAGATTTTGAAGCAGAAGTGGCTGACCTGAAGGCCTCAGACATGTGGGTGAATAAGTTCAAGTCACTGAATGAAGATTTGGAAAGAATCACACGACAGAAAGCGGAGTTGGCGAGCAAGCACATGTGGACAGAAATGAAAAAACTCCAACCCGAAGACCAGCTGATTCTCAAAACTTGGAACGCGCTTCCTGTCACATACCACACACTGCAGCGTGTGAGTATTGCTGTATTGACCATGTTTGGATCTACGTATGCATGTGAGCAGTCATTCTCACATCTTAAAAACATCAAGTCCAACCTACGATCACGTTTAACGGATGAAAGCCTCAACGCTTGCATGAAGCTTAACCTCACCAAGTACCAACCCGACTACAAAGACATCAGCAAATCCATGCAGCACCAGAAGTCGCATTAATGGTGAGTGTTATAACAACATTATTTAAAATAATAAATTCAGAGGCTTATTATACTGACATTTAGTCGAATTCACTTTTAAAATATATTATATGGCTCTCACTGAAATAAATTTCCAAATTTTTTGCTTTCATGGCTCTCTTAGTCAAAAAGGTTCCCGACCCCTGTCCTAGAAGGTTCCCGGGCTTCTCCCGTACCACCTTCTCCCCACATCCCTTCCTCCCGCCTACCCCCTCACCTGCTGGCCGACAGGGTTGCCATGGCAGCCGAGCCCCTTCATGCCAGCAGCCAGCGCAAAACGCCGTAGTGACCCATTCCATATCACTACAATAGTATAGTGCAACAATGGAGTTTGCTGCCCTGCCCCTTTGCTGCCCACCACATTACTACTATTTTTATTTTAACAGCTAAGGCCCACTGAGCTCTATAACTCTTTTTCAGAAGCCACCTGGCCACAAATGATAGCCAAATTAAGTGGCTCATCATGTGGAAATGTATAGCAGCCAAATATTCTAAACACATGTTTCTAAATGAGGAGGGAAAACCGGAGGGCCCAGATAAAAATCCACACAACCACAGCGAGAACATGCAAACTCCAAAATATACAGGCGTCATGGTCAAAGTCGAATCCACGACCTGTATACCAGGCGAGGTAGTTATTGTCGCCACCGCAGCGCCCCTAGCTTCACAATCCCATTACAACCTGTTTGTGTATGGTGGTCACCTTTCCAAGCATAAACCAGTCTCAACCTGCTTAACTGCCAAGAACTGAAAAGATCAGGTGCATTCCAGGCAATTTGGTCACAAGGCAAGATTCCTAATTACAGGTACGCAATCCAATTAAGACAAAATAAATGATTTAGGACACCACAATCTGTGCTTAGTTTGTTGTCCTTCTCCCGCACCTCTGATTTGCACGGACACATATGTAAGATGGACAACAGGAAAATGAAAGTGTATTGTTCGGAAAATGAAAGGAAAGAGAAAGAGGAGACCTAACGACAGAAGAGATTGGTGCCAGGAAGATGTGCACTACTTGAACATATTAGCACAAGACAGAGGAAAGTGGTAACAAATGACGAAATGTGACAGTGATGATGAATCTGCGCTTGCCAGCTCTGGTGGTTGTGGTGGTCTGGACCGCGATTGCGATGACCGTGTTGAGCAGTTGCGGCATGCTGTGGTGGGAAAGGTTTCGGGGGGTGGGGGGGGGTAAGTCAGGGTTTCACCGTGAGGGCCGGCAGGTGAGTAGGGCACGCCAGGCGTCCGGCTCTTGGGGCACGAGTCCGCGCTGCAGCAGCGTTGAGAGCAGAGCAAGCGCGCGGGTCTCACACGCAGGCGCTGAAGGGAGCGAGCGCAGTGCAAGCGACCACGACGTGCGCCACACACGGCGCTCCTCCACACCCACATCCTGGGCAGGAGGAAGCACAAATGGACACGCGGGAACGATTTGGAAGCTGTCGGAGGCATGTTGTAGTGTGCTGATCTTTAAAGGTGCGTTGAAACATTTTGATACTCCTGCTGATACAGCTATGGCTGCAAAGTTTGGTCGTACATGTTATGTATATCGCTTATTGTTCAATTTTAATCACAGGTGTTTTTATAGCTTTATTTTGGTGATTTTCAAAACGTATGGTTTAGCCATGTTTGTTTGTTGAAGTAGAGTTAGCCTGATAACTTTAATCTAAATTGTCTTATGGTTGTTATCGTTTGACATGCATCCCACTGGGATTTTTGCACACAGCGTTGATTTACGGTGTTTTTTTCTGTAAGGCTTTGCTGTTTTTTCCTGGATTTTTCTGTGGCATGTAGTCACTTTAAGATGTTCTTGTTCATGTTTTTGTTGGTTGCGGTTGCACCCGAGTCAAGAGCCGCATGGCTCACAGGGCTATACCTAATACATGGCACTGAAAGGTGGCCCGTTAAGTCTGTTTAGGTGGCATTGGAAAGCCACTGGAGCTATGCTCTTTTAAATCTAGATTTAAAACTAATTTCTTTATAACTTTTTTTTGTTTAGTTTTTTGTCCTTTATCCACGCCTCCAATTCGCATGGTTGGCTACGAACGGTGCAAAAGAAGTTTGGCATACATTCGATTCGGTTTGGCCTCTTTGTTCAAACGTCTCTGGCCAAGGTGGCCTGGTGGCTAAGGGGACTATAATTACAACAGCAGTAGGCAGGAACCGAAGCAGGTGTGTGTATGATGAAAGCTTGAGAGAAAACTTTCTCAATACGAGGATAACCAGGAAGACCACACAGTAATATGCTTTTGTTACAATCTCTGGCACGAATGGGAACTCACCACTGGCTGTATTTTGGCTAACTGGTTCAGGCACAGCAAGGACAGCCGTGTCCGTTCATCTCCTTGGCGACGCCGGGAGGCCTGCAGCCGATTTAGAGTGGTTACCGTGGCAACCAGCTCACTCCTTGGCAGGCTGTCGGGGTGCCTGTCCAAGAGACGGCTCATGATCTCCAACCTAAAGCCACAGACAGAAAAGATAGCTTCTATACTTGTTTCCTTTGTTATCATGTTATGTAATGATAGTCCTGAGCCAGCAGTATAAATACCATATTCCCAGACACCAGACTGTATTAATTGTAATAACCTCAGAAGGATGATAATGATGGCGATCATGGTGATATCGATTCCACTGCTGACTATGACAACACAGGGGATGAGCTCACTTTAGACTCGCAATTTGAAATCACAATCTAATGAATTAACCCTGGACAGTAGTTGAACTCGAGTAAAACATAACTCTGCCATGCAGGTGACACACAAACACGGCGACATCTCTGCAAGATCCACTTACCCTACCACCAGTTGGCTGCTTTACCACATTAGTTACACCCAGCCAAGGCAATTACTTTCTCACTCCACTGCTGCTGGAAGACTCTCCACCGTAGGAGCCCTCCAAAAGGGTATATTGGCCTACTTATCCACGCTGACCGGACATCTTTGAAGAGGTGAGGGTAGCCACATGTTATCCCACCACACACGACCTAATTTTCGACTGTGGTGTATACATTTATTCTGCTGTGTTAAGACAGTGGATAATTTAAGAAACATGCACCACTGTTGCAACTGCTGCACCAGAAAAATGAACAGGCAACGTCTGGATTTACATCCAGTATGATAACCATCGCACGCTGAGAGCATCCATCTCCTTATTAAATAAAATACAAATGAAAGAATTCCCACCAGGGCAGGACTTCCCCGTCGACCTGTGACTTGAGAAAAGTTTCCCTCAGCACCTCCCAGCCCAGATCCACCCTGCGCCTCTTGCTCGCCACGTCACGCGTGTCCCACGAGCTTCCCCGTCGCCGGCTCGTTCCCGAGAGACTGCCGTTACTGCCCCCAGAAGCGCCGCGGCTGTTCACATGGCCCCTGTCACCACTGGTAGGAACACCGTTGCCGCCACCGCCACCGGCTTCAATCATTTCCAGAACGTTTGTCTCCGAGTTGAACAGCTGCCAGACCAGAGACATGCCATTTGTAAATACACGCCGGATGACATGCAGCGAATCACTCTGTACAATGCATGAAAGAGCAACCTTTCAGTGTTGGGTAAGAGTTATGTAGGTATGTGGAACTTTGTTCGCACCGTACATTGCCAACCATGCAAATTGGAGGGGAGGACAACTAACTAAACACAAAAAACAGTTCGAAGTATTGTTGATTATAATCAACAATATATGTAGACACAGACACAATTTCAACCGAGAAGATAGGTACAAACTTAGCAATCATTGGAAGGACGTTATCAACCAGTTTAAGTCATAACTGGCTTGATTTGAAGTTTTCGTGACTGCAGGAATCCATACTCTTTGGTTCTTTCGGTAAAGTCACGTTTGTAGAAAAATAAATAAGAAATCGCGACGTTTCGGTCGCAACACAAGCAATCGTCATCAGGTAGAAAGTTACAGCAGTAGAACTGCTGAACAAGAAAGGGCTGTTGCAACAAGAGGTTATATAGATGTTTGAGGTGGGTGTCACCCAAGGGTAAGCAGGCGGGGTCAGAGTTGGAAAGAAGTCCCGTCGCCGTTCGCACGCACAACAGCTGCGTTAAAGGGAGAGAATGGCATGTTCATGTAAATTAGTATAATGGGAAATGAGCCCTGTCGTCGCACACGAGCAACGTCGCCGTGTTGGATATGAGCCTTTTTCAAAATTGATATTAATATTTGCCGATAGATATGTTTTTTTTATAAATAATAGCACCCTCGAACCAACAAGCAACCTCATCCCAGCAAACAACAGATGTAGATTGTAAATAGGGCAATTATAAATAAACAAATAACAAACTCCCGGGGCGAAGGAAAGGTTGGTGGTTATCTGAGAGATCTCCAGATGGACAAGCCTGTTTGATGTGACACTAGGTCGGGGTCACCAAGAGGGGAGGGAAAATTCCAAGCCAAGAGTTCGCCCCCTTTTCCGTCAGCCGCAGACATAGTGACGCTAAGAGTTAAACAGTTGCCTCTTATTTTGCTATTAAAACGACGGTTACAAAGTTCAAAATCCAACAACAGGAATAAGCCAACATTATCGATCCTCACACCCACTCCAAATAAAAATCGGGCCATAATCTACATCAGTGAATCATTAATCATTTATTAATTCGATATCAAATGATTTTCACCTTTAATACTTTTACTGTTAAATCACAAATCTTTGGGACAGAAAATACAGAGTCACATCAAGGGTTATCGAGAAGGAATGAGGCGAACGGGCAAACTTACGAAACGAGTTTAAACAATATTCCAAGAGACCCTGACCGCCTTTGTCTTCCCGCAGCGCGGGGGAGCAGGAATTACACCTTATCGCGAGGGCCATCTGCACACCCGATGTGCGGGCCTTAATAATGGCCCCCCACCCCACCCTGCTACCGCGGGCAGACAAGTAATTAACAGCAAAACCAGGCGAGCAAGTTTTAAGCTAAAGAAATCACAATACATAATTTCATACATAACATTAATGTTAACGCTATATAATATGTAAACTATATTCAGTTTATATAACCTTGCAAACACCAAGGAATACGTATTCCCAGGATCAAGAAACATACCTCTTAACCCAGGATATCGGAAATAAAATGATATAAGCATACACACGGAATGACGAAATTAATAAAAAACTGAGGAAGGGCCAGGATAACGGGGTGAATTACAACCTTGTTGAACATAAACCACATGATATTTGAGCAATGTTAAACCGGGGGCCAGGGAAAAAGAGAGTCTCCCGGCCACCTTTGTCTTCCTGCAGCACGTGATAAGAATATGCATACGCTCAAGAGAGCATCATCTCCTTGTGGAAATAAAATCAAATACCTTGAGTCACAGACAGAATCATAGCTGCAAGTGGTACGATGCCAAACCGTGATAAAATAAATGTTAACTTTAAAAACCTTAAACTCCTTTGTGCGCCGGAAAATGTCCTACAGGGGGGAATCTCGCCCCTCCCTCCAGATTGTATAGCGCAGACAGAGGGACGCCTGCGGGACGATTTTGAACTGTATCCTTTGATGGTTTATGGCTCGAGGAAGCCAACAACGGAACTATGTCATAAATGACACACACATGCACACACATACAGACACGCACACACCATCCCCACGACACACAGCTAGATCAAAGGGGGCTCCGCCCACGTAAGGAGGAGCCAAGGGGAGAGATTTTGGCATAAAGATAGAACGCTACAGCATTGAAATCAGCATCAGCCTGCGGACCAGCTCAACTCATCCCTGCAGAAGAAGATCCATCATCAGAAGATCAACCATCACCGACGCAGAAGAAGTCTCTACAGCTCGCCAGAATGGCAAGACCCGCTATTTAGCGACAGGCTACGCTGTGCGAGTCAGCACCATCAAAAGGGAGCCTCGCAACGAACGTGCATCGCCAGCGCCAGTGACCATCACGTCAACGACAACCGTGCCAGCGACCAGCAGACAAGCGCCATCTACCGATCGTACAGCTCGGCCCGCTACGAGCGAGCCGTCAGCCGGCCATCACGCCGACGGCGCACGACCGCGACAGCTGCAGCGAGCTGTGATCGCCATCTACCGACCGAACGCCGCGACTACAGCACCGTGCCACTCCGTCAACCAGCGAGGATCGAATCAACTACTGTGAAAGGAGGATCAACCATACGTATGATGCACTGCCCCCCCACCACACGACAAACCAGGCGTCTGCTTGACGCAAATAATTAATTCCGAACATTGGCCTACTCCCCACAATCCATATCACTCAAAACACACACAAGTCATTAACTAAAGCTTATTCCTCAAGACGTGAACCATCAGTGGCCGTAAAAGCATCGCGACAGACGAAGGATAACCATCCGTCGTTTATAAGTACAGTAATAATTTTCCTCCTCAATGCTTTTATTTTGGGTTGTACTTCTAATCGCACAAATTACCAACAGATCCATCAATACGAATTCATCCTTGACACCTTCGCCACGGAACTACACTCAAGGGGGGGGGGGGGAATAGCGTGTCCAACCGGTTTCCTTATCAGGCGATCTGGTCCATAATTAATTAAAAGTTGGCCCAAGATAAGGATCTCAGGGGAAAGCGCGCACACCATTGCACGCCCTCACTCCAAGCCATTTCTGTAATCATATAATCTTGCCAATGGATCTATTGATATTTGTGCCTTTGAGAATAATAACTGTTTTTGATTGTCTTTTCGTATGAATATCGCGGTATTATCTTTAAGTACCTTTCGTTCATAATTGCCGCACGTGTTCGTGTTACGCTGCATAAGAATTAATTGCTCTGATATCAAAAGTGAAACGTGATAAGAATTGCCTTAAAGGTTGCTTATGGATCTATAAATGAATGCAGGACGGTGTGGGCAATTTTAAAATTATATATTATAAGGTTAAGGTTTTTGTTTAGAATAGCATATCCATGTTTTTAACTCTCTCTCTCACCAACTGGGTTCGCGTCATGCGGGGGAAGGAATCAATGTGCCGTTGTCAAAGTGAAACAACACAGTCGTTGATGATACTGTGTTGATACTGTGCTGAAATTCCAAGATTGAGAGTCGCATCTCTTAGAGTTAAGGTTTAATTAGAAAATAAATTGATTAATGCAGAAGTGGTTGTGTGTTCTTTCCTGAAATTTATGCATAAGAACTGTATTCTGCGGTGAGATCTGAACTTGGAGACCTGGCATAACACACTAATCCATACTCAATAAATGTTAAAGCGAGAATAATTGTATTATACTGATCGATAATACGAAGTTAAACAGCGAAGCCGAGTTCAATCTGACATGCTCACAGCACCTGCATAACTGCATACGATTAATTGTATTATCCCGATTGATAATACGACCTCGTCAGCGAGGCGGGACCTAATTATCATAACGACTCGCATTAGCATAATCACACACACTCACATAAATTAATACGATTATCTCTCGAATTATCATTATTTATGCGCATAAATACATCAATTAACATAATTTTTGATAATCCTACAAATTTGGAATTTAATTTAATTTTCATCAAAATATTCATAACCCACATATACAACAGCCGCACGCACGCACAGTAGCTGCGTTAAAGGAGGATTGGCATGTTAAGGTCAACGAGAATAATGGGAAATGAGCCCCGTCGTCGCACACAAGCACCGTCGCCGTACACACCCACAGCAGCTGCGTTAATGGGAGAGATTGCCATGTCAATGTAAACGAGTTAAATGGGAAGATAGCATGTCTGTGTCAGAGGACCGGGCATAGCGCCACCTCGTGGGCAACACAAGCTGCGGCGTTGGCTGCTGCACAGTGAGATGCCAGCGTATCAACGAAAGAGAACCACCGTAACGGTGGCCGTGCCAGTGAGACATACAGCCTATTGAACAGCGAGAGCTACCGTTACATCCAGGCAAAAGGGAGCAGCGGTGGCTATGTTAGTGAGACCTTAGTTTGTTAATGTAAAGACATTTAACAGGGTGATGTAATTCAGAGTCAGAAATAACTGCTAAACAACGGCAGGAAGGATGGAAACATCACAGCAAGTTATGACTTACCTGGTTAATAACATCCTTCCAATGATTGCTCAGTTTGTACCCATCTTCTCAGTTGAAATTGTGTCTGTGTTTATATATCTGGATGATAGCCCGAAGGTTTGCAGAGTACCTTGGTCTCGGAAAAAAACAATGTCGTGTGAACCGACCACGTTGAAGCAGTGATCTGCCATGGCAGAGGCATTGGTTCTGCCGTGTTTCAGATCTGCCTTGTGTTCGCGAACACGGTCCGAGACATGCCGATGTAACTGCTACCGCAGACACAACTTAGTCTGGAGACACCAGGGTATAGCATGCCAGGAATCACATCCTTCACAGATGGGATCAAATCACGGATTTTGTGTACTGTGTTGAATCGAACCTGGATCTTGTGTTTTTCATAATAAAGGTTTTTGGGTTAGATCGCGTTGTTTATAAATGTGTCGTAACCCTCCACCACCCGACACGGGCAATCAGCAATAAAAAGTGTCACGTTGACAAAAGACAAATAGTTCACTACTTTAGCCCACCGGTGTGTTGAAGAGTGAATCCACAACATTTACAGTTTGAATACGACGTTTCGCTGGTAATTACATCCAGCATCATCGGGCAATTCGCCAGAATGGTAAAGCCCTCACTTGCTCTTGGTCTTAAATAGAGCAGCAGGGTGACGTCATCATTTAACTCATTTCTTCAGGTGCAATGATTTTAGGCGGAGGGGGGTATTGTAATTATATAATCGATTGGTAATCAGTCAATGGTTATGATTAGTAATGAGTTGTAAATTAGTTGTAATGTGTGTTATTGTGATTATATGCTACATTAGTAATCCGTTAATTAATGTTTTCCCTATAAGGAATTGTAATATGTATATTTAATAATACGCTTCCAAGCCGCACTAAGCCTATAGCTATCAGAACGATTAAAGTTATTTCTGTTTCTCTCAATTTCAATGGATTCTCTAATTAGTCTTTGCCAGTAATAATTACTTTTACACAACACTTCAACGCTATCAAAATCAATTGAGTGTCCTTGCTGACAAGCATGTTCTGCCACTGCCGACAGTTGTGTTTGAGATAATTTAATATTTCTTTGGTGTTCTTTTAGTCTTATGCTGATGTTACGTCCTGCTATGTATGGCAAGGTGATGGCTTTGATTGGGTCCTCAGATAGCTCTCTCCCCATGGTTGGGGATATAGCTTTATGGAATGTGCGGTTTGAATATCCATTCATCTTGAGGACTTGGTGTACGTGCTCCAGCTCACTGGCTAGGTGTTGCTGGTCGGAGATGCAACGTGCACTATGGTGTAGTGTTTTGATGAGAGAGTTCTTCTGGGCTGGATGGTGGTGGGAATCAGGCTTTAGATAGGAATCCGTGTGGGTGGCTTTCCTGTAGACAGAATGTCCCAAACAGCCATCAGGTCTCTTCTCGGTCAAAACATCCAGGAATGGTAGCTTGCCATCATTTTTTACTTCCATGGTGACATTGATGGATGGGTGTATGGCTGTGATGTTCCCTTCCTGCCACCTTCCGATGTTAATAATAACAAAAATTTCCCCGTGGCTTCGGCTCTCAGATTTCACATTAACAGGTTGAATTTCTCACGCCAATGTGGCCACCTACGGACGCTGACCTCTGCGCCGCGGTGGCTCTGCGATTTCACATTAACATGCTAATCTCTCACATTAACATAGCCACCCGTGCACTCATCGTGGATGCCGCTCTCCGATCTTACATTAACATGCTAATTTCTCACATTAACATCACTAGCCCCGCCCACTTCGTTTATGACCCTAAGACTACACCCTATAAAACAGTCTGCATTCAGCAGCTTTCTTCCTCTTTCCTCCTTGTGTTGTGATTGAAACGTCGAAGTTTTTTTAAATAATTTTCTTTGAACCATCTACGTGACTCTACCGAAAGACCCAAAGAATAACGATTATTTTCCTGAATTATTTTATCCCCAGATATAAAATATGTATGATAGCAAGGTTACCGTGGCAGTTTTTTTACGGGAAAATGTTTCCTAAAGGACGATAATAGTATGTTTCAGAGAATTTGGGGGAAAAAAAGTTCCGTGATATTAAACATCCACGGAAGAGGAAAACAAACAGGAAGCGTATGTATAAAAAAAATAGGATTTACGCCAAGATTTCAACCCATGGAAGATACTGCTCACTGTAGATTCTGGTAGAATTTTCCTCCTCAAACAGAACCGACCAATCCCCGTGGCTGGTGGGCTAACGCAGGGGACACCTGATGGCAGACGTGAGCGGCAAGATCAGCGAAGGCTGGCGGGAGGGAGGGCGCGGACCGAGCAGGCCGCCCAGGGCCCGAGTAACGGATGCGACCTCCCATCTCCTTCAGCTCCGAGCACACCGCGTCGTACAGCTGGGCCAGCACGCGATGCCAAGCGGCGATGTCGCCCGCAAGTGCACCTACGGTGGGTTGGAGCGGGGCAGAGCGGAGTGGAGCAGAGCAAGGTGCAGCAGATCAGGGTGGAGGGGAGTGCAGTGGGGTGGAGTGGGGCAGAGCGGGGTGGGTTGGAGCGGGGTGGAGCAGAGCGGGGTGGAACAGGGTGGGGCAGGGTGGGGCAAGTTGGAGCGGGGTGGATTGCAGCAGGGTGGAGCAGAGCAGGGTAGAGCGGGGTGGGGCGGAGCGAGGTGGAGTAGAGCGGGGCGGGGTGGAGCGGGGTCGAGCAGGTTGGAGTGGAGTGAGGTGGAGTGGTACGGAGTAAAGCAGAGCATTGTGGAGCGGGGTGGAATAGAGCGGGGTGGAGCAGAGCATGGCGGAGTGGGGTGGAGCGGGTTAGAGCAGGGTGGAGTGGGGTGGAGTAGGGTGGAGCGGGGTAGAGTGGAGCGGGTTGGAGCAAAGCGGGGCATAGCAGGTTGGGGCAGGGTGGAGCGGGCTGGAGTGGAGCGAGGTGGAGCAGGTTGGAGTGGGTTAGGGCGAGATTGGGATGGAGCAGGGTGGAGCAGGGTGAAGCAGAACTGGGTAGAACGGGTCGAAGCGAGAGCGGGGTGGAGCGGGGTGGAGCGGGGTGGAGCGGGGTGGAGCAGGGTGGAGCGGGGTGGAGCAGGGTGGAGCTGGGTGTCGCGGGGTGAAGTGGGGACAGCGGCTCTGAATGAAACATCTGCGTGATTAAGCCGGTGCCGTTTGAGGTGTGGTGATGAAGGAATTGCTATATATACTACATTTGTTGTGGAGTAAATGACGACACGAAGGCAGACGTTGTCGGCGGTGACGCCAACAGTTTATTAAGGGCTGTCGCCTAGCTTTTGGGGAAGGGCTAACACAGGACTTGGATAAGCTAAATCTCCCCGGGGGAAAGGTACTGGGAATCCCTACGCCCCCCCAGGCTAATGGGCTCTTCCCACAGCGCTGACCAACTCGGCCAGCCGGGTAAAGCAGCCCCCCCCTAGCCTGGTGCTATTTATCCCCTACCCTGGGTCCCCACTTCCCTACCGCTCACGAACCCGGCTCCTGGCGAAGACCCCGACCACGTCACGGGTCCCCCCTCAAATACCCCGAGGGGACATGACGTCACGCCTCCCGAGGCGAGTGTGACATTCCGTCATCCCTCTACTCCTCAACACATTCATTGATCTTTAGTGGTACGTTAGTATTGATTTTAAGCTTTCGTGACTGCAGGAATCCATACTCTTTGATTCTTTCGGAAAAATAATAGATCACGACGTTTGGATCGCAACACAAGCAATGGGACAACCATAGCAGAAAAAAACTGCTATGGTTGTCCCACCTGATGACGATTGCTTGTGTTGCGATCCAAACGTCGTGATCGAGAATTTTTCTACCTACGTGACTTTACCGAAAGAACCAAAGAATATGGTACGTTAGCATTTTAAGATAAAAATTTTTGGTAATTTTATATATATCATGCAATGTGTTTTTTTTTTACATTGTGTCTAAAAGCAAACCAATTAAAACCAATGGGACATGCGGAGATCAAATCGGATCAATATAGGCCCAGTAACATCCTTACAAATCTACAGACCCGCCAGCATCACAAAGACCAAATTAAATTCACATGGTTCCAATGGAATCTGTAAAGACTCTCTGCAATGCTTATTACAGCGAGGATTGCTACGACTGTGTTGGTCAATTTGGGGATGGGCACACCTATTCATTATCTGCAAACTAGTGTTAAGAAAATGCATATGTTCATGAAACATCCGGGGAAGCCAATGGGGACACACCGTGGTGAGCGTGGCGTGCCCCGCGCGGGTGGTGGGCGCTCATCTGCAACAGGAAGAACTCCCAGAGGACGCGCTTGGCAGAGCTGCAGGGCCGCATGTTGAGCCACACGTAGAGCAGCGCGGCGCCCGACTCCTCGCCCACGCGGCACAGCAGCCGCCGCTGCCCGTCGTTGGCGCCGGCGGCACGCAGGAAGGCGGTCACCGCTGTCGCGGTGCGTTCCAGAACGTCCGGTGAGCGCTCGTGTCTACGATAGTGCGAAACCCATGGATGGCAACTTAAAGCAGGGAAGAAAAATCACGAACGAGCGTGAATTTTGCAATGCTTCCCCGACGTGTTTGTCCTGGGAAGTATTTAATTGCCGATAATGTCGAAATGTTACCTTCGAAGCTGCATGACAAGATGGGGTCATGTGTGATGACACTATCGAAAAAGGAGGTGAGGTACATGCACAACATGTGACATAATTCATTTTATTGCAAAATATTGGGGAAGCATCTGGTCAATTTGATCGATTTCATTTTTTATCGGCCGAATCCCTAATATCAACACAACTTAATATTGCAATGTGATATAATCAGATCCAATATTATAGACAGAGCAATTGCCTTAATGCTGTCAATCTTAGTTATAAAGTATTTAAAAAAGTAAATAACACATTAATATGTTTTGCTTTAAAATACAAAGGTTGCTTCGATATGCTTTCTACAATAATGTCCCTTATCCAGAAAGAGCCTCGCTGAATCTCAACACTCCCTATCAGTAGGGTTTTGCATTGGGAAGTTTGGCTAATTTCCTTTTTGAGGGTTTGGTGAGAGGAGACTCGGGTACCCAGAAAAAATCCATGGAGAGAAAGGTGTAGTCCTCAAAGCCCAGAGATATGATCAAGATTCAATTCCTGTACTGCCATCCCCTGGGCACCTCGCAGCCTAATCCTCCAACACCTGGTATGACCTGGCAGCCTCTTATCCAAGTATTAACCAGAAATGTGAAAAGATTGGGTGCATTCAGGTAGATTTGGTTGTAGACCTTAACGTTTGATGAAGCAAACACGCAGCATGTTTGTGTAGTGACTTTACAGTGTCACTACTGGATACACACACACACGCACACGTGTGATGTCACTTTGCGGGGGAGCGTCACTACCACACGGGTCTACACACACACATGACGTCATCCCGTCTGGAGGCGGGAATGACGTCAGGGCCGTGTCAGAAATCGGGAGACCATGGGTGAGGCCACGGGGGTTGTGTAAGACCGTGGCACTCTGAGTGAACCCGGCTGGACACGTGACCGGATCAAGGTGGGGGCCGGGGGCCCGGGGGGCACCTTGGGGGGCCACGTGAACAGCCGAGGAGCTTCGAGAGGGTTCTTGAAGGAAGGTGTGACCGGGCTAGGGCCCGGACACGCCGAGGCCCATATAAGCAGCCTCCCCACCGGGTTCGGGGCTGCTCGTGTCAAGAAAGAAGATGCATCTTGAAGACGCCTCCTAAGAAGAGTCAAGCCTGCAGCCAGCGGACCCACCAGTAGCCCACCTGGCTGGGTCACGCTTGTGTATCCGAGAGTCCGTGTTTGCGAGTGATGGTATGTGTTAGAGCAGGTCAGTGGTTACCACCCTATGTTAAGTGGAACGTGTTGGTGTTAATAAATAGTGTTGCCTCCCAAGAAGTTGTGTGCGCCTATCTGAGCCCATTACATTTGTATAGGATGTGCGGGGGGGGGGGGGGGGTAGAGGAGGAAAGAATAATAATGTCAGTATTACCAATGAGCCATAATCATCCTGGCCTTCAACATGGGAGTGTTGAATTTCACTCCTCGCTCAGAGCCACCAGCTGAGATTGCTTCTTTGTGCAGCGAGAAAGTTGGATTTTAATCGCAATCTTAAGGGTGTCGTCTATGGCTCTACAAGCCTTGAGAATTACCACCTTGAACAAACGTGCGAGTGGAAGATGATGCAGATACATGCTGGAGTCTTAATTTGATAACATATCGACGAGTGCGCCATCCATGCATACCCTGGCGGTATCGCTGCAATCCATACAGCAACTACTGCTGCCTTGGAATGGTTAAAAACCTTAACATTCAACTATGACATATATACAAACTGTTGCTTCCATCTTCTTTGGTTCTTTCGGTAAAGTCACGTAGAATGCCATACGAAAAAAGAAGAATCACAATTAGTGTGGCTAAAGTGGCTGCATTAAAGGGTACAAAGTGGGTCATTTCACAGTGGTAGGTCTCATTTGGTTGCAGGCTATATGAGGAGATGCCACGGACTAGGCCATCGTTTTTTACCTGTGTTCTCGTCTGATGGTCAAATGCCTGCAATTTTAACCTCATGTGTACTTTTCCTGTTAAACAGTAGTGTTAATCCATGTGGTGATATTAGCGTGTGTGTGCGTTTAATGCTGACCGCAGGGCATGCAGGGCGCGCAAAGAGAAGCACGGGAGGTCTCGATAGGGTGTGTCGCATTGGAAGCTGCAGGCAGAGAGCAGCAACCGCACAGCGAGGGCCAAGACAGCACGGTCCAGTTCTTCTTTGCTCTCCAGCAATCGGCAGCACAGCTTCTGCAGGTCTGGTGACAAATCCACAGAGACAAGTACATGTACAACCTTTCAGTCAAGAAACAGCCTTTCTGTCCACTCACTGTCAATCTACTGGATGTGGGGGTTGTTTGACCATACTTCATCAAGCTGAAGTAGACTACAACAATCGATTTTACCACTATGCCCTTTGCTGTGCACAAATTACCCCACCAAACTATTTTTTTTTATTTTACCAGGTAGGCCCACTGAGCTATATAGCTCATTTTCAGAAGCGACCTGGAAACAAATGATAGCTCAACGAAGTGACTTACTAAGCGGAAATTTATAGCAGCCAAATACTCTAAACACGTTTCGAAATATTCTTAGTTTTTTCGGTAAAGTCACGTTGAAGAGAAACAACAAAATAACAAAATATATATAAAACAATAAAAAATTTCTCACGACGTTTCGACCATAACTCAAACGGTCATCATCAGGTGTGTCGGTTTGCATAAATTTATTTTGAAAACGGCATATTTATTTATATATATAAAAATAACGTTTGCGTCACGCGCAACGATTGGCTGTTTGCCAGGACTAGTCCATCTATTTTTTGAAAAGAGGAGGGGGGAGACGAAATTTGTTTTTATGTATGCAGTCACGAAAGCTTTAAATCAAAATTTAATCGCCTCTACGGGGAGGGTTTTCACATAACTTTAAGATCCTTCAACAAACTCCGGGATAAGAAAGCTCAGCTGATCGAGTCTCTCACCTTCCTGAAGAGATGCCGCGACTCTGGGGTAATACCAATCGCATTTACACTCACCTCTGCTACTGTAACTTCTTCTAATGCGAAACGAATTCTTTTCAAAACTAGCTTAGCTCTTATCTCAGAAAAAATCAGACTTATACGCACAGAACTAGATCAGTTAGACAAGACACTCTACAAATCACACTTATCATTGACGGCAATAATGTCCACATCGGATTGGGAACATGTAGACAATATGACTGCCTCTTCAGCTGCTACTATGTCGACCAAATGTACGGAAAACCTGATTTCCAAATTTAACCTCCTCTTAAACAAAAGACCGGACCCACACACCAAAAAGTTAGACGTTAATAAAGTCGTAATTAATCGCAGTAACAGTTCTATTTCCGATGGTCTGAAATCCGTTTTAGCTAAAGGTCTAAACTTTGCAGTCACACCTAAACACATACCAGTTAATGATATAATTGCCCAAGTAGACGTTGCTCTCAGGGGCCTGGGTCACATCGCTGCAGACGTAGCAAGATCTGAAATCGCTGCAACCCTCAAAAACGCTAAGATGCCAGCTAGCAACCTCAGCAAAGATGAGCGTTTTGAATTATATAAATTAAAAAAGAGGAATGATATTGTAGTTCTCTCAGCTGACAAAGGCAATGCTACTGTTATCATGGATAAAATAGAATACAACAACAAAATTAAAGAATTACTCGACGATGGTAGTTATACAAAAATAAAAAGAGATCCCACCAACAGCCTCGTCACACAAACCAACAAAATAATTTCTGATTCAACCGCATTAATTGATCAATCTAAACAGTTTTCGTTGAAACCTTCTGCTGCCAGGCCACCAAGATTATACGGCTTACCAAAAATACATAAAGTTGATACACCTCTTCGTCCCATAGTTTCTACTATCAGCTCCCCCACCTACAAACTAGCTCGTTTTTTGTCTGAAATCCTGCGTCCTTTCACTGGAAAGACCACCTCTGCGGTACAAAATTCTACTCACCTGGTATCAACAATCAAGGGTATTTCCCTGTCCCCAGACGACCTGCTTGTCAGTTTTGATGTAGTTTCCTTATTCACCAAGGTTCCTGTACCTGACACCATTGCAATCATTGAAGACTTGGTTCATCAAGGACTAAACACTGAGGTACCCCCCCTGGTGAGACACTGTTTAACCAATACATACTTCACTTGGAATGGAACTTTCTACAAACAAACTGAGGGCACCCCAATGGGCTCCCCCCTTTCTCCAGTTATAGCTAACATTTTCATGGAGAAATTTGAGACTGACGCCATCCAGACTGCCACTCTGCGCCCAACCTTATGGAAGAGGTACGTGGATGACACTTTTGTCATCTGGCCACATGGCCGGCCTGCTCTAGACCAATTCTTCGACCACATCAATTCCATACACCCAGCCATCAGATTTACCATGGAAATCGAAATAGATGGCAAGATACCTTTTTTGGATGTCCTAATTAAAAAAAGAGACCTGATGGTTCAATGAGCCACTCTGTCTACAGGAAAGCTACCCATACGGATGCTTATCTGAAACCGGATTCCCACCACCATCCATCACAGAAGAATTCTCTCATCAAGACTCTGTATCATAGAGCCCAATGCATATCCGACCAGGAACACATAAGCAGTGAACTCAAGCACGTACACCAAGCTCTTAGGGCTAATGGTTACTCCGACTATACAATCCGCAAAGCTATCACTCAAACCATGAAGAAGAACCCTCTTGAGGAGCCTTTCAAAACCATCACTTTACCCTACATTGCTGGGATCACAAAAAAGATCTCCAAAATCTTGAATAAACACAAGATCCAGGTCCGTTTCAACACATTACATAAAATCCGTGATCTGGTTCCGTCTGTAAAAGATGTGATTCCGGACATACAATACCCTGGTGTCTACAAACTAAGTTGCCTCTGTGGTAGTAGTTACATTGGAGAAACCAAACGCCATATCTCGGACCGCATTCGTGAACATAAAGCAGACCTTAAACACGGTAGGACCAACACCTCGGCCGTAGCAGATCATTGTTCTAATTCAGTAGGCTCACATGCCATTGACTTTTCCAAGACGGAGGTTCTTTGTAAGCCATCTGGCTTTCATGAGAGATTCGTTCATGAGGCTATCCACATATACAAACACAGAGACAATTTCAACCGAGAAGATGGATTCTATCTTAGCAATCATTGGAAAGATTTGATAAATCATTTCAGTTCTTGATTGATTGTTCACGCTTACAGTGGCTTTCAGACAGCATACATAAAAACAAATTTCGTCTCCCCCCTCCTCTTTTCAAAAAATAGATGGACTAGTCCTGGCAAACAGCCAATCGTTGCGCGTGACGCAAACGTTATTTTTATATATATAAATATGCCGTTTTCAAAATAAATTTATGCAAACCGACACACCTGATGATGACCGTTTGAGTTATGGTCGAAACGTCGTGAGAATTTTTTATTGTTTTATATATATTTTGTTATTTTGTTGTTTCTCTTCAACGTGACTTTACCGAAAAAACTAAGAATATGAATTACTGCAGTCACGAAAGCTTTAAATCAAAATTTAATCGCCTCTACGGGGAGGGTTTTCACATAACTTTAAGATCCTTCAACAAACTCCGGGATAAGAAAGCTCAGCTGATCGAGTCTCTCACCTTCCTGAAGAGATGCCGCGACTCTGGGGTAATACCAATCGCATTTACACTCACCTCTGCTACTGTAACTTCTTCTAATGCGAAACGAATTCTTTTCAAAACTAGCTTAGCTCTTATCTCAGAAAAAATCAGACTTATACGCACAGAACTAGATCAGTTAGACAAGACACTCTACAAATCACACTTATCATTGACGGCAATAATGTCCACATCGGATTGGGAACATGTAGACAATATGACTGCCTCTTCAGCTGCTACTATGTCGACCAAATGTAAGGAAAACCTGATTTCCAAATTTAACCTCCTCTTAAACAAAAGACCGGACCCACACACCAAAAAGTTAGACGTTAATAAAGTCGTAATTAATCGCAGTAACAGTTCTATTTCCGATGGTCTGAAATCCGTTTTAGCTAAAGGTCTAAACTTTGCAGTCACACCTAAACACATACCAGTTAATGATATAATTGCCCAAGTAGACGTTGCTCTCAGGGGCCTGGGTCACATCGCTGCAGACGTAGCAAGATCTGAAATCGCTGCAACCCTCAAAAACGCTAAGATGCCAGCTAGCAACCTCAGCAAAGATGAGCGTTTTGAATTATATAAATTAAAAAAGAGGAATGATATTGTAGTTCTCTCAGCTGACAAAGGCAATGCTACTGTTATCATGGATAAAATAGAATACAACAACAAAATTAAAGAATTACTCGACGATGGTAGTTATACAAAAATAAAAAGAGATCCCACCAACAGCCTCGTCACACAAACCAACAAAATAATTTCTGATTCAACCGCATTAATTGATCAATCTAAACAGTTTTCGTTGAAACCTTCTGCTGCCAGGCCACCAAGATTATACGGCTTACCAAAAATACATAAAGTTGATACACCTCTTCGTCCCATAGTTTCTACTATCAGCTCCCCCACCTACAAACTAGCTCGTTTTTTGTCTGAAATCCTGCGTCCTTTCACTGGAAAGACCACCTCTGCGGTACAAAATTCTACTCACCTGGTATCAACAATCAAGGGTATTTCCCTGTCCCCAGACGACCTGCTTGTCAGTTTTGATGTAGTTTCCTTATTCACCAAGGTTCCTGTACCTGACACCATTGCAATCATTGAAGACTTGGTTCATCAAGGACTAAACACTGAGGTACCCCCCCTGGTGAGACACTGTTTAACCAATACATACTTCACTTGGAATGGAACTTTCTACAAACAAACTGAGGGCACCCCAATGGGCTCCCCCCTTTCTCCAGTTATAGCTAACATTTTCATGGAGAAATTTGAGACTGACGCCATCCAGACTGCCACTCTGCGCCCAACCTTATGGAAGAGGTACGTGGATGACACTTTTGTCATCTGGCCACATGGCCGGCCTGCTCTAGACCAATTCTTCGACCACATCAATTCCATACACCCAGCCATCAGATTTACCATGGAAATCGAAATAGATGGCAAGATACCTTTTTTGGATGTCCTAATTAAAAAAAGAGACCTGATGGTTCAATGAGCCACTCTGTCTACAGGAAAGCTACCCATACGGATGCTTATCTGAAACCGGATTCCCACCACCATCCATCACAGAAGAATTCTCTCATCAAGACTCTGTATCATAGAGCCCAATGCATATCCGACCAGGAACACATAAGCAGTGAACTCAAGCACGTACACCAAGCTCTTAGGGCTAATGGTTACTCCGACTATACAATCCGCAAAGCTATCACTCAAACCATGAAGAAGAACCCTCTTGAGGAGCCTTTCAAAACCATCACTTTACCCTACATTGCTGGGATCACAAAAAAGATCTCCAAAATCTTGAATAAACACAAGATCCAGGTCCGTTTCAACACATTACATAAAATCCGTGATCTGGTTCCGTCTGTAAAAGATGTGATTCCGGACATACAATACCCTGGTGTCTACAAACTAAGTTGCCTCTGTGGTAGTAGTTACATTGGAGAAACCAAACGCCATATCTCGGACCGCATTCGTGAACATAAAGCAGACCTTAAACACGGTAGGACCAACACCTCGGCCGTAGCAGATCATTGTTCTAATTCAGTAGGCTCACATGCCATTGACTTTTCCAAGACGGAGGTTCTTTGTAAGCCATCTGGCTTTCATGAGAGATTCGTTCATGAGGCTATCCACATATACAAACACAGAGACAATTTCAACCGAGAAGATGGATTCTATCTTAGCAATCATTGGAAAGATTTGATAAATCATTTCAGTTCTTGATTGATTGTTCACGCTTACAGTGGCTTTCAGACAGCATACATAAAAACAAATTTCGTCTCCCCCCTCCTCTTTTCAAAAAATAGATGGACTAGTCCTGGCAAACAGCCAATCGTTGCGCGTGACGCAAACGTTATTTTTATATATATAAATAAATATGCCGTTTTCAAAATAAATTTATGCAAACCGACACACCTGATGATGACCGTTTGAGTTATGGTCGAAACGTCGTGAGAATTTTTTATTGTTTTATATATATTTTGTTATTTTGTTGTTTCTCTTCAACGTGACTTTACCGAAAAAACTAAGAATATGAATTACTGCAGTCACGAAAGCTTTAAATCAAAACGTTTCGAAATGTTGAGGCAAAAACCGGAGGATCCAGAGAAAAATCCAAGCGACCACGGGGAGAACATGCAAACTCCAAATATACAGCAGGCGTCAGGGTCGGGATGGAACCCACGCCCGTCCGTATACCAGGCGAGGTAGTTAACATCTCGTCACCGTGGAGTCCCTATGACATGTTGGTAGCCGATCAAAGCGGTATGGAGGCTGGACTTGCTTAGCTTCCAAAGATATGACAAGATTGGGCGCGTTTCGGGTGATCTTGTCATGGGGAAGGCGCTGCGCATCTGCAATGTGAAAGCAGCCCCTTTCCTCACTGCCACTTCCGATTGTGTCGTACCTGCCCAGGTGGACGCAGGGATTTCACACCAGTAGCGTCGCACGGAGAGAACGTCGCGTATGAGCAGCATGATGTACTCGGAGCCAAACTGCATCCGAGCGAACTTGTTGCTCAGGGTTTCGAGGACGTGGCGCACCAGCTCTGAGCACTTGAGTCGCGTGCCACCTGGCAGAGGGATTTGACCTTGCAATTTTATTATTTTAATTAAGTGCTTCAACCAAAACGACACTCACCAATACAAATGACAACATTCAACATCATTCTTAAATTATATTAGTGTTAATCTACTACCCAGACATACTACATTACTTACAGGTTTACCATTTGTCAGGGCAGCAGCAGGAGATAAAATAAGCTATTGTCGACTGTGTTCTGACTCCCTCTAACGCCTTGGCTTTTGTTCCTACTTTTCTCCAGGTTCCCCACTCGTTTGACCAAAAGTGGGTCTTGAGGACACATTCCCAGATCTGCAGCTATATTTTGTGATGTAAATAAACACCCAGGCCCTTTATGTTGGTCCTTAACAGGAATGAACACCAATATATTGCACACATGAGCAGCAAAGTACACTTTGAATTTGATTAGTATTTACACATCTGACATATGCCACCTAGGCAACACAATAATATTAAGATGGATGTTGATTTACCTTGAGAGATGACTTGGGCAATAGCACAATTAAGATGACCAGAAGTTCAGTAAAAAAAATCATGACTCATCACCAATCACCCAGAATACACCAAAATATGCCAGATTTTGCAAGCTAAGCAAAGTTGAGCCTGGATGATTATTGGATGGGTGACTACCGTGGACACCAGTTTGCCCCAGGCAACTGCAGGACAATACTATATGGTCGTTAGCAGAAGGCAGAGGAACAAATAATTTTTGCACTTTGAGTCTATGCTTCCACATCTAAACTCCTTACCTTTACCAATCTGCACCTCCAATTAGCACGGTTGGCTACGTACGGTGTGAAAAACGTTCAACTTACATAACATGCATTCACTGACGAGCGTGAAGTATGATAAAATAACCCCCACAAATCCGTACTGCATGGAGAGGCCCTCATCCAGCAGTGCACTGACAGCAAGAGTGTATACAGACAAGTATGCGGATTGGCTCTAGGCGTGTGTGCACGCACGTCGGTTGGCGATGCGCACAAAGCGCTTGCAGAGCGTGGCGACTTCGCGGCTCCGTGTCTGGCGGTTGCTGCGTGCAGTGGTGGAGGTGGAGGCAGTGGAGGCCGCTGCCTGTAGAGCATCAGTCTCCCGCTGCATGTAACGCTGCACAAATCTGACGCACGCAAGCGGCCACCGTTATCTCTGTCTTAAGATATCCGCGTGTTTGTGTTTTGTACAACTGTGAAGCGTATTAACAGGGTCGCAGGCTTTAACACAGGGGTGTGGAATCTTTTTCTAAGGGCCAGATAGAATTTTCAAAAGCTTTTGATGGATCAACAACTAACATACATGCCATTCATTAGTAATATCCAGCCTGTCTGTTCCCCTCCTCTGCTTTAGGAATTTATGGTCTCATGATAAACACTGTCCATGTCATCATGAAACCATTGATATAACACAATTATTGTCATTTTCATCGTCCTCATGAGCCAGATTACTTTGTTGAGACTGTAAGAGCAGACGTAGGAGGTTGGGTGTTAACTGTACTACAGATGAGAATTCTACAAAAAGCAAGTGTGATAGTGGCATTAACATTAAGGGTCACAATGATGTACTCGCCTTAATTGCTGGATGGTGACGTACACGGAACACAATAATTGCAATACGTTGTTGACGCATTACAACCAGGTGGTGGTTAAGTCATTCCATTTAACGGGAAGCACAGACAAAGCAGTGCTCACTTGAAGACAGCATCCCAGGTGAGGCCACGAGGAGGCCGCAAGTCTGAGCACCGGTCCAGCTCCACGATCACGTCAGGGAGCACGATCAACCTGCTGAAGCGCTCCGCCTCCTTCTGCTCCCATCAGACAACACAGGGCCACGTGGCCAATCAGGTGGCATCAACTGGCAGGACCAAGTGGAACTTCGGGTGCTTGCAGTGTTTGACCGAACTGTGCAAACAAATTCTATTGGTTGAATCGCTCTGCCTCTGTGTACATTCATGTTGTCAATAAACTGCTGAATGAGGGCGTCCCTATGCCATGCACGTCATGAGCGTTATTTAACCATATTTCAACAGGATGGTCAGTGCAGGTTGAGGCGGAGGAGCAAATATGTGGAGCATACAACTACATACAGCACAACAATGGATATTCCTGCACTGGCTCTGCTCTCTACCTCCTAGCCCCACAGCCTATAATAACCTGCTATCCAAGCATTATCCAGGCTCAACTCTCCTTAGCTTCCAAGATCTGATAAAATTAGGCCCATTTTAGGTGATATGGCCAGAAACCCTTGATGTATTAGTACTCATTAGTAAGTACTTTCCACCCACCATATAAGTGGGGTAAAATGTGGGTACTCCTACCTTATACAAGATACCTCACCAGCATGGAAAAGTTGGGTAAATACCCTCTAGATTCTAGAAGGGATCTATAGAGTTTACTCTAATGGAGGCCCTGCCGCCAGCAGGGGTAAGAGCAAACAATTGCAGGGCTGCACCTTTACCTTTTACTAATGAAATCTACACAATACAGAGAAAATATATATCAACTTTACAGTCATACACATTGTTGGTAACGAATTGGCACATTTTCACCAATTTTTTTTTTATCATAACCAACGCATGCCAAAACACAAATTGTGTTCTATGGCTTTCGGCTCTGTCTAATCTGGGCGAAGGAAATGAATGGCCATGCGAGAGCATCACGTTACGACAGGGGTCGGCAACCAAAACAACAGAAGGCATTTTTTCAAATTTGGTAAAAAAAACCTCAACATTTCAAGAGCTGTAATGCATGTGAATAAGAGACAGTGGTTCTTAATAGATAACGTCATGAGGCAGTCCTTAAAGAGCCGAATGCGGCTCTGGAGCTGCAGATTTCCGATTCCTGGGTTAGGTGAAAGAGGTGGGCTGCGGTGGCATGCCTTGCGTTCTGTCACTTTCTCTCCATCCAAACGCTGGCAGCACTGTTGGAGATCACGAACGGCCATGCTGACATGTGACTCTTTACGTGATCACCTCCACGCTTACAAGAAACAAGAACAGGCAGTCGTCATTATAATAACTTTTTATATATATCGTGAACACGCTTCTAAATTCATAATAAATGTTTTGGGTTAGATCGCAAAAATATAAATGTGTCGTAAACCCACCAGCACCCAACACAGCGAATTAGTAAGGTTTGTCACGTAAACAAAACGTGCCAATTAGTTGAAACTTCAGAACACCGGTGTAATACAGAGAAAATCCACAAAATTTAAAATTTGGCTACGTTTTGCTGGTGAATACAACCAGCTTCATCAAGCGATTTGCCAGAATTGACAAATCTGACAATTCTGGCGACACTTTTATATTTATGTGACCTAAACCAAAAAACTTTATTATGAATAATATTGGTCACGAAAGCCTACGTTTAACTTCAAGCTTCTAAATGTGGCAAATACGGAGGATGCACATTTGCATTGTGCGTGAGCGTGTCGGGTATGTTTTACATGATCGCATGCATCACCTAAGCCAGTGTTCTTCATTGCAAGGCCTGCGGGCCACTGGCGGCCGCTGGTGGCCTTTAGTGCGGCCTCTGACGTTTGGCCCCCGACAATACATAAATGTGAAAATACCCCTTGCAGGCGGTATGGTGGCCCTCACACTGATGTATTATCGGTGAAAGCGGCCCCCCTCTGACAATTAGTTCAGAACACTGATCTAAGCGTCCCTATGACACGTCCTCAACAAGTGGACGACTATATGCACATGGCAATAATGTGTGCGCACATTTGCGCTGTGCGTGAGCGCGTCGAGTGTGCGTTACACGCAGTCCTCTGACATAATGCCACATTGCGAATAGTCGAGGAGAAAAGAGGCGTGAAACTTGAAAAGGTATTCAAATTCTAAAATTGCGAATAATCGAATTTCATGAAAGAAAAATACGCGAATGAAGAGATTTTAACGTGCTGATGCAAACCTGTACAAAGCTGCTTTACATTTTTTATTAAAACAGCAACGAATATGCAAAGCATCTGGATAAACTCTTATATGGGTAGATGACTTAGTTGCACATGTAGAGCCCTTTTGTACAGTATTTCCACGACTGGAAGGGGACCTCCCCACGCTGTGCGGGGAGGTGGGAGTTATCGTCCCATACTTCACCACGCCGGTCAGTGCATTTTGGTGAAAGCGGGGAACATAGACATGAAAGCACAGTACGGTACAACAATGGATGTATCTGCACTGCTCTTCTGCTGCTCACTAAGCAGTTCCACAGCCGCCTAAGGAAATCTGGCATACAAGGTAGGTCGCCTATACAACCACAATAGCACTGAAACAGCCTTAGTAAGAATAATTAATGATCTCCTAATTGCTGCTGATAAAGGTTCTCCAAGTGCTCTCCTCCTTCTTGACCTAAGCGCAGCCTTCGACATAATTGATCACAATATCTTACTCAACCGATTGGAAGTCTTGATGGGGATCTCAGGCACCACGTTGAAATGGTTCAACTCCTATCTTTCAAACCGCATGCAATTTGTGAAAATGGGCACCTATAAATCCATACTCTTTGGTTCTATTCGGTAAAGTCACGTAGGTAAAAAATAAAACAACAAAAATCACGACGTTTCCGCCACAACAAAAGTGGCCTTCATCAGGTGACGGGACCGTATTGTCACGAGGACAGCGTTGGAATGAAGAAAGTCAAGCCAGGTCGCGTCCTTTAAGCTGTGTGGGAGGAAACAAAACGCTTTGACAAAGGAATTAGCATAAAATGCTCATAGAGTAACAACACGGGGGGAGGGGAGTTTACAAATGATGGTGAGAGGAAATGACCGTACAGCAACGTAACGGACCGGCACGGGGAGGGGAGATTACAAACGTTGTTTTGAAAGGAAATAAGCTGCTGTGAAAGTTTGGTATATCACTACTTGGATATACTGTACCATTGAAAATTAGTTTAATGTTTGGTATGATTTAGAACATCTTTCCAATGATTGCTTAATTTGAAACCATCTTCTCGGTTGAAATTGTGTGTTTGTAAATCTGAATTGCCTCGTGGACAAATCTCTGATGATAACCCGTGGGTTTGCAAAGAACCTTGGTATCGGAGAACACTATATCGTCATCACCCACAGCGTTGTAACAGTGATCAGCTACGGCAGAAGAATTCGTTCTGCCGTGTTTCAAATCTGATTTGTGCTCGCGAATTCGGTCAGAGACATGTTGCTTCGTCTCCCCGATATAGCAATCACCACAAGTGCAGCTCAATTTGTAAACCCCAGGGTACTGTAAGTCAGGAATGACATCCTTCACGGATGGGATCAGATCACGAATTTTGTGTACTGTATTGAACCGGACCAGGATCTTGTTTGTTTAGAATTTTGGAGATCTTTTTAGTAACGCCTGCTATATATGGTAGTGTGATGGTTTTGACCGGAGTATCAAGAGGTTGTTTCTGTATGGAGGGAGAAACAGCTTGGCGGATGGTACGGTCAGAGTATCCGTTTCTCTTGAGGGCCAGGTGTACATGTTTTAATCCACTGGTCAGGTGGTGTTGGTCCGAAATGTAATGAGCCCTGTGGTATAACGTTTTGATGAGAGAATTCTTTTGAGCTGGGTGGTGGTGGGAATCAGGTTTCAAGTAGGAATCTGTGTGGGTGGGTTTCCTGTAGACAGAATGTCCCAATGAGCCATCAGGTCTCCTCTCAAACAGAACATCCAAGAATGGCAGCTTGCCATCTTTCTCCACTTCCATGGTGAATTTGATGGCGGGATGTCTGGAATTGATGTGGTGTAGGAAAAGGTTCAAAGCTGGGAGGCCATGTGGCCAAATGACGAAAGTGTCGTCTACATATCTCTTCCACAGGGAAGGTCTGAGGGTGGAAGTCTGGATGGCGTCCGATTCAAATTTCTCCATGAAAACATTGGCTATCACTGGTGATAAGGGAGATCCCATGGGGGTACCCTCATTTTGTTTGTAGAAGGTGCCATTCCAAGTAAATCCACAACTTAGTTCCTCACGGTGTCCCTCAGGGATCAGTATTAGGGCCCATCCTGTTCTCTGTTTATTTGGCCCCATTGTAACTTTATTACGACGAAGCTCTCAAATGTCAACGCACCATCACTGCAGCTCACCTCGTTACAAAAAGGCGATCGATACTGGCTCACGATCACCATCACCGTGCCCGTCACTCATTAAGAGAGCGAAACTTTGCAACGCGCACAATCTTAACGTCAACAATGCTCTCTTCACACGCTGCAAGCACTCAACAAAATGAATGACAACCAACCAACTTACGCGTCAATCATTAAGGCGTCAAAAGTCACGTAGAAATAATGACTTTACCGGAAAAAAAACAAAGAATAATTCCTACAGTCACGAAAGCTCCAAATTCAAGAGAAGTGTTTGTTAGACTTTACCAGAGGTACGCGTGTGGCACGGGACGAGGCCTCGACTCTTGAGGGGGGAGGGGGGGGGCCTCGATTCGTGGCACGCGCAGTGATGACGTCAGTGCGGGCTTCCCTCACGGAACGGCAACGCCCACAACGTCACAGCAACACATAACACACACATTGTGCAACACACATGTAACAACACACACATGTAACAGCAACATAATAACAACACACATTGTGCAACACACATGTAACAACACACACATGTAACAGCAACATAATAACAACACACATTGTGCAACACACATGTAACAACACACACATGTAACAGCAACATAACAACACACACATTGTGCAACACACATGTAACAACACACACATGTAACAGCAACATAACAACACACACATTGTGCAACACACATGTAACAACGCACACATGTAACAGCAACACATAACAACACACATTGTGCAACACACATTGTGCAACACACATTGTGCAACACACATTGTGCAACACACATGTAACAGCAACACACGTAACAACACACATGTAACAGCACACACATGTAACAGCAACACATAACAACAACACACACATTGTGCAACACACATGTAACAACACACACATGTAAAAGCAACACATAACAACAACACACACATTGTGCAACACACATGTAACAACACACACATGTAACAGCAACATAACAACAACACACATTGTGCAACACACATGTAACAGCAACACACGTAACAACACACATGTAACAGCAACACACACGTAACATGGCCATGTGTGTTGCTGCGTGTGATTTTGTTTAATATTTTGTCTGTATGTTCAAAGATCAGCAAGATGTTTACTAAACTCGTTCAGTATATGCTCAATTATCGACAACATGTACGGGGTAATAATTGTTGCTACGTTTGACTCAGAATGTGTATTTAGACTGCATGAGGAATCCGATGTGCTATACAGCTCAGTAGATGATTTTATATACTGTACTGTATGTTCAAAAATAAAAGAAAAATATTGTATTTAATATATCCTCAATTATTGATCACATAAATTAATATACTGTATACCCTTATATATTTTAAAAATAAAAAAATAACAGCAATAGATATGCCATATATTCCTCCTCAATCATTATCATGTAGCCTTAAAAGGAACGTTTAATAGGCGACCATCTATCAGAGCACGTAAATTATATTTATAATAATAATACCAGCGGGAAGTACCCGGCGTTTCCCGGGCGAAAAATATATTTCAAAACTTCTCTTAAAAACCTTACATATACATACACAGATACTAAGCTATTGTGAAAGGCCGGTGGGCCGTTTGTCCATTTCTCCATTAACAAAATAATTGTATTGTTTCCCTTCTACGTGACTTTACCGAAAGAACCAAGAATATGAATCTCTGCAGTCACGAAAGCTTTAAATCAAAATTGAAGTCCAAAAAGTTATCGAGAAGTGGGGGGGCGGGTAAAATGGTTGATCTAAAAGGTTACCAAAAATTGTCGACCCCCCCCCTCAATAAATATTTACCCCTGTGTAGGTATATATTATACTGGTAAGAACGAAGTTGTAAACTGAGTGTACCAGCCTGCAATAGATCAATGTGTCCGTCCGTCCCCTTTCAATACTTTAACGAAGTGAAATCTCGTGCTGTTGGGTGTAAAATCAGCAATAGACAGCGCAGAGACTTGTCCTACCAGCCCACCCTGCAGGGACCTGTTACCTACACACCCTATATACAGTATTTGCTTCAAAGCTTCTGGCATCTTTAACAGGTCGTCTTGGCGGTGTCCACCTCTATGAAAATTCCAGCAGAGGTCACCCTCCTCACACAGTTGCCAATCCTGTTTGATCACTGCCATAGTGAAATACCGGTCAGGCGGTGGCGTAACCAACCTACAGTTAGCTCATTTGAATGTTTTTTTTTAATCTTGAAACGTGGCTGCCATGCACAATAATGTGTACAATAACGTAAATACGGATGAAATGTGTCACGTTGGCAAATGCCATATCCCAAAGGTCGGCAACAAAAATAACAAGAAGAGCCATTTTGATCGAATTCGGCCAAAATACTCAGTATTTCAAGAGCCACAATGCATATGAATATGAGACGATGGTCCTTAATAAATAACGTCACGAAGCAGTTCTTAAAGAGCCACTGATGCATGCGGCTCCGGAGCTGCTGTGACCCCTTCCACAGAGAGATGAGCTACTCCCTCAAGGGCCTCTTTCTTCAGCACACTTTGATCTCTTGTCGGGGTATGGTACTGGAAAGTCGAACTAGATGTGGAGTTCACCAGATCCAAATCAGCCTTTGTAACACCGGTTAGCCTTTACAACTGTTAAGTTCTGCGATGGTGCTTCAGAACACTCCAGCTGAATTGCAAGTGATGGAATTGGTTTTGGGCAGCGTTTTAATCGGAATCCTGCCTCGTTTCTGAGAATTACAGGGAGTTGTGGATTATGGGACCTCAAATTATCGGATATCTGTTGTAATTATATCAACGATAGTAAACGTAACATTTGCAATGTTGTTTCCAATTGATTAATAGTTTCTTTATCTGCAGATATTTGTGAGCCATGGATTGTACAGAGGGTAACGTCCATTACTGTTGGGGATTTTTTTCCTCATGTAAATATATTTTCCATCAATTAAATAATTAACATAGTTAACTAAATTCTTTTTATAGATTTTGGGCAAATTCAACCAATGCTCGAGAATAATTTAGCCCTTTCATGACATGGGGTTTAACATTCAAAGGTTGCATATTATATGCGTTAGCTGTATTCAGAATTTGATACTGTGTCCATATGGTTTATGTGTAATGGCATCTGTGTAATTTATTTTTCTTGGAATAAAAAATAAGATTTGAAAATGCATCGTGCAAAAAAAAGGTTCCATGCATAGATTCTTGCCCTCTGCGAAGAGAAGCGTTAGGGTGAGAGTACGGAAATGTATGGTTGTCAGAATTTCTGGGGTGTGTTTGGCTTTTCCATAAGAATGCTGCTGGCCATTGCGGCCTGGGTGCAGGTGCTGAATCTCGTGGCGAGTTTAACTTGATGAGAAGTTTATGATCGTTGAGTCGATGTCCGTTTGCCTGCACCGCCAATGCAAGTATTTCCTACCAAAGCGTGGCCTCATGCCGCTCGCCACAGCGAGTGTAGAGACGGTGGCGTGTAAGTTGTTTCGTGTGGTCGTACGTTCTCCTGTTGTCTTTTTTTTGTATTAGTGTCCTTTCTTGATATAACAGGTCCCTGCAGGGTGGGCTGGTAGGAACATTGGAATTTTGCGCAATTTTATGACATTGTTACGTAAAATTGTGCAAATTGAGAGCGTCTGCCCACCTTTTTGCCCTCAAAATCGTTGAGGGTTCTTCGGACAAATTAACCTCTGTAGAGGAATGGAATGGTGAAATCCTTATTGACTGAAATCTGCTCATTTTGGAGCAATGTATCATAAAATCGTTAAGGGCTGGGCCGAAAAATGACAACAATTGCATTTTAAAATGAGGAATTGTTTCCCGGTATACGGTAGTATGGGGCTTTTGAAAGGGGACGGACGGACGGACACATTAATCTATTGCAGGCTGGTACACTCAGTTTACAACTTCGTTCCTACCAGTATAACTGGATCTTGACTGTGTGTGAAAGCCTTCCCAAGCTGTTGCCATCCCTCACAATCCTGCGATGTGATAATCCGCCCAACACCTGCAAACATCCTCATGTTATCGCTTCATCTCCTCGGTACACGTGCTTATGGAACGTGTACCATTCCTTGGTTACCACTCCATCACTTTTTTTGAATGAACCTAAAATGAACCATTGTTAATAATAATAAAAACAAATGTTTTAATCAAAGCAATAAGAATGGATCACATTGTACGTTGATCTGGTTTAGCCAAACTGTTCACATGGGCTGTTAATAAAATATAATAATTAATTCCATGCAATGTTGTGTAATGGTTTTGATTTTACACATTTTTAATTGGTTACCTGGTATAATGATGGGTTAATGTCAGTTAACTCAGCATTGCTCTTGAATTATCATGTTACATGTACGCTTTATATAAAAGTATCGTAATTAATGACAATGGGTATGTACACGAACAGCCCTTTGTCAAGCCACTGCTGGATGAGAGGCTCTCCACGAGAATGGGTAAACAGTACAATAAGCCATAGACACCTTTTTATAAAAAGATAAATACAAATTTTACTGCTTAATATAAAAATTTTTCATGAAGTGGAATTTAACTTATCCAGTAATTTCTTTACATTTAGAAAGTCATGTTCCTTTCTGCCTGTATGCAGTCCATGGGCATAATGTAATAATACTGTACAGTACTCTAAATCCCTGCTTCAAAGAATGTACACAATGCAGATTATACCATTCTTAAGCTTGTATGAATATTATTATTTTGCTCGGCATGCATTAGGTATAACACCTAATTTTTTTTTGTGAAAGCAAACATTTTAGGATTCATATTCACAAAATGAACATGGTACTGTACAGCAAATACTGTTTGGCATAAAGATATGCTAACCAACGTGGTGGTTGTTCATCTATTGCTTGAGTGAGGAGGGCAGCTTCAATTAACCCAATGAGTCAGCTCCAAACTCTATAGCGATCTGTCAATACACCTCGATCAGATCTCATTCAATGGTGCTTCTCCAGTACTGCTAATCCCAGAGGTGCTTATCTCATTCGACTACAGAAAATAAAAAGTCATTCCTTTATTCTATTGACAGACCATTTAATGGAAAGGAGAAACTGCTAACGTCAATGTCCGAGATAGAGGTCGTATTGAAGGTCAAACCGGGCCCTAACCTCTCAGCTTCGTGATTCAAGTAAATCCTACTGAGTCATGTGGTTCCTTGAGCTTAAATCAACTTGGCATTCCAGGTTAAAGACTGCTGTAATCTAGTCTTCCTTTACTTATGTTTATATGTATGAACAAAAATAGTTGATGGAAAATGTTGCAAAAGGTTACCAATTTTTCAAAGAACGGTAATCACTGTCATTGGATTCATAATTATTTTCTTATATACATGAACGATATCTCTTAAAGCCGTGGTATGTAGAATACCAAATGGAATTAATATACGTTTACTTATGTATGTATAAATAAAAATAGTTTATGGAAAGCGCTGCAAAAGGTTACCAATTTTTCAATGAACGGTGATCACTGTTATTGGATTAATAATGATTTTCTTATTTAAAACACAAACTATCTCTTACAGCCCTGGTATGTAGAATGTCAAATTGAATTAATCCCTTAAGTTGTCCTATTTGATGAAAAATGTTTCCATCTTTAGGTACCTTTTGAGTTACAGTGCTGTGCAAGAGTTAGTTCCATATTCGGGCAAGATTTCAATAAGATGTGTTGTCTAAAGATCATCGTCCAGACGTGTGAGGCTGGTTTTTTGATGGTGGTGAAAATATTAACTTATAAGAGAGTATGTCTTTAGCTTTTAACATTCATTTCAATATACAGTAAATAAAAATTGAGGATTTCTTGTGAGCCACTTCAATCTTATCCAATAATCCTCCCACTCCAAAGTTACATGGAGAATTATATGCTTCATTGCTTGATGCACTGAGGAAAAAAGAAGCCCTCTCTGTGCCTTAAAGCCGGCTGTATTTTTAGACGTGCAGTTGTGTGAATAAGGCTCTGTGTATTCGCTACTGTGGTCTGGAAGAAAACTGCTCTGTGATAATCCTGTTCAGAGTGTGTGCATATTATAATTTCACTCCATCACATGCTCATGCACATATAACCTTAGCGATGGTACGTAAAAAATGTTAATATTTTAATGTTTATAACATATTAAAAATAAGTACATTTGTAGACCTGATACAGAATGCTTATGGTGATAGGGCCTTTAAATGTATACATTATACATTAGTCAGAATAGTTTGAAATGTAAAACATTTTTGGGTAAGTGTGGAATCTTTTAAAATATTTATTAGTGCATTTTGATAACTTCACATGCATTGAGGTTAACGCATTTGCAAGTGTGTACGTGCCATAGACATCAAAACCAATCGCTGCTGACCTTTATGAGTCACTTATTTTAGTTTTTCTTACGATTAAAAAATAGAAAAAAACTCGTGTTTATGCCGTATGATCACAATCCAAAGCACTCCCTGAATTCTACTGTATATTTAGTTTGATTTTTGTAAAAATTATAAAAAAAGAAATGTGTTTTCTACAAAATTCATACAAGTTATAAACTATTAAAAATATATGTACCCTTGTTTTAAGTATGTTTACTCAAGGAATAATATACATGATTGTTTGCAACCCTTTGTAAAGCTACTTCTATCTAATTGAAGAACTCCCTCCGACGCGTCAGTTGTGGGGTCACGTGATCGTACATCACGGCCGTCAAGGCGGATCGGCAAAAGGAGGATCTCTCGGTCGACCACGTGCTTTGAGTTTGTATACTCAGGACTATTGTTGAAGGCAGACCAGGATCTAATGATGAAATAAAGGAATGAGCCAGAGCAGATTGGAGTACCTTCGGAGAATGGAGCTAAATTAAAAACAACACCCAAATGTGCCAACATAACACAGCTTTCAAACTGTGCGTATGAGATAGATTATGATCGTGGAGTGTCAGATCGGAGTGAGCGGGGCACAAGGGCCCTGGGACAGCATGGGCGGAGGAGCATATGTTAATGTCAGGGATTATAAAGGTAGGCTGCCACTTGTGGGGCGGAGATGGTTATGTTAATGTAATTGGGGGGGGGGGGGGGGTTAAAAAACTGGTGAGCAACGGACAGTGCTGAAATGGCAACATTACAGCCAGTCATGACTTAAACTGGTTGATAATGTCCTTCCAGTGATTGCTCAGTTTGTACCCATCTTCTCGGTTGAAATTATGTCTATGTCTGCATATATGAATGGCTTCATGAACGAATCTTTGTTGATAGTGGGTTTGCAAAGTACCTTCGTCTTAGAGAAATCAATTTCGTGTGAGCCCACCGAAACTATGATCAGCCACGGCCAATGTATTGGCCCTACTGTGTTTCAGATCTGCCTTATGTTTACAAACACGGTCCGAGACATGTCGCTTAGTTTCCCCAATGTAACTACTGCCACAGACAGCTTAGTTTGTAGACGGCGGGGTATTGCATGTCAGGGATCACATCCTTCACAGATGGGATTAGATCACGAATTTTATGTACTGTGTTAAATTGAACCTGGATCTTGTGTTTGCTCATGATTTTGGAAATCGTTTTTACAACCAAGTGGGGTGAACATCACAGTCATTGCCACTGGTCCAGCAAATTTCCTAAACCTACAGCACAAGATATTATCATTTGTGTGGCTTGCCTGGGGGTTTGGGTGGAACTCCTTCACTTTGAAACCCAGATAATCTGGCAAGACTGCAATTTTAAATAAGCCATTGTTTATAATGAAATGTGAAGGCTTGAGTGTGCATGCTGGTACATTGCTTTAGCATGCACCATATTTTGCAATTAAATTCTCCATTACAATATGAATAGGTTATTGTATTGCTGGTAATGAAATGCATTTGAAAATACTGTACAGCATAGCATTTTTTTTATTAACCTTCATTTAAATGTTATTGTACACCTACAACACTGTATAGGGGGGCTGGGCTGTCTATTGTATTCTATGCAGGCTATAAATAGACTCAAGACGACCCCTAAGGGCACTGCTGATTGGCCGATGGATACCACGCCCTCAATTTTAATGACGTCGCCTTGTTAAAAATTTAATGTATATAATCGAATGACGTCATAGAACAGCCAGTAAAGTGATGTCACGTTAGAGTCACCTTCCGATTGGGCAGCCCTCTTGAATCAACGTCTCAATGATGTCATCTCGCGCGTTCGGTCACGCCTACATTGCGCTACAGCGCGCTCCGATTGGTCAGGGTTGAGCACGCCCACCGGCGTTCCTTGACGGTGATTGGCGGCGGGGCCGCTGTAGAAGCGATGCTGGCGCGCGCGCTGCGTACACACGTGGTGAGCTTAGCGCGGCTCTTTGGCTCAGCCAGGGCCACACCGGGAGTCACGGGCAGAGTCGACTCCACACCGGCGGGAGCCACAGCTGGGGCCAGATCCACGCCAGGTCCGGGAACCAGAGCCACGCTAGAGTCGGGAGCCGGAGTCGGAGCTAGAGCCACGCCGGAGCCGGGAGCCGGAACCGAAGCCACGCCGGTTCTGGGAGCCGGAGTCCAACCGAGTCGCCGAGGAGCAGAAAGTCGCGACGCCCAGATGGAGTGCGAGCCCGAGTGCCGCGTGCTCTCCATCCAGAGCCACGTGGTGCGCGGATACGTGGGCAACAAGTCGGCAGCCTTCCCGCTGCAGGTGACGATGGGGCTGGGAGGAGGCGGTGATGGTGGGGGGAGTGAGTTGTGGTTTTATTGGTGGTGGTCGTGGTGATGTTGGGGTGGTAACTGGTTGGAGGTGGTTCATGATGGTGCCAATTGTGAGAATGGTCGTGATTGTGGCTGTAGTGAATTTTATGGTGGTAATGTTGGTGGAGATGGTTATGTTGCTTAGTGATGGTGGTGGGGAGTGAATGACTGCTGGTTTGATAGTTTAATTATCGTAGTGGTTGGTATTGGGGCTAGTGGATGTAGACGTTAAAAGAGATTGTTAATGGTGAGGTTTGTTGTGGCAATGTTTACAGTGGGGAGCTTGGAGCGTTTATCTGTCAGTCACTCCTCCACTGTCGCCGTGTGGTCTATGTGGATGTGGTTGGTTTGGCGCACGTGTGTAAGATGTGTGCGTGTATGTACCTATGCTCGTGTGTGTGTGTGCGAGTGAGTACGTGCATTAACGTGTGTGGCACGGTGGCTCTCACCGTGCGTTATGATCTCGGGTCACCTGGGTTCGATTCTGTCGCAGACAATCAGCGGCACATGGCTTCTGAACTTGTCCTTGGCCACCATTAGATCGACCCAGCCTTAGATGATCGCGTGTGTTAACGCACATAGTGATACTGGACTCGATAAACACGACTGCCTTGATATCCATTAACATGCACTCGCCAATCGCTCTTGCCCATCGCTCTCGCCCCTACGTTCTGCAAGGTTATAGGGGAGATGTGGTATACGCGATTTGTTTTGTTTCTATCATCTACCAATCACCGGTGCTTGCTGCTGTGTGCGAAATGCTAGGTGGATAGTGTGACAGACAACAGGTTGGCGCGACAGAGACATCCACACTGCCATTGACACCTATACCCTCAGTTACATCATGCTGGATCTTGGATGTCTGGCGTGTGTACGTGTCGAGTTATGGCTCGGTCTACCTTGAGTCCAAGGTGCACCTAGTCTGGCACAGGGACCGTGTTGACGTCACCGCCACTTTGTGGTGAACGGCGGTTGTTGTTGGGTCATGGTACACAGCTATGCTGACATTGACTTGGTTTAAATGTCTGCCCATGGATATCAGTGGCGCGTGAGGTTAGAACCTCTACTGGACTCGCTTTAGGTTGACTTGGCCTGAAATCGGTACCTGCTGGAGGCGTTCATACCGACGGACAGAGGGCTGTGTCCAAGTGACTCTCTGGTGTGCCTTAACCATCCTTGATAGGTGCTCGTGAACGGCGCTTGCTCATCTGGAATATGTCTGAATTTGCTATTTGTCTTTGTACGGTGTCTGTTCTACTGTAGTGTTGCATTTAGCGCACAGAGCTTTGATTCCAATGACCCATAATCCTCATGACGAATGGTTCAGTGTGATCATGAACATACACACGAGGATATTCGTGGCTCGGCCAGGTATATATTGGAACTTTTTCATCATTCAGGGCTGAACAGGTATTTCACTTTTTTTAACTGTCCACATTAAGACCCTTAGTTAAGTCATAAAAGTGGCTTAACCCACATTATATACGCAGTGTTGACAGTTTCGAAAATATACCTCTTTACTGCCCGATTAGTGTGGCAAATATGCTTGCAGTGACGGGTAATATAATTGGCAGGCCTTTTCCAAGTGGCTGTGGGTGTTGTGCAATGCAGCCCACAGGACCTAGGTAGGTTCCCCTACTAATGGGATTTGCATTCATGGCCATACCACTGCTTCACTCACTCGTAGTTTAGTAATAGTTAACTCACATGTGACGTTCTGGCATTAATAGGCGCGTAATCACAGCACTTGTCTTTATCGGGCTAAGTGGAATAAATTTGTTTTTTGCATGTTAAAACAAGCACCCATCCATTTAATAAAATACACAAAACCTTGTATGATACATCTACGGTCCCTTTTGTCAATCCACTACTGGCCTCGCCATGCCATGTGGATCCTGGGGGTAATTTTGATCATTCACACTTGTCATTGGGGTGTGATGAAGGCCCACTCATACCATAGGAAATGAGGGAGGAATTTCCACCATTGGCCCAGGGTTTTGGCTTAGAACAGCCTTACCATGCTGGTCAGTGTGGATGGTGAAGGCGGCTAGCATAGATGTGGGACCTTGAATGTATAGTACAACAATGGAATTTGCTGTCCTGTCCCCGCTGTTGCCGACGGCGTAGTCTCATGACACCGTTGGCTCATGGCTGCTGATGGAGATGAGGAGCACTGCCCCTATGTTCGAGCGGTGAAACACTTTTTGATTCTTTTCACGTAAAAAATACGAATTAATCTCGTTGGAGTGGTGGCACGCAGTCGTTAACTCGCTACACAATGAACCGTGCAATCTCCGTTTGATTCCCGGCCATGGCCAGCATCAGTGGTGAGTGACATTTGCACTGGTTCTAAACCCTCCTCCCCTTCACCAATCTGCAGCTGACCAGTCTGGGGATGTATGGTCAAACAACCCCTTCATGACCATATGACGTAGTGTGGTCTTCCTCCAATGGATTGACAATCCGCTGTAAATCATGATTACTCTCTTCACATTCATTTATATGCCTCTCACCGGGCTCTCTGCATCCATACAGTGTATTATCTTCCTCCCCACCTCCATTAACTACCACCTTAATCCTACCCTGTGCACATCGGTACCTCGTCTTTGATGTGCAGTGTATTGTGTTGCGGTTGTGTGTTAGATGCTGAAAAAAATACGGACTGTCATTTTGTAATCAGTGGAGCGTATGCCCCGGTATTATACGGGTTCTGAGTTCAAGACCACAAATCCTGGTGTTGTGTAATGAGCCCTGCCTACAATGAAATCACAAAACCCAGGTTATTTACGAAGTGGGCAATGGTGTCTCATTGCCGTGACGCACAGTTCTGCCACTGTTTATGTTTTATATTTTTTGTTGTATGGCAATGCTCTATAAAAAATGGCAGTGATGCTGTTTTGAACATTGTAAATGGTTGAAGTTTGCGATATGGCAACTTGCTATGTCGAAGATGCCATTTACGTGATATATATTGATGTTCTCTTAGAGCAGACCGCTTTATAATGATGTATTAATCACAGTGGCACTTCAGAGGTTATATGCCTCTGTCTATTACAATGTAATGTGTGGCAGAAGATGCATTGCCTCTTACATTTCCTAAAGTATTATATTATTTGTGAAAACTGTTGCATTTGACAGTATTTTAAAAAGAATTTCATTAAATTAACTAACCCATACATTTCCATTTAAAGCTTTCGTGACTGTAGGGATTCATCTTCTTGGTTCTTTCGGTAAAGTCACGTAGAAGGGAAATAATACAATAAAAAAATAAATTTTTTTTTATAATGGTTTATTATTTTATTACTTTATTATTTCCCTTCTACGTGACTTTACCGAAATAACTAAGAAGATGTAACCCATACATGTGTTTTTAGTCTTAATGACAAGCAGCAATATGTGCATCCCGTTGAACAGTTTCATCCAGTAGCTTGTACAGTGGTGTTTGTAAGATGAACTACAAATGTAAAAAAAAACTTTCACTGTATTATACAATTTGATATTAAGAAACAGATTAAATATCCATCGTATAACCTGTCTGTCATGTTTCATTTTGTCAAATGTATGTTTCTGTATGCTAAACAAGCATATTTATTATATATTACACGTGGCTTGTAACAGCGTAATTGCCTACAACCTTCTGTCCTTTTAGCATGGGCGCATTATCTCCGAAATATTTTCATCGAAATGTAATATTTTGTTGTCTGCTACGTGACTGCATAAATATCTGCTCATTCAAGGTTCTCGTTGAACTTTTGGAAAAGTAAATTATATTGAGCTGCCCCTTTTTTATATTTCACAAACACAATTACACCCTCTAAAAAAAATTGCTGAATTAAATCCCTAATTGATCGCCATCCTAAAAGGGAAATCAATAATAATTTACTCAACTCTAAACAGTGACATTCTTACGTGACATTACAGTCCACAAAGGTTTTGAGATTTAAAGAAAGATTTGATGGGTAACTGGAAAAGTTGCACATAAATGGTTGTACATTAATGAGTGTAGTTAATGGCCTGATGCAGATAATTAACAAGCAAATGTAAATAATTCAATGTAAAGACTTAAGTAAGTAGGTACAAGCAATAGTAAACAAATTAATTAACTTTTTGAAGCACATGCATTAAGCTGTTTGTATTCTACTGCATCAAACAATCTAATTTGTCTGATTTTTTAAATGCGATTAGTGACCTCCTTCATTATTCTTGACCACCAGTCAAGAGTTGATGGCCAGGGATTCAGAATAATTCAAGAGCGGCAGCCAACAGAGGGAAGTCACCTGACTGCAGAGATGGAGTGATGAAATCAGCTCATGTTGCTAGGTGGAATGTTACATCCCACGACTGAGATTGCGATGGCTTGGGGAAGCCTCCATCCACCAGTGGATTAATCATGGCTGATGATTATGATAATAATGAGCTCAATACACATTCTGTAAAAAATAAAATAACCCATCAGATGTGACGCTGCTGTTGCGATTGGAGCAGATGCTGAGTTGGGTTAGCCTTGGGTTTCAATTCCCCAGGTGGCCTTAAAAATAATTGACTGGCAAAATGGTCCTATTGCCTAGCCATGTGCACAGGCGAGATGAGAAGGTTGGGATCAGGGGTCCAGTCATGATGGGGCGGTGGTGGGGGCGGGCAAGGAGGGGGTCTAAACCACTTGCGTACACGGAGTGCCAGATGCCTCGCTTGCAAAGCAATCGCGTTTGGATCCCGCAGTGAACGCTGTGTGCATTTACCTTCTCTTAATGGCGCCGTGTTGACTATCATCTGATTCATGGACCTCTTTAGCATTTTTGTAGAGTAGCCATTATGATTTGTGCTCGTGATTTTTATCAATTGCCCGCACGTGTGTGTCTGTGTGCGTTTTAAGGGAGAGTGGTGATGAAATGGTTGTGAGCCCAATGTGCTGCGGGACCAATGAACCTGGGTTCGATTCTGATCCGTGAACTATACCAGTGGAAAATACATTTCGGAACCCAACCTTTCCTTTCCTGAGGTAGCGACACTGGTTAAATAGTGTGGTCTTATCATCAGCATTGGTTAGATGAAAAACAATAAGCTTGGTTTTGGCTTGCCGACCTGAACAGGTGCTCGCTTACAGCATGTGCCTCGGCATTCCCATCAATGCTAAAATAAACATCTGGCTTTTGACAGTAATTTTTGACCAACCTAAAATCAGTGAACTGGCTAATATCAGAGGCATTCCAGAGTAGTGTATATTACTTGCTAGGCCATATAGTTTAGAAACATGGTCATCAACAAAAAATGAAAACAACTGAAAGTTTGCTTCGAAGTCCGGAGAGGCGCAGACTTGGAGACTACGTCAAGAGAAGGAGAGGAACACACGGATTACAGAACATGTGCAAGGTTAATTCAAACTCTGGAAGGAATTAATATGTTTGTTGAACTTCTTTCGCACCATACGTAGCCAGCCGTGCTAATCGGAGGTCAAGTATGGTGACAGAGTGGCACAGAAGGGAGTGCGTCAGAGAGTACGTCCAGCAAGAAGACGCTGCGATGAGATCGGCACGTGTGCCGGGTGGATTGTTGCATCGCGGTACCCTGAGAGATCACGTCGGCTTGGAATGGCCTTAATTCAGGAGTTGATCGATCATGCTTGGTGTTGATTTTGATTCTATATTAAACCCTGCTTCTGGGGAAAGATCGTCCTGCCTCATTAATGTTTGGAAGCAGATGGATCTGGTATGGACAGATGTTCCCCTGCCAGAGCCATCAATGCACAATGCCATTGTCTGGTTGGTAGCACACAAACAGAAGGGCTTCTCAGTAACCTTGAATTCCTGTGAGGTTAACACTCGCTCGTACACATTTATAGGACACGGTTGCTGGTTGCCCAAATACACCTTTTTTCACTTGGAACAGAAAAGTTTCAAGGAGATTGTAGGAAAGTAGAAGCTGTCAATATGTAATTGCCAAATTTTTCAGCATTCTTGGCTGCAGGTCCTTTTTTTTTACCACCGGCTCGGCATTAAGACAGAACTCACGCTGGTAAGCCCATTCTTGGTGGATCACTAAAGCTCAGCAGGGATGAGATTGGTGAGCATTTGGATGGCAGACTTCCAGGCATTGGCAGTTGTTGTTGGCTTGGGGCTATGAGGAGATGGGAGTATAGGAGGGAGGGCATTACATGACCCATCCTACTGGATATCTGTGAAAGAGCTTTATAGCACATCAGATTCTTCCAGTAGAAATAAATGTTATGATTCTGATATCCATTTGTTTTGATTTTGAGTGTTATAATCTCTTTAGTGTGGGTGTTCTCTAGTGTTCTTCTACTCATTGGTCCTTGGGCCCAGACCAGATGTTTCACTTTGCAGTGGAGTGCAAGCACGATTAACACAAAACTCAACACACTCATTAATGCTACCTTGAAAATAAATATATAAATGGTGACGTTTTAGGCAGTAGATGCAAAATGGCCATTGCCTTTCATGTGTCCTATTATATCCATTGCTGCATGAGGTTGTTGTTGGGTGTGTTGAGATGTTTCACTTAACGGTTACAATTTATTTTTGGTCAATCACAGCGTATTGTGTGATAACCATTGGAAATCAGTGGGTTATCAAATTATTCACTCATAGGCCATATTAATACATTGGTATTATTAAAGCTTTCCACATTAGGTGGTGCCAATGTTTGCTCTGGCCCACCTCCCAATGCAGCATGCACCTTAAACGGACTTGCTTTCTGAGGAATTTAATGTTATTATGGACATGAGTTGGAATTTTAACCAGTTTTCTTTTTTTGCCCAGGTGTTGGGGTTTGAAGTGGACACAATCAACTCTGTGCAGTTTTCAAATCACACAGGTATGAACACAACCACAAGCAATTCCATTACATTTTTATGGTTTGTTTGGTTTTCTCAATCATTTGATTTGTATTGTTGTGCAGGGCATAGACTCTGTGTCACCTCGATATCGCTCTATCTTTCTGGCCTGTCTGCTATTAAGAAGGACTATTGCCTGAAATGTCGCATTTAAGGAAAGGTTATTGACAAATAGAAGTCCCCCCCCCCCATATACATTGGAATGCTCCAAATTGAACTCCCCAAAGCTGTTGTGCGAATTGTGATATGGATAGTGTCGTATGTTTACATGGTTGATACAGAGTCAATGGGTTCAGCCTGTGCTACTTGTGTTTTATTTTTGTTGCCTTTTATGCTTTTTTTTATTTGGAGTGTTAACATTCATTTTAAGTTAGCTCGTTCTCTCATTCAATGTCTAGCAGGAATCCATGACTGCATAAAAGATGGCACCGTAGGTAAGACTGTTAACAAAACTAAATTGTCTAACAAAACTAAATTTGCCGCATTTTCCAATTTACTAATCGGTGAACACTAATCCTCTGTCTGCCAAAGTGGCTCCATCTCGTCCAGGAGATTAATTTGTTTGAATGTCATAATTCCAGATGCACAACACTGCGCTGTTCACACCTCTCCTGTAGCCATGCTCAGCAACCACAGTGGAAGCATTCATCCTACAAATTGTGTGTAAAGGAGGGATTTGGCCTTATTAGAGAGATAATAAGGCATAAGTTATTGGAGGCAGTTCTTTAATTAAACACCGAGCACACTTTGTACAATACACACCCTACACTGTTACACACTCTGCTGCCACTCACTTATACGAAACTGTACACTGGTTGCCAGCCTACACACAACGCTATCCGTCTGACACTGACGGCGCTGAACTAAGACAGCCAACTACCGTCAAGCAGCGCAATGTCTCAAGTGACGACGACAGCGACGAAGGCGGTGAGACGACAGCGATGATGGTGACGATCTTCAGCATTAACAACGAGGATCCCACTCCAAACGACAGCCCCGAGGTCCCCTCCCGGGGCCCTTCTTATACTGGGGGGCGTGGCCTGGCTCCGCCCCGGCCACGCCCCCTTCTGGAACCTACGAGCGGGCACTCGACATAACCTTTTCCCTAGATCCCTCTCGGGTCTATCACGTGGCCTGCTGTCAGTCAGGGCTGCTACAAGCTGCAGATCCCCTTCCCTACCAGCAGCCAGCACTATGCTGCTAAGTGACCGATTCTATGTCACTACACCTGTACTGGATGAACTTCTTTGAGTGGGATGGAGCTACCTTGGTAGAGTTGCATACCTTTCACTATCAGTAAGAAGTTGGTATGTACATGAAGTAAAACAATAACCAAGGGAGTCTAAGGTCCTGTCTGGTGATATTTGGTTGAGTGTTTGATTATTATACAGTATGTGTTTAAAATGTGATTTTAAGAGTTTTCTGTTATCTTGGATTTTTTGGCATGAATGAAACATTTATTGGAATTTAATCAAATGTTTATTAACTTCTCTCATTACCATACGTACCGGGCACTTTACACATTACACACGTTACCAGAATATACCTTCCCTGCCCATTCTCAACTCTGGTGGTGCTCCTAAGCCATGGGTGTAAATTCCACATTCCTATGGCACTGATGTCAGACGTGTCTTATAATAATCACTGCCAAGTGATACAGCCTCATGAGCTTGTACTTATTTTAGCCACTCATCATTCTCATAATCATCGCCATTACAGTCATCATTGTCATCATTTCCCATCGTTGGTCTCCACGTCCAGGAAATTCGTGGGTCAGTTGGTAGATGACATCTCTCCCTGCCTCCCTTTTTACCTGTCACCTCTTTCTTCAACACTGTCCTGTCCTGGTTTCTCTTTTTTAAGGCCTCCATAACGCCATCTGTCCCGCTCCTTTCTTGGCCCTGTTGGTCTGCTTTATTCTATACTCTTTGGTTCTTTCGGCAAAGTCACGTAGTTAGAAATAAATGAAATTAAAACAAATCACGACGTTTCGATTGCAGCACAAGCAATCATCATCAGGTTGGAAAACCACAGCAATATTTTTTTTGCTGAAGCGGGGGAGAGAGCTGCTGTGGCAAGAGGATATATAGTTAAGAAGGGGAAGGGGCAAGGGGGGAGAGAGAAAGGGGGCGGTAGGGGGATGGGAGAGCTTCGTGAGCGCTCGTAGAGGGGACGTGAGGCTGGGGGGGGGGAAGTGGGTGGGGCTGGAAGTGGGAGGCCGAGAGAGCTGGGGATGCAGGGGGGGGGGGGGAATTAACTCGGAAAAATAGACTAGTACCCGGGCAGATGTGATAGTTATGATAGACACAACCATGAAGCAGTTACGGTTTTACCTGGTTCTTTATTCCCATCTCAAAATAGCTTGCCTTGGCAATCTGGGCGCCGTGGTGACGAGATGTTATCTACCTCGCCTGGTATACAGGAGGTCGTGGGTGTGATCTCCACCCTGACGCCTGTATATTTGGAGCTCGCATGTTCTCCCCATCTGTGGTTGCATGGATTTTTCTCTGGATGCTCCACTTTTTCCCTCCACATTTAGAAACGTGCCTTTAGGGTATTTGGCTGCTTTACATTTACATGTTATAAGCCACTTCGTTGAGCTATAATTTGTGGCCAGGCAGGTCACTTCTGGAAAAGAGCTATTTAGCTCAGTGGGCCTTACATCGTAAAATAATAATAGATTTTAGTGTTTTTACCTCTTCTTAATGTGACCATAGTTCCTTTGCATAGATTCACCTTCTACTATGCCTCTGTGTCCTCTTCCTCACTCTATTTCATCAACTTCTCCTTTCAACGGCTTGTCTTTTATTGTCCTTCCTCCACCTTAAAGTTAACGTTTCCACAGCCTATGTTAGTGTTGACTCATAGTACGTTTTGTCATCACCTTCAGCCTTGGTCAATCCACTGCTGGATGAAGGCCTTCCCTAGTGGCCACCATCTCTCACTAAACGGGTGCGGCCGCGCACTATTCCACTCCAGTGCTTTTCACTTTGATAGAAGCCGCTCACTGTTACTGATTTCTTCCCCTAGTTTCCCATGTTTTGTGGTAACATTGGCTACATCAGCTGTGATGACCTCTTCACCTTGCCTTGACAACGGGCAGAGCGTGCAGTGTGTCGTCATGTGTGTGTGAATATCGATTTGAGCGCTCGGGATTGCTAGCCCCTCCCACCTCGCCCCCCCAATGGCTTGATCAAAGAAAGATATCCCCCGTATAGCCTTAACAGAATGTTTGGGACAAGTGCTGTTAGTGAGCACCTATGAAGGCCGGCACAGCACACGAGGGAGTGGGTGGCCAGCACCACACCCGCCCGCCTTTGTCTCCTCGGTGGTGATGTTTACACACCGTACCAGGTACTCGTTTGAGGCTGATTCGACCCAGGACTGGTTCAGATAATCGTCACTGGTGTTGGCCGTGAGTGGGAATCAAATTCGGGTCGCCGGGTTCTTAGCCGCAGCACGCTAACCGGTACACCACGCCAACAATAACAATAACCGCCATTCGCCACAAAGTGGCGGTGGCGTCACCACGACGCTTGTGCCAGGCTTTGTGCACCTTGAGGCCACGTGAAGTGTCGAACGCCCGCTGGCAGGAGGTCACGGGGCAGACCCAGGTGCCACGGGTCGACTGACTGAGATGACTGGCTGATGCACCACCTGTGCCCCCTACTGTGCCAACTGTCTGTGCTTTAGCCACCCGGCACTCCACTCGTTGTTGTGAGCGTCGCTCCTCAGCCCTCCGTTGTTGTTGGAGGGCGACTGCCTCGAACTGCCCAGTAGCGTCCTTCATGAGCCTCCTCCACAGGCCGATCTTGACATCGCTGGTACCAGTCATCGGCAAGTCCACTCAGCTCCACATCCTCCTGTACCACATCACTCAATCTCTTCTCTAGCCCGTGCCGCGCCCGTTTAGCCCCCTCGATCCGGCCGAACAAAAGCAGTTTAGGCATGTGGTGGCTGGGCATGCGGGCTACATGACCCAGCCAACGCAGCCTTGCCTGCTGGAGGAGCTCACCGATGGAACTTTGTCCATATCTTTCAAGGATTTGTGAGCTCCTCACACAATCCAGCCTGGTTAAACCCAGGATGGATCGTAGGCAGGCCAGCCTAAATGTTTCTAACCGGCGAAGATGTTCCATTAGGGGGGTCCACGTTTCGCAAGCTTAGAGAAGGGAGGGAATGACTGTGGCCGAGAAGACCTGAAGCTTCGTGCGGAGCGACATACCAGGTAGCTTCCACACAGCGTTACGCAACCAATGAAAATATAATGCCGCTTGACTGATTCGGAGCGAGACCTCTGCTGTTAAACCGGAGCCGGTCATGAGCACACTGCCCAGGTATGGGAAACTCTCCACTCTCTCCACAACTGCCCTATCACCAATTGGGAATTGTGGGGGTGGAGTGTCCGATGGTACAAAATACCCAGGCAGGTGCTTAGTTTTGGTGGGGCTGATGGTAAGTCCCCACTTTTTAGTGGCAAGCTCCATGTTCAGCAGCAGCGCCTCCAACTCAATTACCAGATAATCGTCATACATAACATGGTTGAGCAATAGGGGGCTATCCCTTGACCGCACCCGGGCATCGATCAGCCTCCCATTGTATCTGTACCAGATGGCAATTCCTCTGGTACAGCTATTGAAGGCTTCACGAACTACGTGGCCGAAATAGATCTTAAATAATGTGGGAGCTAGAGGACATCCCTGTCGCACAGGGAATGGCTCCAACTCCTGGACACGTAGTTTTACCCGGGCCTGCTCACCATCATGAAGGTCGTTGATGATCGTGAGCAGAGAATCAGGGACTCCAAAAGCGCGAAGAACAACCCAGAGCCCAGGCCTACTGATGGTATCATAGGCCTTGACCAGGTCAATAAAGCAGATTAGTAGGTCTTGTTGGAATTCCCTACACCTCTGCTGTAGCAGACGGACAGAAAATATGGCATCTGTGCAGGACCGCCCTTTCCTGAAACCGCATTGTGGCTCCGCAAGCCTCTCCTCAGCGTGCCTAGCAAGGCGATGTTGAATTATCATTGCCAGGACCCTTCCCGGCACACTGAGGAGTGAGATGCCCCTGTAGTTGTTAGTCTATGCGGTCCCCCTTCTTCAAGAGGGGGACTACCAGGGCATCCTTCCAATCTTGCGGAACCTGTCCAGTGGTCCAGACTGTTGTTATGATGTAATGTAGGGCAGTCTGTGCACAAATGCCACCCTCAGCATTTGCTTGGGAGATCATCTCTGCCCGGTGCCTTTCCTGGTTTCAGGCTCTGGATCGCCTTCAGTACTTCCTCAACAGATGGCACCTCAGCCAGCCACTCACAGGGGGTGATTTCTTCTTCCAATATTTAAGGCACCACAGCCTCAGCAGGGTCATCCCCACTTTGTCCCACATTTTCCAGGCTGAGGGATTTCCCCTCCCCCAGGACCTCACAGAAATG